CAATCTTGTAGAAAATTCGATATCTTTCCTTTATGTAAGATATATTAAAAAATGTGAATGAATAAAAATCATGGGGTGATTTGAGGGCCTCATTTTAAAATAACTTGTAGAAATATACAGTGCATTGCATAACTCGGGTACAAACCAAAACATCAGTATATAATTTTAGATTTGAATTAGTCTTATTTATTTAATTCTTCTAAAATATGGTTTGTCTAAAGGTTATGTAGGGTACTCTAAAAAAAATTGGCATTTTTGTACGAAAAACGTAGTTAAGTCAACGCCCTGTAGCTAATTACACACTAAATAAAATAGTAGTTTGTGCAACAAGAGTGGATATGATGGCCATATCGCACGAAGACGAGTCTTCAGTGTGGAAGGCAAGAACACTAAACACAGGACCACCTATTCTTTTATTTTTGTTGCTTTAATACTCTTAAATAAATTGCCTTCATATACTTTTATTTATAATTATAGACGAAATAAAAACAGAAATGCTATTATTTATCGATTCTACAAAAGAATAATCCATTTTTATGTATGTTTAATCTCAAAAACTAACAACAGTCGGTTGATGAAATATGAACGGTGATTGGTGGATTTCATTTTTTTGCAGTGTTCTAGAATGGATATGAAATATATTCGTTCAGTTGAAGGAAATAGCATACTTTTTCGTTTTATAATCTGTATGTAAATAAGCTTGATATCCATATGAGTGTAGAAAAAATTGTTTTTATTTACACGAGTTTTTTAATAACATATATTATACTTTTCTTTGGTTACGTTTAGTACTTGGACCCTAGATTTTTAATTTTTTTTGTTTTGTTTTTCTTGAGATATAGGTATTTCTTTTTAATATAAACAAAACTACAGTTTAAACTCAAATTGTAAGGCTTTCGATCTCTGTTTTGAGCCTACACAAAAATATTCTTCATCCAAAGTTCTGAATCACATAGAAATCAAGAATCAAATTTGTAAAATATTCAGTGGTAGTATAAGAAAAATCAGATTAATTAGGACGTGAATTTAAATTTGGAGACATTTTGTTCTCTAATTAAATTTAAAAACAGTATTACTCTTCAGCAAAAATCATAATTTTTTTATTTTCCCTATATACCACTAAATGTTTCACAAATTTGATTCTTGATTATTGATTTTTATGTAAGTAATGCAAAAGTTTTAATGAAACAAATTTTTTTTTTATAAAATTAATAATAAATAAATTTCCCATTCATTGTCAATTTTTCAGACTTACTGTATATATAGACGAAGCTTATTCAATTATTATCTTATGTCCAAAAAAATTTTTGATATGAAATAAAGTAAGGGTTGCTAATTTCACCCCCCTATAATGTAATAGGAATATTGAAAAAATACCCGTGGTTAGTCCTTTGCGAGTGCACGAAAATTACAGAATTTCAAATTTCTAGCTTTACTGAAATTTTAGAAAAAAAAAAATAAAAACTCAATTTTAGTCACCACCTTTTAAGGGTTATACCTCGGAAAGGGATGGGCTGAGGAAATTTTGTTATAGGAAAGACCCATCTTAATTTCATACGAGCAATCACCTCCTGAATTTTGTCGCATGAATTTAGAAACACCCTGTCCCATAAAATTACCTTTTTAATGATGTGCCATACATGGTACATTACCTATTTAAAATTAAGGGTGTTGGAGAAGTGCAAGAGATGGGGTTGACACATGACAGATAAAAATGTGTTTTTGGAATAAAAATCGACCTGTTTTACCATTTTCTTAAAATTCAATGATTAATGCCGAAAAACAGGATGACACTGTTTTGAGTGACCCACTCTGTATATCAAAAAAGGCTAGATTTATCGAATTAGTTCATAAAACATAATCTGCTTAAAAATGCATTTTTACAAGATGCGCTACCCAAGAAAGATTCATATTGACCTATTTAAAATCAATTTATATCTAAAACTGAAGCTCTCTTAGCGCTCTGTGAACTTTTTCTTGGATTATCTGTAATTTTCATTACCTTTCCTGGTTTCCAAGTTCTATTTTCTTTTTGAAATCGTACGTTGTCACCAACTTGCAAACTTTTATTTTCTTTTGCATGTTGACTCGAATAAATCCGTTGTTTTTCACGTAATTGCATTTACTCTTTTGGAACATTGGACAGAATTTTAGGTTTCAATACCAACTTACGTATTGGTGATTTAATTATTCGGTTGAAAAGTCTTTGATTAGGTGATCCTAATATGTTGTTTCTTGGGGTATTTCTATAGTTAAGCAGTCCAAGTTGAATATATGAGTTATCCAAACTACATTTCCTTAAGGTGTTCTTTATTATTTGTATACCTCTTTCGGCAAGACCGTTACCTATTGGATGATAAGGACTACTTTGTCCATGTTGAATACCCCAGGATTCAATGAAGTCTCGAAACTCTCTAGACGTAAACTGTGTACCACAATCTGACTCAAGAGTTTCAGGCACACCATGAACTGCGAATTTCTTATGATGTCTGTGTTTTCAGTGGTTTAAAATCAACATAACCAGAATAACTATCTATTATTGACAAATATTCTTTACCTTTAAAGAAAAATAAATCCGTTGCTACTCTTTGCCAAGGTAGATCGGGAATTGGTTTGTTTAGTATAGGTTCTAAAGGATTACTTTTTTGGGTGAATTCACAAAATCTGCATTTCTTAATATATCGTCGTATTGACCTTTCCAATATAATAGCTGCCTTGCACGAAGCAACTTTGTATGCCTAAGTGTCCGGCATGAATATTAGTTAGCATCTTATTAATTTGGGATTTTGGAACTATAATTTTGTTACCTTTAAAAATTATATCTTCATAATAAGCTAGTTCTTCTCTAAAGTAAAAATAATGACTAATTTTGTCTGGCAATTTGTTTTTGCTTTCTGGAAAACCTTGTATTTTTTCAATAGCTGTAATTCTTCATCCTGTTTGGTTGCTTTTACCAGTTCTAGTCTTGACTTTCTTGACATTGATAATACTATTAAAATTTTCATTTCGGGTTCAACTTGGTTTTCTTCTTTCTCCTCTATATCTCTACTTAAAAGGTCGCCAATTGGAATTTCTTGACCTCTTCGGTAAATAACTGTTGAGGAATATGGTAAGACGTCAAGTCTAGCGGAGTTGAATAAATAAACTTTTTTTTAAATTATTTTAAGAGGTTTATGATCACTCTCCACTACTGGTTTTTTTTTTCCATAAATATACTCACGAAATTTTTGGCAACCAAACTTAATAGCATAGGCTTTTGTAGCATAAGCAACTGGTTGGTTTTCTTGTAATAATGTCGCTCCTAGATTTCTACTACTAGCATCTACTGAGATAACAACATCTTTGTGTATGTCATGAAATCGTAATACTAGAGGACTCATTAGTTGGTTTTTGATTTTGGCAAAAGCAGTTTCTTGATCCATACTTCAAACAAATTCTACATTTTTCTTTAACAAAGCTCGTAAACAGTCTGTCAGCTCTGACATATTAGGTATAAATTTATTTAGATACGTTACCATACCTAGTAGTCTTTGAAGCTCTTTTACGTTTGTTGGAGTTTTCAAGTTATTTATAATCTCTACCTTTGAAGGATCTACTGTCATGCCATCCTTTGAAAGAATGCGACCCAAGAATTTAATTAGGTACATTAAAAATGCACTTTTCTTTGTTCAGTTTTAAACCGACTTTTTTAAGAACGGCAATAACACATTCTGTAATTTTTGTTAATTTCTCTTGACTTTCTGCATATATGTCGTCCATCGAACAATGTAGATTAGGGATATTTTTTAGAACAAAACTCATTGCTTTTTGGAATATATATCATATTCATAATTTTTGAGACATCCATCAAATACGTCATTTCTCTGTATGTCAAATGAATGAACTCTCACCATCAAGCCCAAATCCTCGCAAGATTTTATTCCCAGTATTGGTGGGGTACTTCTTCATTAACAATTTTAAATAAAATATAGCTGTTTTTGTTTTTTATTTGGCATTTTATTCTTGTCTCCCCGATTACTAAAATTTTTTCATTGGTAAAGCTTACTAGTCGTTTCGTGCTTGACTCTTGGATATTGCTACCAATTTGATCTACAATGTACTTTGGGAGAACGTTACATTGCGCTCCAGTGTCTAAGTTCAGACCGACTTCTGACACCATGTAAAATAATCATTTATAATGACAGACGATGCAGTATTGTCAAGTAAAATTTATTAATGACAACTGTCTAGATTACAAGTTTATATATATAGGGTGATATCTATGTTACATACATAATTTAAATGGAGGTAATAAAAAGAGTTAAATAATTTTTACTTTCCAGTATCCAGTAAGGAAAAGTATATGATTCATGATTTTTTCAAACTCGTTTTGGGGTCCTCCAAATCCGTTTTAACCATTTTCGCGATGAAGTCTGTCTGCGTATCCACGATAACTCAAAAACGAATAAAGAGAACAATAGCATATTTTAAAATCTGAGGGTGCTTCATAGGAGATAGTAGTTCTAATTTAAGGTACATTTTTGTTATTTATGAATATAGAAGAAAATTATTTTAATAAGAGTTGTTTGTGATATAATTTCTCTATTCATTATTTCTCTAAAATGGACCGTAATGGAAAAATGCTAAATTTGAATTTTTCAGTTTTTCGTTGGCAACGAAGATTTGAAAAAATGTTTCGAATAATTTTTTATTTTTAATTTATATTGTAAATACTTTTTAATTGGATGGGCCGTACTCAGTATTTTTGATAACTCTACAGGAAAGTTATGTGTTGGACACATCATATTTTTCTTTTTGATTAGCCTGTTTGACACAAATAAACGGATGGACCCAATTGTTAAGAAAGTGATAAATGATTGGCAAGGAATTTCCCTGATGTGAATAAGTGATCCAGAAAATGTTTTTTTTTGAGATAAATTTGGATGAGGTATTCGTTCGGGAAGGCGCATGAGCCGATGTTACGCAATGGATTGGAGTGGAAATGCGTCGAACTTCGATGCCGGACGCCGGACGTTTGACGACGCCAAATAAGCGTGTCAGTCTAGTGTGGCGTCGAAGTAGAGCATCTCGGTGGCGCTGTGCGTGCAATCGCGGTATGTAAATACGAATTGAAAGTTCGCTCGTCTTCTACATTAAAGCTGTGCTATTTATACATCGTTCAGCATGTGCTTCATTATCGAAATTGCTGTCAATTTTAATTAATTTTATAGCCCTCACTGAGGTTCGTATACTTTCTTACCTTTTTTTTTAATACACTACTTACTAACCACACTTTATCTATTTTCTACAAATCATGTTTTTAATACACAGTGTTGCATTATTAGCTATATCAAGTTTACTTTTGTTTTAAAAGGAAGCTTTTTTAAGATTTTACTATAAAAAATTTCACTTTAGCAAGCAGACAAAAAAACACGAGCTACAGGCACAGTAAATAATTCAACATGCATAGTAAACAAATCCCAGAGTAAATAAAACGCAAGGTAATCAAAAAGCACGGTAAACAAAACGCATGGTAAACAAAACGCACCAGTATTTTACACTCACATTTACCACTGTAAGTAGACGTAGGTAAAGTATAGTAAGTAATGCGTGTTGCAAAGCAATTACGCAATATACTATAAAATTGCTGTATTTTCTATTAATAAAACATTGCTGGTTTAATCATTAAGGTTATATACACAAAGAGTGTAAAACGCAAGGAGTAAATATACCTACATAGAATTTCGTTTAAATATTTGGCAGGAATTCTAGGAATTCTTTCGGAAATTCCAGAAATCTCTCAGAAGTCTCGAAATTCTCTTGGAAATTGACGAAACTGAAGATGGCACAATCTTAAAACATTTAGAAAGTTTTGATTTATCAAATTATAGGTAAGAGAACGCCAAAAAACAGCAAAATGTGGAATCCAGTATGAAAACAGTAACTGTAGTCTTTTATACAGAATTGTGGTATACTGGATATACTGAAATTCGAGTACAATGGTTGTTATAAATTAAAATTCTTAAAAGAAAAACTAGGTAAATATATTTTAGTGACCCAAAGCAGACAAAATAGAAACCTTCGAAAAACAAAATTATGTTTTGCGTTGTCTTGTGTATTTGATTCATCTAATTTAACTAATCTTTTATACAATTTTGGTTGATGGCATAATTCGAATTCTTTAATTTAACCTTCTATACCTGTTAACATTATTATTTGTACAACTTGGACACTTGTAGAAGCGCCAATTCTTTTAGCAATAAACCTTTGTGTGACTATTTTTAAAAAGAGCCAATATTTTTACTTACCTATTCCTCGCGTCTATCTACCCTTCACAGGTGTAAGGTCAAGGGTAAAGTTGGAGTGCTAATTGGAGTTTTCGTTTCAATATGTATTTCCATGTTTTAAGTTTTGTGAAAGTGTTCGTATGTCACAATATTTATTTCCTGTTTTCTTTTCATCCTGCCTTAGGGTACGCACATAACTTATGTATTAGATATCAAATAAAATAATACATCGTGACAAATAACCATATTTTTAAGGAAAATATCATGAAACTAAACATTTTTCGCATAATAATATTTTAAAAGTTCGCATATACGATAAGAGTAAGCAGTATTAAATATGGTCGGTCTTCTTTACATAAATCGCACAAAAATTTGCCGAATTATTCGAATACTTTTGAAAAATCGAAAATATTCGGTTAATCGTAAATAATTGATTAATTAAAAAAGCCGATTAAACAATAAATCGATTTTTTTTAAAAATCGATTATTTTCAATCAATCGAATATTTTGAATAAATCTACTTTCTTTTTGTAATTCCTTTAAAATCAATAATTCCATTAAGGGGTCTATTCTGTAAAAATTCCTTTATATTTAACGGCCTTTAAAAATATTGGCGGCCTTTAAAAGTATATTTGTATTCGTTAATTTACTTCTGTCATTATTTAAACAGATTTCTTTAAGATAGTACTCTAATTTATTTTAAAGATCCGTTTAAATAATGACAGAAGTAAAGAAGAAAATATTTTTAAAGGCCGTTAAATATAAAGGAATTTTTACAGAATAGACCCCTAAGTATCTTAAAAAATGAAATTAATTTATTGAAAATGTTCGATTAATCGAAAATAATCGATTAATTATTACGGATAAATTGATTTTCATAAAAAAAAAATATTCGATAAATCGATTAATTGTGTAAGCCCTATCGGTCGCCTGCTTTTATCCGAGCATTTAGCTCCAAAATTTAGAGATTCGGATTTTTTGATCCTGTTATCTTTGAAACCGATTGTATAATAAATAATAAATATTGCTAGAATTTAGATTTTTTTAGTAAACGAAGATTTTTTTTAGTTGTTTCGGGGTTTATAATGTAACATTTTATTAACAATATGACTAACTTCCGTAACTTTAGTATTTTTTTGCTCATACTAGATCATATTGTGCGTTTTACTTTGTTTTAAGACTTAAGATGAACCTTGAAATTTTAAGTAGGTGATCCTGTATTTCATCTAATATTCTTATAAAAATACCTTATAAAAATAAAATTTCGCTAGCAACTATGCTTCTTTACTTATTTATCTACCAAAAAGGGCTAAAAACCACCTTTAGTAAATATTCTTATAACTACTTTTTAAAAACAAAATTTCGTTAGTAACAATGCCTATTTACTTCTTATTTAGATTAAAGGGGTTATGATTGACAACCTGTGTTATTTTTAACAGGTCCGTTATTTTATAAACACACAGAAATAACAACCTGTTCAAAAATAACATCATAACTCCGTTAATGTTTAAAATTTTGCCCTTTTGTAAATTTATGCATTATGAAATCTGTTTTTGAAATATGTATTTGATGCTTAATATTTATTAAAACCCCTTAATGCGGATCTGAAGTATTCAGCACAAAGGACCATGGCGGCTTTATGTCAAAACGTTAATAAATATTTACCGCTGAAAACGAATATATTTCTTATTTTTCATAACATTGGCACTTATATTATTTGTATATACAATTTTTCACGATACATCGTGGCATTTTCAACTTGAAATTGAATAACTGAAACATTTTAAATTGCTAATAACACCAACAAATAATTCAAAAAATGGCGGTCCATGATAAATCACTCACGCGGAGACGAGCGTAGAATAGAAATATCGGAGCAATTCGGGTGGCGTCGTGGACACAATGATTTTTAATTGGTGGGTTACTTAGGTTTGGAATAGACAAGTGCGCGATGTGCAATGTTACATCTCCGGTCTCTTTTATCTAAGGATATGCCTTAACAGATATTGACACTTTCCACAAAAAAAATCAACAAAAAGAACTAATTACCGTACTCTTAGGCGCCCGTACTCTCTTCCTCCCCACTTTTTCTCGATCTTTCTTTTTTCTCGTCTGTTTTTACATTGTAGATACATCTTCCTATCTACATATTTATATGAAAAAGAAAAACACTAACTGTGAAATCATAAAACAATCTGCTTGGTATAAAATTTAGGCCTTTAATAAACTTGATAAAAAAAACAAGGAGGATAACGGTGGTTATTATTTATCGACCTAAAATTAGTTTTTGACATGATAAACAAAGAAATATTGCGGGAAATGTTAAACAATGTAGTACAAAAGAAAAACTATTAGAGACAAAATATTGGACCCTTAGAGAATCGAAGAAAGCAAGGTGACAAAGCATAATCCCAAAGTCGTTTATAATTTAAATATCTACCTTGTTAAAGGTACCTCTAAGAAATGAAAGAGAAACTAAATTGGATATAAGAATCTCATCCCTCTAAAACTATTATAATAATATGCAGATGAATTGATATTAATATCTGATCCATATCAAACATTTGGCATGAAGAGATAAAAGAACTTCAAATGCCTATTAATATAGATAAATGTAGATAAAATAAAGTACCTACATGATAGTAAATCAAAATGCTAATATTACAGGTAAAGATATAACAATATATACAAAAAAAAAATAGAACAGATATGTACCTTTGAATATTTGGGAATTTATTATCAATTCTGAAATACGTATGTGAAAAAGAAGAGAAAGAAAAATAGAGAATTAATGAGAATGAAAAGATAGGCTGTTATAAAAGTAAAAGAAGCAAAGAGTTCAAGAAAGATGTTCGGAACGAAAAAAGAAATAGGAACTAAAAAAAATCAATAGAGGAAATGATATAAGCCAAATAAATGAGGCATTCGGGTTAGAGGCTCCACAAATCCGATTCCTAATTAGGACGTAAAGAGAATAGAGAAAAAGGAGTGGGTGGTGGTTATACGTTTTGTCTTAAATAAATATATTAATCAAGATTAATGTTTGCGAGTAAACACAGATGAAAGTTGTCGGATTTTACTAGCGGCGTTTATATATTTTACTTATTGGACAAATCGATATCCAATTAGCAGTTAGATAACGCGGTTAGTGTTATAGTATTAAAATCATCACCCACACAGCTTTTAGTAAGAAATATAAACTCCATCTCTCAAAAAACTGTATACAGGTTATTTTATTTGTATGAGATATATCCATCGAAATAATTAAATCACTAATGATAGATACAATTAAATCTAATTGGTGCTAAAACAAATAAAACTAATAGGTTCTTTACTATACGTAATAATAGATCTCTCATTCTGCCTTGTTGAAGAAGATACTGTGACGCAATTTAGATTATCTGATACAGCCAGGGGCGACTCAAGAAAAAAATATCACCCGTGCAAAATAATTTACTGAAAAACTGGTGAACTCTCCTATATACTACGGTTTAGTTTGCTACAATGTATAGGTAGTAATGGTCAATATTATAAATTAAATCTTTCAAAATCATTCATGTTTAAACTTCTTTGACTACTTTGACGTGTATTGTGTATAGTTTCAAAAACGATGTAAGTTGCATGCAAATGCTGTTTTCGCGGTTCACTATTTTAGCATTGTCCATGTATCTTAATTATTTATCATCAGTATCATTTCATTTTTTGCTGAAGTATTCAAAAGAAACACCTTAATAATCTCCAGTCTTTAATTTTTTTGTTACACCCTAGTTTTTTAAATAAAAATTAAAAATGAATATTAAATTTTATCAATTTGCAGATATAAATTTTTGGAAAACTGGAGTTTGTAGCTGATTTTTTTTCTATTTTTTTTTTCAATTTACAAGTTTTTGCTAAAATCAAAAACTAATTGAGTTTTGTGGTAAACCGTTTCCAATAATATTTTTATTTCGAACTCATAAAACTATATTCCTCTTTATCATATACCTGGAAACAACGGTGGCTTGGATTAGCAAATATAAAATGATTCGGCCAGGGTCTAACTCGCTCTTTTGATTGTAAAAAATTAGTATGATATATTTATTATTTTAATTGTGACATTGATGCAATTTTGTTTAAAAAAACAAATATTTTATAGTATGTACCACTGTATATTAAAGCACTTTCCAAAAATCAGTTTCTTTAAATATACCATAAATAAAGCCATCCAAAGCTTTCGCGCGGATACCAAGTGTATATTATCGAATATTAGTTATAACAACAATGTTTATTTACAAAAAATACGATCAATAATTATATGTATAAAAATCCTTTACTATTTCACCTTAGAATATAAATAAAATTAATTTAAATGTAGTTAATCATTTATTTAAAAAATAAATCCACTAGGTGACTCTCAAAAAACGTTAATCAATGAATAAGAAAGAGAACTTTCGTATCTGGCATCTAAATAATAAATAAAAATATTATCTGCAAAGAAATTAATATCGACACAACAGGTAGTTGTTACAATATACAGACAAATTGGGCCAGCCCGCGTTTTCTGGTGGATTTGAATACCGAGAAAGATAGGCGTCCCATTAGACTGAACGGAGAAAGATAGAATTATTACATGTACAATTGTCTTTACATAAACAAAGAGAGGGTTGCGTACAGTGACATTCTATGAAATGGATGAGGTACCTCTCAACTTCGACCGAACGGAAAGCGGTAGAACAGCCTTAATCCAGTCTTCTTGCCCATAATATCTTCTAATTGTAAGGGTGAGATTACCACAAAATATTTCAGTTAAGCTTTGCTTCTAATACAAGTTTAACATGTATTAATTATTTTATGCACTTTAGGGACTAAAAGTATACTTTTAGTTCTCATTTCCAGGGACTAAAATGCCACTTTTACTCTCTGGTAATCAGAAATGTACTTTTAATCTCTTGTGATTTAACGGAATAGAATGGAGATGGAACGTATAAGTAGTGAAGATCAACCTTAAGCCGCCTCTGGATACAGCTTCTTAGAAACTAGAAACAAGCGAATCAATGTTCTTGTTCTCAGAAAAAAATAATGATCTTATACAGATATGATCCAAAATACAAATACTTCAAAAATACTGGTTGTTTCGTTATATTCTATCTTTTTACTGCTTGTTAATTTTTTCCATATTCTGAAAATCCCTAGAAACAAAACGATATCCGTTGCTTTCAATTTACACTTGAGTCCAGTTCTGTATATTTTTCAGTATTTTTGTTTAAAGCTGCTTTTTAAATACGTTCGATGAATTGTTTTTCATTTAAAAATTGATTCTCGATGAAAAACTTGTCAAATAATAAATTTTTAAATAACTCATCAAATATTTGTAGTAGTTAACCTTCAAAAACTTTTATTATTGAAGTATTTTGTGATTAATAAGTTTTAAATCGTGTATAACTAACTACAACTGAAAAACTTTAATGGATCAAAAGTATGCCTGGTAATCGGAATATGATTTCATCGTTGTAGGAGGAAAGGGCCGGATTCAGTACCCCAAAGTGGAGTGTTTTCCCTTTTATGAATAAAAACTATGTTAAATGTGAGACTGTTGTTCACAAAGGTGAGATCGGTTTTTTTTCAGGAGTTAGGACTCAATAAATAAAAAAATAACTGGATACTGAGGTCTATTCTGTAACACATCCATTAAAATTTAGAGGCCTTTAAAAATCAAACTTTTAGCGGCCCGTTAATTTTTGTAACCAAAAATGGTATTCTATATTCGCTCCGTGCGCGATAGCAGCGCCAATTCGTTTTGGTACTAATGGACTATTTCTGCGTACACTGACAAATGCAACTTTTATTAGAATTCGTAATTAAAAAGTATATATGGTAGTTTTAATAAAAGTATATGGATTTGTAAAACAAGTAAAACATTAATTTATTATTATTATATATTTTTATCGCTTAAATTAAAGAAAATTATTTATAATCGATAAAAATCAGTAATAAAATATAGGCAGGCAACAGTATTTACTGGAAAATGTATGACAAGTTGCCTAAGTCAAATAAGTTTTCATTGAAGAATTAGTCTATTCTGTCAAAATAAAAAAATACCATTTAATAATAGCGTGAAGTTAAAATGTATAAAAAAAGGATCATTACTTATATTTTCATTTTTGTTCGAAAGAAAACATAGAATGAATGATTAAAACTGGTTTCCCATCAGTAAGTTACAAAATTGCGTTCCAACCACATATAATAATCAAAGGCAGCAATCTTGAAATCTAGTCCTTGCTGAATGAACAAGAATAAGGGATATTAAAGAACATGGTAAAATGATAATTTATTGTTTATTTAAAACCTTTCAAGTTTCTGATGTCTACTATTTGCAGCATTACGGTTATTATTACAAAAATAAAGGTAATTTTTCTTCTTATTGTATATCTATCCATTTATTTCTTTGATTTAATTTCCACTTTGCTACTGAAATTTTTTGTATAAGTTTCACTGTTTTTTTGCTAGTATTTGTACAATTTTCAACACAGCAACTCCGGTTGCTTATTGTATTGTTTTTACCAACTTTTTTTGAAAAAAAGTAAAATGTATACGTGTATTTGATATGCCAAAATTACAAAATATCGCCCTAAAATGCACGAATTATCCGCAGCTAGCGCTAGTATCGCTTTTGCTTCCCTTTCCACGACTTCGCACGGAGCGAATACACAAATTTTAGAGGCCTGGTAAAAATTGTTTATATTACCGGAATCCCTTAAAAATAACAGGAGAACACTTGAGAACATCACATTTGAGATTTATTTGAACTAGTTTGAAAACATAACCATACAAATCCTCAATTTTCAATTCAAAACCGTTAAAAATTATACCAACATTTTATAACTCTGTGTGTTACTTGGGATGGCGGCAAATTCAAAAAAATGAATAATATCCCGATGTGTCTTTATCATTATTCCAATTGGACCTGATTTTGTTGCAATTTATTTTAATTCCTATTGACTAGACTGTTTTCCAGACTAATTATATCGAAAATATTTTTTTATTGATCCTAGATTTTAAAAGAGGATTGAGAAAACGGGAATTTTGGTATTTCGTAATAAGAAGTTGTAGATTTTTAATTCGGTAATATTGTCCGTAAGTTCAGATTAGAATTAGAATCACGTAATCACGCAGTCGTTTGGTCGCGTCGTTGCCAGTATCAATAAAATATTTCCCTTAATGTTCGGGTTGACGTATCCTTTTTATGGTATCACATCAAATAACTTGTGTATAATGAGCTGATACATACAATTGAAAATAAAAAATGTGACAACGGAAATATCACAGAATCGGTAGCATGTCTTAAAATACCGGACTCCATTTTACACAATGATTGTAGTAGGTACAGTGTTTTCGGTCTTCAAGGCGCATTATGTTCTATTTTCGTTAAAAATGTACGAAAATACGCATAAGCACGCAGTTTTATTGTTTTTCTCTTATTATAAGTTCCATAATCTTGGGTATGTTTAATTAAAAAATATTTCTCAGAAACTTGGTAGGGAATCGGCAAAAGCGCTTACGTATAGGATTTCCCACCTAATATATATTTCTTGTGTGCCGTCGGCATAAAAATGTGTGCAACAATATTGTAGAAAATCTTGAAAGAGACAAATATAAATACAGAAAAACGGAGACTCGAAAATATAACCTTGTGGAGCACCGTTAATGATAGTTTTAGAGAAGACAAACGAGGTGCGAGTGGCAACAGATATTCGTAAATATGCCATTTTGAAATGTTTTTTTGTTTGTTACAGGGCTGCAGTATGAACTTCGGGAATCTTCTAGTAATCGTTTTTGGTCCGTGCAACCTGCAGAAAGAGGGGGATGTGCATGGCAAGGCCCCATTAGTGCGACCGCCACCGCGATGAGTACAGTGGGGGCGGGCGTTGCGAGCCCTGGACAAGCGGCCGCGGCTCGGACGCCGACGGCCCCCAAACGACCCGTCCGTCGTGGCGGCAAAGCGCCCCCCGATCGTCCGCAACGTGCCCTTTTTTGTCTCAATTTGAAGAACCCTATTAGAAAAATATGCATTGACGTTGTAGAATGGAAGTATCCTTTTTTTGAAACTTTTCTACCACAAAGTTATTATTATAATTACAATAAGGACATTTAAGCCTTTCAAAATGAAATGTTTTATCACCGTATGAAACTCGTTTTTATTCATAATTAAAAAAGTGCAGGAACTGTTTGGAGTAGCGTATGTTTATGCGCAATATGTTTGAAAATTTGACAGTATTTGTGCGAATAATGGCGCTTTCAAAACAAGTTCTTAGTACACGCACGTTGCGCCTGCAAAACAAGTTGTCAGAATACGCGCGTAGCTCCATCTTCTGGTTCATTTCAGAAACATTCCGATCTTTCCTTCTAGAACAAGAGACGTACTACTCTAGCGTTTCTAAAATCGGTCAATTATCAAATAGTACCTACAGTCTGTTCGCTATAGTTACGCGGGTTTCGGATTAAAATTTTTTATGAGTATTTCCAGGTAAGTACCCGAAAGTTTGACCTGTTCTTTGGGGAAATATCAGCTGGTTAAATGAAATGAAAAATAATGTTCAACTTTTTAATTAAATAATAATGGAGAATATTTTGTATAATTGAGAGCAGAATTAAACTTCTTCATTAATGGAGTCTAATGTGGCTATTATAAACCTAATATTAATTTTATATTACACTTCACACAGAAAATATGGTCTATGTATAATAAGAGGGTTATTTAGCTCAAATAAAATATTTTCTAACATAAAAATTTGTTCCATGTAGAGAATTTCAAATGAAAATTAAAAAAATTGAACAAAAATGAAAATCAGTCATTATCATCCAAAATATCATAATCGTCACCATCATTACTGTCATCACCATTAATTGTTATTATGGTTGGACTTATTTCATTTATTTTATTTTCACGAGTTCACCAATCTTCTATTAGTTTCTCGCACTTGGATATACAGTTCCGCCACACTTCTGGAGTTGCAATTGAAAGTGCTTTTCGCCAAGTTTCCCGAACTGCGTCGTCACTATAACCATTAGGCCCAATATGGTTGTCATATTGTTTTGCTATTCCCCATATATATTCGATGGGATTAAACTGGCAATGATACGGTGGCAGACGTAAAATTTGATGACCGTAACTTTCAATAATCTGATCCACAACAAAGGTTTTTGGTTTTGCGTGTATATTTACCAAGCGTAATAATTCTGATTTTAATATATATTGAGGAAATGGTCAACCATTCTTTAATTTTATCAACAGTCCAAGAATTCGTTGGACTTTTGTTTAATACTTCAGAATGGTAAGGTGCATTGTCTAAAATAATTACGCTGGGCTCACTTAAACCTGGGAGAAGTTTTTCATGCAACCATTTTACAAACATTTCTGTGTTCATATTATCGTGATAGTCACTGAATTTTGATTTAGATGAAAATATTAAATCAGGACCTTCTATAAAACCCGATTTCCCTCCTGTATGTAAAATTATGTGTCGCTTCCCTTCTCCATCGGTATGTTTGATGGACTTTACGTTATCATCTTGCCATATTTTCTTGGTTGCACCCCTAGAAAATATCCATGTTTCGTCTAAATATATAAAATTCGATCCTTCTTCTTTAAATTTAGAATATTTTCTTAGAAAGTTAATTCTCTTGTGCACGACAGAACTTCTTTCACAAAGGGCCTTTCTGTTATCCTCCTTTTGAAATTTAAAACCCAAGTTATGTATCACTTGCCATAAACTTGTTCTGCCAATGGTCGTCAAATTTTCTATCTATCAATTCCGAGAGAATTGTATTTGAGGTCACATGTTCCTTGTTGGCCCTCATTCGATAAATGGTATCACGAATTTCAAATTTCTTTCCATCTGGAATATCTTTCGTTTTCAGTGATGGGCGAGTTTTGCGGTGATCTTCTTTCGGCAGTTCACTATTGTGATTTTGTAATACTCCTCTTAATTTGGTTTCACTAATTCCTAGAGCATCGCATACGCGTTGTTGTACAGACATTACCGATTTTAAAGGACCTCCATTTTCTTTTTCATCCGTAAAATACTTATGTACACTACAAATTAGTCTATCTACATCTAACACACGTCTAGGCATTTTTAAAATTTCCACTAAATTTACAATATACATACAATGTCAACACTTGCAAAGAATCAATTCAACTGCAATATTTGTAACAAATTTAGTACCTACCCTAATGTTATTTTAATTTAAATCTGACCATTAGGACAATTTTACCTAATTTCTTGGGAAGAGGCTTATTGGAACTGGTTATCAATGACTAATTTGCATAATTTTGTTAATCCGAAACCCGCGTAAGTGTAGCGAACAGACTGTAGATACTCTTAATTCCCCATTATTTAACTTTCTCCAATCGTTCTGGAATTATACGACTCGTTAAACAAAATACTTTACAATATACTTTATTTTAATACTATTTCATAGGATATTTTAATAAGGACCTGGGAATCTTTTAAGGGACACACAATTTTATTGCTTATCTACATCTCGAACAATAAGTAATAATGAGGGTCATCGGCTAATACTGATTTATGACCTTATACTATTTCTGGTCTTACCATCTATACATCACTAAACGAAATACAAAAATACTATTATAATCCTAATATCTATTTAAAAACAAAAAATTCACAATGTAAACAAACAGGCACGAGTAAATTCATTTGAATCTGGAAAAAAATCCTAGCTTCTTCCTGAATGTTCTGGTTGATGAAGTCTGATACCAACTGACCCCATTTCTACAAATATTCTTATTAATTTTTCAACACAACCATCATGTACATTTTCATTAGGGTGAGAGTTTGCCTCGTTAAATATCGAGTGGTCTAACAGGCACTGTACGGTTTTGAATCTCTTGGGACTGGAAAATACCTAGTTGCGTAACACTCAAATCAAACAATCGGTCAAATAAACGAAGCTACCTCTCATTTTAAACAGAAATAACCTAATCAACTTAGTCATTCCTTTGTTTCTACGATTTAGATGAAATAAAACCTTATCATTAAGGAACAAAAGACTATAATATGGATTGAAAAAGAGTCGTAATGGAGTGTACATTATTTAAGAGGAATTTTCGTACAGATTATTATTTTAGAACGACTATAAACTATGATTTTTCATTGTAATAATTATAATATCGAAATAAATACTTAATACTTACACTATACTATGTGTATCTGTAGTAAGAGGCAAGTTCGCAGGTACAATATCGGAGCGCACACAAACCGCTCTAAACATTGTCGACGAGTGGTGCAGAGAGGAGGAACTAACAGTAAACCCTCACAAAACCACAATAGTCAACTTTACAAAACGAAAAGTACCAACAGGACTAAAGTCACCAGTACTGAAAGGAGTGAAGATTCCATTCGCTCAAGAGGCCAAATACTTGGGAGTCATCTTTGACCACAGGTTAACATGGAATCAACACTTGCAAAAAGTCACCCAAAAGAGCACAACGTCCTTCAACTTATGTCGAAGGTTGTGTGGAAAAAATTGGGGATTACAACCAAAAATGTCCCTGTGGTTATATACCAGAGTCATAAGGCCGATGATAACCTACGGGTCGGTGGTATGGTGGCCAAAGACTAGGCAAGCTGGAGCCATTCGACAGCTCAATGGTATTCAAAGGCAAGCATGCCTGAGTACCACGGGAGCTATGAGAACGACTCCAACAGCAGCTATAGAAGTCATGCTAAACCTAACACCACTACATATATTCATTCAAGGCGAAGCCAGGTCTGTCACATACAGACTGCACAAAGGTTCATCGCCCATAAGCAGTTTGCATGGACGCGACTACAGCGAGCTATATAAAGAGTTGGAGAACGACCAAATAATGGGAATGCCTTCAGACGAAATGCTTCCAAAGTATAGCTTTCAAAAGCAATATAAAGTAAGTATACCAGACAGGGAAGCGTGGACGGGAGGACCTCCTATTCATGCAGATCTCACCTGGTATACAGACGGCTCCAAAACCCATGAAGGTTCAGGAGTAGGTATATAGTACCAAGCCAAAGACAGGAATCTCACTGAGCTTAGGAAAACATGCGACAGTATTCCAGGCAGAAATAGCAGCAATACATCACTGCGCAAAAGAAGTATTAAGACAGAAGGTAAATGGGAAAACCATTGTCATATACTCAGACAGTCAAGCGACGTTAAAAGCACTCAGTTCCATGCAGGTACACTCAAAGCTTGTGTGGGACTGTTTGGAAGCCCTAACAGAGCTGGGTAGTCAAAACAGACTAACCTTAGCGTGGGTACCAGGCCACAGGGGACACAAAGGCAATGAAGAGGCTGATTTACTAGCCCGAGAAGGAGCATCAAATGCTCTTATTGGCCCAGAACCCTTCTGTGGTGTAACAAAAACAACTATCAGAACATGCACAAAGCAGTGGATGTTTAAAAAATCTCAGGAGTGGTGGGAAAACTCACCAGGACAGAGACAGGCCAAAAAGTTCTTAAAAGGACCATCGTCTAAACTCACCGAGCATCTACTAAGCCTTAATAGGAAAAATACTAGAATACTAGTAGGTCTATTAACAGGGCATTGTAGGCTTAACAAACATATGTTCAATATCGGTCTGACAGAAGAGGCCTTGTGCCTATTCTGTCAAGAAGAAGAGGAAACGGCAGAACACGTATTGTGCTACTGCGAAGGTCTAGTAAGACTGAGATTCCTTACACTTGGAGAAGAAAAACCAAGGGCAACTAGCTATACCGGAGAACTACTTTCCAGTCTATGGAGTTTACTACAAAATACCGCATTAGACAAGGTACTCTAAACAATGATTAAAGGATATCCACAATAGATCTGAAAAGGTCGAGGTGGGGGAGGCCACATGGCCCATAGTCCTAATTAAATCTAATCTAATGTGTATCTGTAACATGTGGAGGTGAGTTGCCCCACTTGACAACGTCACCGAAAAGTGCTTCTTTTATATCGGCCGGTGTTAGCCAATACTCGCCGAATACAAATCTTCTAATAAATGAGAGCATCAGGCAATCGTAGAGGATATGCTCGATAGTATCATCTTTTTCTTCACACGCCCTACAGAGTGCAGATTCTGACAGCCCCATGATATGGAGATGGTTCCAAAGATTCTGTCTAATCATAGTACTTACTGCAACTACTAAGTAAGGACGCCAGTTGTTTTAGTAACAAGCGATATTAAGACAATGATTTGCTAAATGTTAATTCAAATAAGGCTAATAAATAATACAAGTAGTGTAATCCAAGTAAAGGTATAGCAGCGGTACACCACTGCATTGATGACCATGACAGGAGGGGTGGAGGAGAAAAAATTCGACAACTTACTTGGCTGTTGGATTCGTAGTTTACTAAAAGTTGAAACCAACACAAACTATAAATACGGCCCTATCGTTCGCTTATCAAGTGGACTGTCTCCTTTCGGTGCTAGCTGCAAACATCTCCATACAGATAATGAAATTCCAATAACTTCGTAAAAACAATTTGTTGTGCAAAAACGCTACGCGACAACTTTTAAATTTGTACATATTTACACTAAACTGTTATTTAAAAATACCTAGAGGCTTAACACTGCCTTAGGGTTAATATTATTTTATTATTATTTGATTATCTTTGCTCAAAGAACTATGTCATCATGTTTCTAGTGAAACCCATCTGACTTATATTGAAGTACAGACCGTTTTGATGTTTTTGCCGTTCAAAGAGAAGATATGTATGTCTACATGCCATAAACTGGTTTGCCTTGAGTGGTTTCGTGCTGAGGCAACTCAGTGGACGCGACTATGGTCACGTAAACGTTTATTTATTTACCGCATTGAAACACCTGTGCACTGAGTACAGGGCCGTCACTGAATATATTTATTTTGAAACACTTTGTAATAAAATATTTAACGACATAATATAGCAATCATTCGACAGATGTCCGACGAGGTGGCTGCAAATTGGTGTAAAATGAAATTGGATGAAGCCGCTTTTAGACGGAAGGCGCATCGCTTTAGAATTGAAGATGGAGACAAAGGCTAAGTTTTTAATTAACTTTTATGAAGCACATATGCAGACTGGAAAAATAGTTTGGAAATGTCTAAATTTCAAGCAATCTACAAAATTTGGGATTAAGGACATGCCGATTCCAGTTTTATTTTTTGCATTTTTGCCGATAACATTAACTACCTGACACCATCGGTTGCCAAAAGTTGATTATTATATTTATTTATAGATGATTTTTTAATTATACCGTTAATCATATTGTTACGCAGCACCCTGCAGTACCCTGCGGCTGTTAGGAAACGTACAAATACAAAAAAAAAGAAGTGCAATGTTACTCATCGCCCTACAGTGTGTTGCGGTCGTGAAGTAAAGTAAAAGTACTAGTAAAAGAAAATAGAATAGTCCAGAAATATCTGGAAATGTCATTCCACGTCAAGGAAAAGTCTAAATAGTTCGAGAATGTTCGAGAAGGTTAAAGCAAGCTATATAAGCAGGGATTCTGACGTCAGTTTTTCAGTTTTATGATAGACGTTATCCGTTAAAGTTATCAGTTGTATAATTATTGTTAAAGTTGAGTTAAAATAAATTGAGATACCAAAAACCTGTGTAATATTGGTGACAGCGTTGGTTCCTCTTCTCTAGTTATTCGCCCTGAATAACTTGATTACCGGGACCTGGATGAAGCCAACGGGGAGGATCCGGACCACAATATAGCGCTAACTTTTCAATGTGAACTACCTTGGGTTTACTTCTCGCTGACAACTGAATGTGGTAGATCAGGTCGTTGATTTTGTTGAGGACGGTGTAGGGGCCTTCCCAGTTCCATTGCAGTTTCTGACAAAGTCCTTTCCGACGCTTGGGATTGTACAGCCATTCTGTATCTTTCTCTTAAGTTCTTTATGTACGTGGGAGGTGTACGGTTCTCTTCTTCACCAGGAGGCTGCCTTTCAATGGTGACAGCGGTGGGATTATATTGTGGCTTGGTTCGGTGATGGATGACGACGAGGTAGTGTTTTCAGCTTTAATGTTGCTTACCGAAGCTTGGCTACGAATTCTTCTTTCTAACTCTACCATTTCAGCTCTAATTTGCCTTTCTAACTCTACTCTTGCCTTTTCCTGTTGTTTTAAATTCTCTTGTTGTTGTTCTAAATTGGTTTTTAAATTCTGTTGCTGTTTTTAGATTCTCTTGTTGTTACTCTAAATTATTTTTTAACTTCTCTTGCTGTTGTTCTACATTAGTTTTTAAAAACTCTTGTTGTTGTGCCAAAAGATCTACTTTATTGTTAAGCTGACCAACCTCTTGCTTGAAGGTATCCTGGATTTGTAGCAACCCGTTCATAATTTCAATCGCTTCTTTTCTATGCCTTTCCTTTTTCTCCTCTTCTTCGTCCCTCCTGTACCTTTCCTTTTCCTCCTCTTCTTCCTTCCTACGCCTTTCCTTTTCCTCAAATACAAAAAAAAAGAAGTGCAATGTTACTCATCACTCTACAGTGTGTTGCGTAACAATATTCTCTACTCCACAAAATTATATTATATACCGACTTTTATTACTTTTTATTTAAATCGATATAATCACGAAAACAAAGGTTTTACAACTCTTCAATCCCAGTTCAAATAGTAGCAGTAGGATTGTTTAATTAGCAAATACGGGTTTTAGAATGTACATTTAAGATCGATCAATTTAGTTTATCATCGTACCCTGGAGATGCTGCCATGCTCAGCGAAACATGCGATACATTAGTATCGTAAATAACTATATTTTACGTTGTTTTCCTTAACAGTTACACAGACCTTTCGAATGGTTGATTTTACTTACTATCTTTGCAAATTGTGTTGCCTTAGCTGTTTATACACCTTTTCCAAACACAGATTCAAATACGACAAATGCAATTTTGGTAAGATTTATTATCACTAGTATTAATTTATATTTGATTAATTGGATTTGTTTTTAGGAAAAAGTTGAGTACGTCTTTTTAGTTATTTTCACCACAGAATGCGTCATGAAAATTCTAGCTTATGGGTTTCTTATGCATCCAGGGGCGTATTTACGGAATGGTTGGAATTTACTTGATTTTACAATTGTTGTTATAGGGTAATTTACTTTTAGATGTTACGGTATACATGACAACGGATAATTAATGTAATTTTTAGGTTAATTACTACTGTACTGCAAAATCTGAGTAAAGAAACATTCGATGTGAAAGCTCTGAGAGCTTTTAGAGTTCTTCGACCTTTAAGACTCGTTTCTGGTGTACCAAGTAAGATGATTTTTTTTTTAATTTTAATAAAATCAGATTGCGTGAACGTTTTAAATATTTCGTTTTGAAAATTGTAAATAATAAAGCTGCAATTTTCAAAATGAACTACGAATATAGTGGAACTTATATTTTTTAGATTTAACAATCAACAACACGAAAAAGAAGACGTTCGTTGTTAGAATTGTTTGTATCCAAAATGTGCGTGTAAGGTAAGAAAAAGCAAAGCAAAATAAAGATCAGATCGTGGAAGTTCAATTTTCAATTTGTTGTCAATGCAAGGTACGTCTATTTATACAGGGTGATAAGTTTTAAAGTGCCCTGTATAAATGCGAGGTCAGAAAGATCAGAATACGTGAAAAAATTTCTCTAAACGAACTTACCTTGCATTTTAAAAAGCCTTGTACTGAATTTCCACGTAATGATCTTTACTGCCTTACTTTTCTTTGCCTTGCATTCACAATAAAAATAATGTCATATCTCAAGGCGCAATCGTTCCGTACAATACCGAATGAGCGAACAATTGCAAACAAGTTTTACATGAGTTTTACTGAAATAAAAAGCTTTGGAAACAGCCATCAATTAAACAAGACGTCAATGTTTCCCACGTCGCACAAAAAATGAGCAGGAGCACCATCTAATTGTAGCCACATTTGTTGCCTTGTATATCTTCGAAAAGCAGCCAAAAATCTGAACAAAAAATCTCCAAAAATTATATCTATTTTGACGGTCAACAACTCTAAATTGATTCTGATTTTTTGTACCGTAGTAATGGAAATTGTGACGATTTACTAAGCCACTGGTATGGAAATAGTAAAAATTTTCTCCTATCTGTTCTAGCGCTCATAAACCAAGGGCGTAGATAAGGGGGGTAATAGGGGGTAATTACCCCTCCAAGCCATAGTCAACATCAATATTTTTTTAAACGTTATATTAAACAAAAATATAGAGATAAAATAAATACAATTAAACAAAGAGTTTCTCAAACATTGTTATCTAAAATAATAATATTCCTACAAATTGAAAATTAAAATTTATATACAGGGTCCCATTAGTTCGTAATTGTTCAATATTTCAATTTGTGTTATTGACAAGCAAACAAGTTTTAATAAAAGTTATATGGAATTGAAAAATACATATTTTAAAAATATTTTTGGATATACCGGGTGTTGCGTTTTTGCCTGACAAATAAAAATGTATTTATTTTAAATAGGTAGAACACCCTATATTTTATTTTATTTTTAGAATGGCTTGGGAATACTGTATTTAATCCTAGAATGTTTTTAAAAAATATTACAGTGTTGCCAAACAATTTTTTTTTAAATTAGAGAATGATGCATACAACTTTTATATTAATTTGTTTTTCCTATTTCCAATAATAAAACAGCTATCGATCAATTTCGCACTATTGGGACATGTGGGTATCGTTTAATAGGTAAATTTATATGCAATTTTATGCGAAAATAATATACAGTGTGTTGCATTTGACAAAATTGAGTAAATTGAACTTAAAATTAGCCATATTTAAGACATGTTTCAAAATACTCTGCATAAAATAAATCAGTTCTATCACCTCGGAAATGGAATAGTCTACAAAGATCAACCAGAAGTCCCTTTTTGTGACAAATATTTATTAATCTTAAGTTTTATGAAATGTAAGGTGTTCAAAAAGTTTTGAAAAAAATTGTTTCTTTATCCCTTCACTCTAAGCCAATGGGTTATGGTAATTTATCGAAATAGTGTGTTAACCAATATTAACGATTACCTATCATATACATATTTTCAAGTTAAGGTCCTTACTGTATGGGAAGATATTTAGAAAATATGTATTTATGAAATTCACTGTAGAATGAAAACTGGGACGTTTATAGGAAAATTATATTTAGATTTTCTTTATAATTGATTAATATCTACAAATCCCCAAAATTACGGTACTTTATTCTGAAACACCCTGTATAAATATATAAAAAATTAAAAACTTCATTATAAAACTCTTTTTTCTGGAAATACACATATGAACTCTAGACGTTGCATTTGTACCATATTCTAAGATAACACGCTGCGCATTTACCAATAATGTGAAAAGTGTTAACCCCCCCCAAGAAAACAACCTGGCTACGAACTTGTCATAAACTAAAATCAACGCGTCGTTGAAAATCGGTACCGTATAAATGTTGATGAAATTAGATAGTTTCTTGAGAATTCTCCGTACATTGTTTCTACGTATATCCGTTTGCCTCGAAGTTTCTCTGGTGCTAATATTAGCATCTCTGCTAATGAACTTAATACCAGAAATTCGTTGTCTTCATTATCAATTATTTACTCACTGTTTATTTTGAATATGTAACACTGCCAGTACGAAATCGTTCTAAAATTCTATTACTGGGTGTTCTATTTAAAATAACGGAATTTTTAGTATTTAAAGCTATCTAGAATAAATAAATATTTTTTAAACACCCTGTATTTAGGATATATTTGCATTTTTAAACATCCCTTATTTTTGAAAACACTTGAATATAATCAAAAATGATACACTCTAGGTATAAAAAACCCTTAACAAAGTTACAACAATTTTCTTTGTAGAATTAAGAAATGCAAAAAAAAATAACTTTAATTTGCAACACTTTCCTGTATAATTTAATTATTTTTATCATCATCATCATCATTAGGCCTGTATTGTATTATTTTTACATGTTTTTTTTTTACTTTGTGTATGTACAAATATAAGTTGCTTAACACCCCTCTTGGGTATCTATTCTTGAATCTGAGGGAGTAGAAATTTTGAGGAAAGTATGAGACATAATTTCAAATTATGTATATTTGAAATAAAGATAAACGTACTTTCTATTCCTTCGAATTCTAAGTGTACCCTTCTTCTAGATCTTGCAATATCTCATAGTTGTTTCTCTGTCTATGTTTGTTTTCACCTATTTTTGCCGGTCCCAATATTTTTCTTAGTATCTTTCTTTCGCAATTTTTAGTTTTTCTTAATATCGTTTTATAAATTTTTTGTTTGGTTTGTTTTTGTATAACCAGGTCACCACATAAACAAGTTCTGATGGTCTAGGAGTTAGGACGTTGGAACGGTGGAAGGTCGCGAGTTCGAGCTTAGTCTAGAGCAGAATTTTTCAATTTTTCAAATTTTCTTTGGTTTTTTTTATTGCAACCCGATTTCTGTAGCAATTTAAAACGACAAAATTTTCTCAATTAACCTTCAGTTTATTGTTTCAACAATTTTTGTTTGTGTTTAGTTTTTACATAAAATGAAAAATTACTCACAATACAGATCGAGTCTCCAATAATTGTACATACATCTAAAGCAGATAAAAAACAGCTGATCAATTGGAGTGGATATTTCTAAAGTTTATTTTAATGAAGTAACCGAAGAAACAAAACGAAACTAATTTAATAATAAGGTATAAATGCAAAAAAGTAATTGGTCAATTCAAAACATCGTTACAAAAATAATAATATTGTGTAGCACCACCACTGGCTTACCTTTGGAACTCTCATAAAATTACACTGCTCAACAATAATTGAACACTGGATAATTCTAATTGCCTAGAAATTATAATTTAAAACTTATCTATCTATCTATTTATAACTGAAATTTTTAGAATCCTACAACCACTCCAAATATAACAACAATTGACTCATGAGTTGCAAGCGTTGGGGAAACAATACCTCAGCAGTCAGCACTATATCAATAATTTGGTAATGAGTCTTCCAAATAAAGTAAAAGACGTTGGTAACACGATATTATTTTTTTGTAATGATGTATTTCTCAATAAAAGAATTATATAAGTTTAAGTTGAAGATTTTCGTTTTGTGTCTTTGGTTACATCATAAAATTAATGCATCAACTGATTAAATTTCCTTGTAGTTTTTCATTTCAGATATTAACACATTCAAATTTCAATTTTTGTGCAGTGTGATATTTGGGAGAGTAGTTCAATTGCCTAAAAATTTTGAGCAAATAAAAAATGGGGAAAATATCAAATTAACATTTATTTTGTTGATATACAAGATAAAATTTGTATTTTTAGACAAGAGTCAAATTGTAAACAATAATCAATGTTCGGATTACTTTCACTTTTGACGTTTGTGGCTTTGTTGGGCAAACACTGCTCGTTCATTTGCTCATATCGTGCGCAATCGCGCTACTGCGGAACGAATGCTCTATTGAATTCCTATGCATCTTAACACCTTACTTTCGTGGAAGAATAATGTTTTGTGTTTTTAGGTTTACAAGTTGTGTTAAATTCGATTCTTCGTGCCATGGTGCCTTTACTGCATATAGCTCTGTTAGTACTATTTGTTATTATAATTTATGCAATTATTGGATTAGAATTATTCTCAGGAAAATTGCATAGTACTTGTTATGATAATAGTACAGGTAAGAAAATCTCTAAACCGACCGTATAAAGCGCGAAAGTAAAGTTTTACTCCACCCTACTAATTTCAGTAGATTTTTATTTCTAATAAAGTACATTTGTACACTGGCCAGCAAAATTAACGCACCACTAAATTCTTTCTAAAGTCTCAGCTTTAAGACAACGATTTGTGACAGGAAAATTGCTACAGATACAGCTACAGGAAACAGATGAACTCAGAATTTCAACTGATACTGTTCGTCGACGCCTAGCTGAATCTGATATGAGGCCAAGAATCCCAGCGCGAGGACCAGCTTTGACTCCAGAGCATCGTAGAGCAAGGGTAAATTTTGCTAGAGTACACATCGATTGAGCTGCTGCTGAAGATTGGGAAAGACTTCTTTGGTCAGATGAAAGCAGATTTTGTCTCTACAACTCAGATAGACCTATAAGAGTTTATCGAAGACCAAATGAAAGATATGCCCAATGTAACTTCCAAAACACCAGATTATTTGGTGGAGGGTCAGTTATGTTTTGGGGAGGAATCTCTTTAACTGCTCGTACTGACTTGGTGGTTATTAATAATGGCAGTTTAACAGCACATAATGGAGATCCTGCAAGAACATGTGATACCATTTGGCCCTTACATTGGTGAGAATTTTTTGTTTCAGCAAGATAATGCTAGACCACATGTTGCTCAGATTGTGCAAAATTATTTTAATGAGGTTGGAATTGAAACTATGGATTGGCCAGCAAACAGTTCTGATCTTAACCCAATTGAGAATGTTTGGACATGATCTACCGCCATTTTCAAGAACTTCCTAACCCTCCTAACACTTTGAATGGGCTTACTGGAGATATTGTCCAAATATGGAATAATTTGGATGAAAACGAGATAAGGAACGTAATTTTAAGCATGAATATGAATAATCGCTGCCGAGCTCTTATTCAAAATAGAGGAGGAAATACCCGTTATTAATTATTTTTAACTAAAGTTAATTTTTTTATTTTTTGAATTTTCTTGTTTTTTTTTTCTATATTTTTTCTTTCCTTCTTTTGGAATTTTATCTTTTGTTAATACCATTATTAAGTTAGAATAAGAATATACTTAATTAAGACATAAAAATATTTGAGAAAAATATTTTTCAAAATATAGTAGTGGTGTGTTAATTTTGCTGGCCAGTGTACTAATTTCAACTCCTTGCACAGGGTCGACTGATAGCTCATTCGAAAGGATTTTAATTATCTATTCAATCGTTTAAATAATTTTAAATTTGCTTGATTAATTTCTACAAAAAAAGTAAATGGAAAATAACACTTTTTTGCACTAGTGCGGGAAAGTATGTCTTGAAATGCGAGTATAAAGGTGGCATTTTTGGCACGCTCGTATACTTCGCTTAAAGAGTAAGTTCTCAGAAATGTAATAAAAGTTTGACTCTCTAAAAATAATAGATAAACTATAGATGTATATAATTATACATATATATTATATATAATTATAATATAATTTGTAGGTGGTCAATTAATTCGTTTTTTACGTGAACTACAGAAAAAATTAAAGTATTTTTATAAATTACTAAATGTATTCAACAATTTTGACATACTTAGGACTTTTTAATTATTTCAGATATGGAATTTTTTAACTTAGAACTTTTAAAAATCTTTCTGATTTTCACGAAAAATAGTATATATCACTGCCACTTTCTGAGGAATTGTCATCCGATTTTAATTCTATTATATTCATCTCTTCGTGTCTTTTTAAATTCAACTAATAGCAAACCATCCTCAAGAAAACCATTCGTTTGCCTATATGAGTGACAATTAATTTTTTACCTTTACTTAATACTAGTAGTAGTAGGACATCCTTGCATAAAAGCTTTTGTCTTTCCAAACTCTACCTACACTATGTCCTGCATTAACCCACGTTTCGTCTAAATAATAAATAATGTTCTAATTTTTTTTATCCAAATTTGTTTTATTCTTCAGAGGTAGGTAGTTTCTCCTCCAACATACAAGCATTAACTGTCTCATTTTTTCATACGTTTAATTCATGTTTCCATAATTTATCTCTGCTTCTTGTGGATAAAGCAGCACACACATTTACCTCAACTAAATTTGGTTTTCTTACTATCAATCAAAAATCAATTTAGATTAATTTTGGCCTTGCCCATTAAAAGGCCACTGAACAAACGTTATTCATTTCTAAAAATATAATACATAAGGTTACGTCTATGGTCGAGGGAAAATCCACATAAACAGATTTTTAGGTCCATTGGTATAATAGTAGAAGATAAAAATAAACAATGCTATAGTTAGTACGGGTATGATTATTTTTATTACATTTCTGTAAACGCACTTCTTTTTGTTCATCAAGTAGAGACTATAGAAAATGTTCTTATTAAAAACTAGTCAGAGGTCCAGTATGGAAATTAATCTTCTTTGTTTTCGTTATTAAAATTATTAAAATTCCAAATATTATCCATATTTCAAAGTAGTCCGAAGTAGAAGAGAAAAACCCTAAGTCTGTCAACCACAGGATCTCTAATTAGATTTTTTCAAAAAGTGTTAAAAGCTTGCAAGTGCCTTCGATCTTATAAGATCATTTTCAGGCAAAGAAAAATGTGTAGAAAAATTACTAGAAGAAATCCAGAAAGAAATCTAAAAATTAAACGTTAAACAACGCATCAAGTAAAGAGAGTAACTCGTGACTCGCCTGTCTGCCTGCCTGCCGTGATTTGACGCATGGTTACACCTCTACCATTAGTAGGATAACATGTATTGTTCTAATTCTGTCTATTCAATAGCATCGTTTTTCTATACCGTTCTCCTGGAGTCAGTGTTGGAAAATTAACCCCCTTCCCCCCCATAGTTAGTCTTCAACTCTCTTGTGGGGTTTTCCTTTTGCTTGATCAGCACAGGAATTCTTATGTACGAACTCGACTGGTTACGCATTGAATAGAGAGAGACATTCCATAGGAATCGCAGTCTATCGAACGAAGATAGGCGTCTCGAAATATGCTGTATTAAAAGATGAGAATCCTACTGCAGATGGAGGCAGAATAAATTTAAAGTCTTTCCTCCCCATGTATATTGTTGATGAAGCTTATGGATTTCTTCTAGTGATTTTTCTACATATTTTTCTTTGCCTGAGGATGACCTTAGAAGGTCGAAAGCGTGTGCAAGCTTTAAACATTTTTGAAAAAAATCTAATTAAAAATCCGGTGGTTGACAGACTTTGTTTTTCTCATTTCTTCGTGATTAAAATTATTTGTTAAAAAAATTACGTATTGTATAGGTAAAGAGATGGATGAACCTCACCCGTGTGGAGTAGACGAGGGTGTGGGGTTTGATTGTAGCCAACTCAATATGGTGTGTAAAGAAGGTTGGACAGGTCCAAATGACGGTATTACAAATTTTGATAATTTTGGTCTCTCCATGTTAACTGTGTTCCAATGCATTACCCTAGAGGGTTGGACTGACGTGCTTTACAATGTAAGTATTACTTACTACACGGTAATATATCGTAGTAGGTATCATCTAGTGAAATTGAGGTTATTTTAGATACAAGATTCTTTGGGAAGAACATGGCAATGGATTTATTTCGTATCGATGGTAATTCTAGGTGCATTTTTCGTAATGAATCTAATTCTCGGAGTGTTAAGTGGGTAAGTTGACCATTTCATGTAGCTTTATTGATTAACTAATCTTAAATGTTAGTGAGTTTTCCAAGGAAAGAGAAAAGGCCAAGGCGAGAGGCGATTTTCACAAGCTCAGAGAAAAACAACAACTCGAAGAAGATCTGAGAGGATATTTGGATTGGATAACGCAAGCGGAAGACATTGAACCAGAAGGTGAAGACCATCAAAACCAAGATAGAAATATAACGCAAAATGAAATGGAATCCACCGATCATATAGGGGAAGAAGAAGTGCAACAGGACTCTTGGTTTAAAAGAAAGAAGAAGGATTTCGACCGAGTTAATCGTCGGATGCGAAGATCTTGCAGGAAAGCTGTTAAATCTCAATCTTTTTACTGGCTCATCATTGTTTTAGTATTTTTGAATACTGGAGTTTTAGCGACGGAACATTACAGGCAACCGCAGTGGTTGGATGAGTTTCAAGGTGAATAATTTTTTTTGTAATTTTAGCATTATTTCCATTAATTCTGGTTTTATTTCTTTTACAGAATATACAAATATGTTTTTTATTGCTCTGTTTACGATGGAAATGTTGTTAAAGATGTATAGTCTAGGTTTTCAAGTAAGTTATTCTTTTAATGAACACTATAACTTACTATTACATTGATTTTTATTTCAGGGATACTTCGTATCATTATTTAATAGATTCGATTGTTTTGTTGTGATTGGTAGTATTATGGAGATGATTTTGACTAATTCTCATGTGATGCCTCCTTTGGGAATATCTGTGTTACGTTGTGTTAGATTATTAAGAGTATTTAAAGTAACCAAGTAAGTGGATATCAAACACAAAAATAAAAATTGTTGATGCATACTTATACTTTACATGTTTCAGGTACTGGCGATCTTTATCAAATTTAGTTGCGTCGTTATTAAATTCTATTCAGTCTATTGCATCTCTACTGCTTTTACTGTTTCTGTTTATTGTTATTTTTTCTCTCCTGGGAATGCAAGTTTTTGGTGGAAGATTCAATAAAGATACCGAAGAAAAAACCAGATACAATTTCGATAGCTTTTGGCAAAGTTTGCTGACTGTGTTTCAGGTAAATTAAATTCTCCAGCTTATTTCTATCATTTGTAAAATGCAGCAGAAACAATAAAATTTAGACACAAAAGAGAATTCTGATGTGAAGGATTCCTGATATGCAGAACAATGCATTTGCTGACATTCAAAGGGGAACGCCATTGGTTGCACCAAAGCCATTTTATCGTATTGTATTGTAATTGTATTGAATTTTACGTTTATTTTCTATTTTTAGATATTAACGGGAGAGGATTGGAATGCAGTTATGTACGAGGGAATACAGGCGTATGGAGGTGTTGAGTCACCAGGTGTTCTATCATGTATTTACTTTATAATTCTCTTCATTTGTGGTAACTGTATCCTTTTGTAAAACTTATCAACAAAACATATTTGTTTAAGTATGCTCATTTTCATCCTTTGGTTTACTTGAGCTGGATTTTAGTCTCTTTAACACCATGTATATCGAATTCCTAACGAATATATCAGATATACTGCTGAACGTGTTCTTGGCCATCGCTGTAGATAATTTAGCTGATGCTGAATCACTTACTGCTATTGAAAAGGAGGAAGAAGAAGGCGACAGGAAATCGAAAAGTCCTTCACCGCAAGAAGAAGCAGAAGAGGAACACAGTGTTGAAGAGGAGGAGACTGATGATGGACAGTATTCTGGAAGGTTTGTACTTTAATTTATAAATCTTAACTACGTTCCGATATTCTATGTAACGATTATAATATTTTAAGATCGGAACATGATGAAGAAGTGGAGTCTCGAACCAAAATTCAAGAAGAAGAAGAAGCGGAATTCGAGGAAGACCAAAATGAAGGTAATATACCCGATTTTTCATTACTCTTTTTTGTGAAAATATTTGAATTATTGATTTGTTTATAATGTTCTAATGAAGACAATGTTAAAAGGCTGATTTTCAATGTATTTGTCTGTCATATATGAGTTAGAACAAGAAAATAACAATGATTTTTAGAGGAAGATCTAGATATTGACGTTGACGACGATGAAGCAGAAGTTGTAACTAAAGAGACAGCAAGACCTCGTCGTTTGTCCGAGGTCACAATTGTTAAGAAAATACGCCCTATTCCCAAAGGCAGTGCCTTCTTTATATTTTCACATAAAAACAGGTAGGCCCCTTGACACAGAACATAGCTGCTGAAGCCCACTTATTTTTTTTTCTATTCGATGGGTCTGAGTTACAATTTAAATACTATTTGACACAATTCACCCTTGTTTTGAACATAATGATTATGCAATGCAGCAACAGTACAAACAATAAAAGTTGTAACTTGCATATTTTATCTAGGCGAAATTTTTAAAATCCTACTGTTACGTTTAAAAAAAGGTGAGGGGTGGTTACATCCTTCCCCTGCATATCTAAGTTACAAGCTTTATTGTGCTGTAGAGTAAATCAAAAGGAAATTTGTTGATCTTAAAAGATAAGAAGTGATGGTTGTCAAATAATTTAAGTTAATTACGGCCTTTTTAAAATTTCACTGTTCTTTTTCTCTCTCTTTCACTTTCTTTACTAAACGGTTTTTTAACGTAACGTAAAAAGCTGATACTCCTAGCAGCAGCAGCTGTGTTAATTAGGAGCTAACAGTAATATGTGCGTATGTGTGTGTGCGTTGCAGATGGAGATGATGAGGCGGGCAACGACGTTGGGGCGAGACCACGCCGTATGTCTGAAATTAAACAAACAACCACACAGACGTTGCCAATACCGCCAGCGTCATCTTTCTTCATTTTTTCTCCTACAAACAGGTGAAATGTGGTAGACTGTGGTGCCTTAAATAAAGTTGATTTTCGATTGCCAGCAGGGTTCCCAAATTCTTAATGATCCCTTATAAGGATTGATTTTTGTTTATACTAACTTACATATTTTATGGTTATTGTTTGAAGCATTTAATTGTGACGTTTTAATTTACAATATTATGCTGGTTCATGAAATGTTCGATGTATCAAGCAGTCCAAACTCAGGAAAACTTTAGACAGACAAGCAGAGATGTATATGATCTCTAAAAAATCAACAAGTACAACTCAAAAATATAGAGGAATAATCTTAGAGTTACTACCAAAATCGCACTTCCCTGAATGTAAAATTATTCTTGGCCAAGAGAATAGGAATAACGAGGTAGTAGTTCCTCAAAAATAAACTGGTATTTGGCAAATGAAATAGTAAACAAAACAAAATTTGTATGGGCGATGATTTTTTCAATCATACAAGATAGCAGGAACTTCAAAAAGGTCAGTAAGAACTGGAGGGACAACTGTGTAAATTAGCATAACTCTCGGATATGTTCCACAGAGCTGGAGGGCCTTATTCCCAAACCTGAGAGGGCGTCTTTGAGACCAATCAGCATAATTTCTCTTAAAATAGAAATTGATAGATGGATAAATACAGGACGATATTTTACGGGATATCCCAATACATCGATACCAGTTTGTCTACCAATCTGGAAACTCTTGCGATGCGCCATACATAGGCTAGCTCAAAAAACTGAACAAGTATTGGAAATCAAAGAAATCTGCTGCGTACAATTCAATACTGGAATCTATGCATAGGGTTGGCGTAGCATACTACATTCCACAGGTTTGAATCCATGCTTAGGCATAAAACCATTACCGCTAATCTCTTATCACAACAAAAGAGATCTAAATTAACAAGGGAGGAGTTTTAACTCCACTCATGTGGACTTTGGTGGTTGATAATTTGTTATAGTAGAGAAAAAAAAACTATACACGTAAGCATTGCAGAAGATATATAACAAATGAAGCAGTTATAATCTTGCTTCTGGTGTCGAACTTTGTGAACCAGAAATTTGAATAAAGAATGCTGTCAACGACAAAGCTATGCACCTAGATAAGTGGCTGAATAAGTGTGTCGTTGATTTGTAATAGGAATAATACTGGAAAATTTAGAAAAATAATTCTGCTGAATGAGACGGAAGTGGTTATAAATGAGCAATTAAGACCTGCTTAATCAGAGCCTTAAATAAGAGTCGACTGGCCTACATCTTGACTGATACATTGGGATTTTATGGAACCGTATTTTAGAATTTAAAATGTGTTTTTTCAAATGGGGATATTTACAATTTTCATTATTTTTAGTTTAGTAGGTAATTTTTTTGCCATGAATATGCCTACTCAATAATGGTACATTTTTATCTTCAATATTATCTATAAGAAACCGAAATAATAAACATTATTAAGAAGTATCTTATCATTGATAAAAAAATAATGCACCATGTCAAAGCTGAAGAGAAATAAAAACAAACTTGGGAATTATATAAATACAAGTACGCTTCAAAAAAGGTTAAATAATTTGTTCAAGGAAACTGACTTTAAGGTGGCAATTGATGATTTTGTCAAATCAAATAAAAAACCACTTCAGCTTATAAACGTAAAATTTACATGGATTGTTCTGAAATTCGAAGCAGAGTGTCTCGCTAAACCATTGAAGGCCCGTCAATTAATACAGGCACATTGGGCTACTGTGAAAATCCAAAAAATAAAAAAACAAGAAAATAACCCAATTTGAAAAAACGCTTCTTAATTATAGAATTTTACATCTATGAGGAAAGGCTCAAACAGTTCACATGGAAATAATAATGTAAAATATTTATCTGTTGATTTCAATGGTTTAATTACATTAATAACAGTAGTTGTAGTAGTAGTTCATTCATAAATCCTCCAAGTCCTTTACTAATAACATCAGTGTATTAAAACCTGTAGGTATGTGCTGTAGCCAAATTTTGGACGTGGCTAAAGGTATAACTTGGTACTTAACTTAAACTATCTTTTAACTTATAATCTAACTAGAAATTGTCTTTGAGTTACGGGAACTCTGCATTGTTGATAGAGTGTTGCGCTTATTGCAACCCCATTCTGGCACTTGGCACTCTAGTGTGGTCCCGCACTTGTTTGTTCAGTAGTGCGACCCAGCCGAGTAGTATACCTGCATTATACCTGTAGAAATGTACTTACAGTTTATCATAGACAACCAGCATCTGTGGATAATATCTAATTGAAAACTGTTCGCTGTGCCATTGTCAATAATTCGTTTAGATGAATTTGGTTTGAAAGCTGGTTGCTTGCTTTTGTGTTTCAATGTCTTTTTGCATGGCTCATTGCGATTATAACCCAATACATGTACAGGGCGTTTTACGATTAACGGTACGGTTTCACCTCCAAAAAAGTGCGCCTCTTTAAAATTACCATAAAAGAGGAAATTCAACATGGAATTACGAAGGTGAACAAAAGCACAGGATCGATTATAAAATCGTTAAAAACAAGATTTTATACGCTTTGCGAAGTTAAGAATATTCTATGCTGCAATTAATCTCCATTAATTTTGGAAGAATAAATCAAAATATTATGTAGGGAAGGCATAGAAGACAAACCAAAAAGTATGGAAATATATGGGTGACGAAAAAATCTCCGTTAGTCGTAAAACACCCGGCATATATTTATGGAATTCAAGTAATTACGTGATCTTTTAAAAATAGTCAATGAAAAATTGAACATAAAAGTTAATCAATTCATATGTCTCATCTCATTCTGTACCCTACAAATATACCATCATATACCATCATATATCATTCATCCAAACATTATGTGAGATTAACTGAACCATGATTTCTGCAGTAGATTATCGTGCACCTAGATCATACTTGCCCATTTTTAGCCTAACAATTTCTTCAACAAATTTTAATTTTTTAGGTTTCGTGTATTTTGTCATTGGCTATGCAACCATAGTTACTTTAGTAATATGATTTTGGTATGCATTATGGTATCTTCGGCATTATTAGCAGTTGAGGACCCAATAGATAGTGAATCTGAAACCAATAAGGTACTAACTAGACGGCTCTTTCACTAAGCACATCAACAAAGTCTGGAGATAATCGTAAAAAATTGCAATAAATGAAAAAACCAATTTTTTGTATGATATTCTCACACCTAGTTTAATTATTTGATGTATAGGTAATTTGTATTTTAGTCATTTAATATAGAAAAATTCAACAAAACAGTTGTTTAATAAATTCAAGGGTAGTGGTCTGTATAAAAATGCTAAAATAACAACTACATAAAACGTATACTCTGCTAAGTTAAGTTAACGAAATCATGGCGAGAAGACATCTAACAAATTAAGAGATGTTGAGAGCCGCTCCGTTAGAAACATCATAAAACGTGATAAGCAGATTGTGTCGACGCTATCTAGACAGCAACAATGTGAATGAAAGATATCTAGGCCGAGGAAGACTTACAACGGTAAATCAAGATCGTTTTATCGTTCTGTAGACCAGAAGAAACCGATCTCAAACTGCATCTGAGTTGGTTGCTGAATTGCAGTCGCTATTCAGACCCTCAGAAGACGATTACATGAAAGAAATCTTAAGTTTTGAGTGTACCTCGTATACAGTGTAAGTTATGGGCATGCGCCAATTATGGTCATAAAAGGTGTGCGCTGTAAATTAGCACAGTATGTCAGGTATGGTAGTAGGTTGGCACGTGCCCAGACTAATTATACCTTTGTATTAAGATATTCACAATAAAGGATATCAACCGGAGAAACAGTGTTTTCCTTGGGAACCTCACGCAAATAGTGAATATAGTACAATGCCAGACACCCATTCAAAGATCAGGAAATCTAGTAGCTAGACTTTTGTGGACCCAGGAGCATTTAAATTGGTCTGATGAATAATGGTCCACAGATTCTTGCATCCAGACTCAAGACGAGCGAGGGTATAGCAATATCCTAGAGCGGCTAGAAACAGCTCAAGAGGTCCACAGTTGCCGTGCGGCACCAGCGTTGGAGGATGAAGTGATCTCATCCCACTTCAGGGATTTTACTTATCGTGATGTTATCTTTCAACCCCTCGTGATTCCCTAAGCTGCAGTTGTTGGTCAACGATTTATTTTTTTGCACAACAATGCGACTCCACAGACAGACAGAGGTCGAATAATAATGATTTCTTAAATAAAGAAAATATCGATGTTCTTCCATGGCCAGCAAAATTCCCGGACTTACAGCTGATCGATCATCTGTGGGACATGTTTTAAATAATAATCGTCAAGAGCTCATTTTGAGTTTACAAAGAGAGGCAATGATGCAATAATTTTAAATAAGTTACAACACTTATTGACATTATTTTCGCCTTCATTTTTGTAATTTTCACTTCATTGTTTAATAAACCTATTTTCGTTTCTTTGCATATTTTTATAGCTTTTTGATCCAAAATGAAATAGAAAAATACATGTGAGAATATCATACAAAAAATGAGAGTTTATTTTCTTTTGTACCCTTTTAGGCATCCCTCGGCTCCTCCGAGGGATTCCGGCAGACTCCCCCCAAGCAGGCTTCTCTCAAACATGCTTAGGGTGCAGCCTGCTTTCCCTCCGCTTGAGTTTTGCATGGCGGCACTGAAGCTCAGATGGCCTATTGCGCCACCATTTTGATGCCCTACTACTTCCCATTCATCACACATTTATTCATCATCATTCATTCCACGTCATCGATGGTTAACCGCTTAGTCAGTCCAGTGTTCTACCATCCAAGACGTGACCGGAGACATGACTGCTTAACTGCCGCGAGAACGAGAATGCACAATAGTCTCGCAGCTAGCCTCTCCAGCTGAGAGTTTATTTAGAAAAAAAATAATTTTATTCCAAATGTTCACGATTATCCCTAGACATTGTTGATGTGTGTATTTTTCGCATCAACGTAGAGTACCTAATCAGTTCCTAAAAGACGTAGTAATTCAAGTTTTCCCCAATCACACCATTAACATAGACAAAATGATTACTTAAAACGCACTCCATTCCCATTTTTTGACTGTAGAGGCACTTCTGAAAATAAATACAGAAGAGTCTTGCTAAGTAGAAGACAAATAGAGATACGAAATGTGCACTTCCGTTTTCAATGACCTTTTCAAGATCTGAAACTGAAAGTTATCACTAAATTAGTAATTATTATAAAACAATGATTTATTACTCTACTCTGCTGCGAAAAGATCTTTATATTTCTGTCGATTATTTAGTGAGTATTGTTTCAGGTGTTGTCAACGTTTGACGTGTTTTTTACAATAATCTTTTCAATTGAACTGATGCTCAAAACCATTGCTTATGGATGCATCTTACACGACGGTGCCTTTTTACGTTCGGCCTTTAATATGTTGGATTTACTAGTGGTTTGTGTGTCATTAGTATCTATATATAATAGGTAAGTATTCTGAGAGCCATCAACAGCCATTTTGTGATAATTAAATAAAATTATGCATATTGCAAATATGATATCTATAGGAGATTTACATTGTTTCAGTCAAGGTGCGATGAACGTGGTTAAGATTTTAAGAGTACTGAGAGTTCTGCGACCTTTAAGAGCAATTAATAGAGCCAAAGGATTGAAGGTATGTAACTAATCATGTAAATGAGAATATCAATCATTCTATTAATCATTATAGAAAGTTAGGGAAAGGAAAATGTAGCAAATGACACCATGACATTTGTACTTTGGAGTTGGGGGATGGGCGTGGGAATTATACAGGATAATGGTGGGTAACATCAAGGACTTGATTACGTTACTATGTATTCATTTATTTAAATATTTATCTTTAGCATGTAGTCCAGTGCGTGATAGTTGCGGTAAAAACCATAGGCAACATAGTGCTGGTGACTTGCCTGCTTCAGTTCATGTTCGCGGTAATAGGAGTGCAACTTTTTAAGGTAGGAACCAATCATAGCAGTCCGTTGTTTCCAATGTTGCGTTATTGAAGCAAATGCACCTGCGGGTATGGGTATGGGTGACCTATTGCCATTTCCAATTCCAACCCTTCGCCAGAGATTAACCCCGTTGTTGTGATGGATGGGGCCCAGTAACCCGCATGTTTTCGCTCAGCAGATTTTGCGTGTTGTGTGCAGCTGTGGCTCCAACGCCACCGACCAGAATATGCTCCAGTTTTCGCCCTCTACTTCTGTCGCCGCACTTGTAGTCATATCTAGAGTGGGGTATATGGTCTATTAGGCCGATGCCGATGCTGCCTGGGCGCTATTCATATTTTCTACATGCGCCCTGCGCTAATCATTTACGACGCTACATGCTTTTATCTTTTTTCTTCCTTTTACTTACTTTACTGACTGTTTCGTTTTTTTTTTTTCATTCTATCATGCCGAATCTTTCTATGGCTAGTACGTAGTGAAATGCGTGATAGTAGCCATTAAGACGATCGGCAATATCATGTTGGTCACCTACCTACTGCAGTTCATGTTCGCTGTCATAGGAGTGCAACTGTTCAAGGTAATTTTCCGTTTCCAAGCTTATGTTTCTAGCATAAAATCAACGTAGATACAAGTATTATTACTATCCGTGTGCATGTTTTAGCTGTAGCTGGATAGCGGTTAGTGGATTTAATCGGTAATGGATAAACGTTAGCGGCATGAGTAGAGCAGACTTGTGCGCCGCTCGCCACTCGCCACTCTCAGCTGAAACACTTTACGTACAATACTCTTGTCATGTTATGTTTTGTCATGTTATGTGTTTTGGTTCCTGTTTACTACAGTTGCGCTGTCTTTCTTACTTTTGGCTGTTACTGTTTTATCTGCTTTCTCTATATATCTCTTCTTCGCTGAAGCTGAGCTACCTTCGTCAACTTTTTTTGTTCTGATGCCGCCGCCATCTATAGACAACATGGGTGTGTTATAAGATTTGATGTTGGTAAGCTTTCGGAGCATTTTCCTTTTTGTTACATGCACATCTATATGATAAAAATTTGGTTAACTCGCAGAAATGCACTGCTCATAATGGCGTTATTTATGAGAGTTGATCTGTATGCTCTACTTATGATTCCTCTGCAATAATGGTTCTCCCTTTAGTCTAGAAATGGAGATAGTTTACAATTAGCGAGATCAAAAAATAGGAAGAAAATTGAGAATATAGAAAGAAGTAATATAAGTATACCATGTAAAACATTTTTTATGTTTTGCACTTAGGCTGAAGAAGTATTTTGTCAAAGAATAAATGAACCTACAACTAAAAAATGGTATTTTTCCAGCAGTATATGTAATCTAAAAACTGCGAATAACTATATGATAAGAAAGACGACGAACGAGCAAGTAAGTATCTGCATTTTAAGAATAAGAAGATACTTCTAAATAAGTCAGAGATAGAGCCTTAGGATCAACCCTCATACTTAATCATTTAAGTGTCCAGATGAGCTGCAATTATGGTTTGCTATAAAAAAATATGCTATGAACTGCTGCTACACTGCCTACTGCTATTCTTGCTACTGCACCATTTGTTCTTCGAGTATTTAAAACGCTTCTAAATGGATGCAGGAGGATGTAAACGTGTTTATTGTATCAAACTAGATAAGTTTATTGTAGAAGCCTGAGTTGGACATAGATGTTCGTTCTCAACGATTACATTATTTTTAATATTTACTAGTTATGACTACAAGTGATCGCATTTTGTAAGCGTTGTTATTAATTCGCACGTTTTTTTTTGCACGTAATATCATGTTTGAATATTTATACACCTACAGTACCTAATTGCTTCAAATATGATTTTCCTGCTCGTAATCCAAACATGCATTACGAATAATTGTGAATTGCTTTTTGTCCATATTTACCTAAAAATAAATTTCAAAAATTTACCATGGTGTGTGTTAAAATAAATTGAAATTATTTCTATTTAGGGCAAGTTATCGCACTGCACTGACAGATCCAAGATGACCGCAGAAGACTGCAAGTAAGTTGAAAATAACAAAAAAAATTACACTGATTTATTGAGATTCAAGTTCGATTTTTAAGATAACATCCCAGTATAATCAAACAATCTGTATTTGTACTCTGATGCGGCTTCTTTAAAAGTATACATTTCAGCTAGCACTTGACATTTCCAGGTGATAGCATCCCTCCCTGTGGACATCCCCTCGCAACCAAGCCTCTTATATTCACATCTTCTACACTTATGTTTACTGCTCGCTTTGAGAACATGTTATGTATCCACCCACTAACCATTTGTGGAACATTCTTATTGGTTAGCGAGTGTATTATCTTTGGGAAGGTAGTTTTATCAAAAGCACCTTCTATGTCTATGAAAACACCCAAGGCGGACTCCTTATTGTCCAGTAGATCTGCCTGGCGTGTACGCATGTTGGTTTGGGTGTAGTGGTGTTGTAATCACCGCATCCCTTATGTACCTTTCGCATAGCCTTTGCAATGTCTTCATGGAAAACGATGTCAGACTAATTGGTCGGTATGTTTTTGGGACAGTGTAATCCATCCTTCCAGGTTTGGGTATAAATACCACTTTTACCTCTCTCCATTTTTTTGGGATATACCTCAGAGCCAACGAGGATCTGAATACCCACCAGGTGCGGTGTGAGTTCTTCCAGACCCCACTGAAGTAGGGCTGGATAGATAACGTCAGGTCCTGGCGATTTAAATGGAGAGAAGCTGGATATTGCCCATCTAATTTTTTCATCGTCTACAATATGTTTGACAGTTTGCCAATCATAAACAGATGGATTGTATTCTTCCTCTGCCCAGTCGGCCACGTCTGTGATGACCGAGTCAGGGAAGTGTGTTGACAGCAGAAGTTTGATGCTATCGTCGATGTTGGCAGTTTTCCTCTTTGATTAGCGCACCAATGCTTCGGTGTGGATCTTTTGAGAGAGCTTTTTGAAACCACGCTGCGTGCGGGAAATCTTCGATTTCTTCGCAGTAGGATCTCCATGCATCTCTCTGTTTTTGTATTCTCTGAGGTGAGATTTGTAAGTATCCCAGTCCTCTTTGAGTTTTCTGTTTCTTGCCTTATTAAAGGATTTCCTAGCCATCTTCCTGAGGTGATCCAACTCGTGACACCACCATGCGGTAGTCGTCTGATCGTGTTGGACCAGCCTCAGGGAACAGGATTTCTTATAGGCATTGTTTATTGTGCTTTGTATAGTGTTTGAGTACTTCTCCAAAGCATTGTTATTGTTTGGTGTTCCGGCCTCCATCTCTCTCAGAGCCTCTTGGAGAAGGTGGGCGTAGATTGCCCTGTCCGTCTTCCTAGGGTTCCGAGATAGCGTGGAGGTCGGCAACATCAAGTTTATTTTGAATGTTAACCAGCGGTGGTCTGACATCGAAATGTTATCAGACACTTGCCAGTTTAGAATTATTTGTAGATACCAGTTGTGGATAAAGTGATATCTATTAGTGTTTGACTGCGAGAGTTTAAAAATGTTGTTGTAGTACCTTCATTTAAAATACAAAGATTTTTGGTAATTATATAATCATAAAGAGACTTACCTCTAGCGTTTTTATCCTTACTACCCCAACTATAGTTGTTTTTGTTTTAAATCCACTCTCAAAATCACGAATTTTCCGTTTTTAAACTTTAACTGTACAAAACCTACTTCGATAAACATGTAAACAAAAGTTTGTATGTCTAACGTAACTATGCACGAATAATTATTAGGTGACTGCGCTTGGTAGCCAGTTTTTAACCGGATTTATGACAGTTGATAGATTTTATCTACACACCTTCAGCAAGTGCGTCGTTTTTCCCGCCCAGGGGGTCGATTCTCGACTTGTAGGATCCTTTTCCTATAGGAATTTGTGACACTTTCCTATATGTAGAAAAATGTCCTAAATTTCCGATGTATAGAAAAATGTAAAAAATTTCTAAGAGTCGAGAATCGATCCCCTGGGAGTGTCAATACTGATTCTTGGTTGTACTGGGATAAGACGGTGTATGTAATATATACATAACAAAGTTTTTGTAAGCAAAATGATTTATATACTTTAAAAAATTTTAAAACCCCTAATATAATAGAGTTAAATACTTTTCAATACATAAAACCCTTAAAGAGCATCAAATACTTTTTAAAATACTGTGCTTGGTAAATGAATCACTTTTAAAAATGAAAGTATTTGATGATTGATACTTTTTGCTTGGTAACTGAAGCACTATGCAAAAGTGCTTTACCCAGCTCTGGATGGAAGTAGGTATAGTTTTTATGCAATGGTGAATATTTTTCAGTGGTACGTATTTGGTGTATGAAAACGGAGATATAAATCGACCATCAATGAAAGAGAGGAGGTGGGATCCAAACAGATTTCATTTCGATAACGTTCTAAAAGCGATGTTGACTCTCTTCACCGTATCAACGTTCGAGGGATGGCCAGCTCTACTCTACGTTTCAATAGACTCAAACGAGGAAAATAAAGGACCAATTCATAATTCCCGGCCCATAGTTGCAGCATACTACATAGTATATATTATAATAATTGCTTTTTTTATGGTTAACATATTCGTTGGTTTCGTTATCGTTACATTCCAGAACGAAGGGGAGCAGGAGTATAAAAATTGCGAACTTGATAAAAACCAACGTAACTGTATAGAATTCGCGTTGAAAGCCAAACCGATCAGACGATATATTCCGAAGCATCGCATCCAATATAAAGTTTGGTGGTTTGTTACGTCGAGACCTTTTGAATATGCAATTTTTACTCTTATTCTAACAAATACCATAACACTCGGCATGAAATTTTATCACAAACCAGAAGAGTACCTTACATACGAGAAAGTTCTAGACTATCTGAATATGATATTCACTGCTGTGTTTGCTATGGAATTTGTTTTCAAACTAGCTGCATTCCGAGTAAAGGTACGTACAGAAGATTTCATTTGAAAGCTGGATTTGCTTTGATTGCATAAACTGTTGTTCAAAAGTTGAAGAACCATAAAATATTAAACGAAAATAAATGAACACTCTTTTGAAGAACAGTTCATACCAATTAATCTATTTTATGTAGCGTCAAACGGGGTGAATCAGGACAAATCGACATCAACTTAGAAATTCCGTTATTTTCAACGGTTGGGCAATGTTTTCACATAGGATAATAGGCGATTTTAAACAGCGGCGGTTGCTGCATAAGTGCTGTAGAGCTGCAGAACTACCAAAAAATGCAAAAAGTACTTTCACAGAATTATTTTAGACATGGTTTCCCAAGTGATTCAGAACTTTTTATCAAGAATAGTTGTTTTTTTGAAATACAAAACTTTTTGTCATGTGTATACTTAAAACTTTTTGGAACACACTCTGTAATAGTTTTCAACGTGCTCGAAGAGCACGTCGCAATCTATTATACAGTGTGTCCTTAAATAATTATACATATGGGAAAAGATTTACGTTTAAAATAAAAATTATTCTTAATAAAATGAATCACTGGGGAATCCATAATCAACCGTTAAATTTTATAAAACATAGGTGGGTATACAGGGAAAATAAAAATAAATACTTTTAAATTTCAATATAGAGCAAAATATTAATTTAAATGTTGATGGTTTTTTCTTTTAATCTGAATACAAGTAATTTAGCAGATTCCTTTGACAGGTTTAGGTCTCTTATGAAATCGTTCAATTCTTGTTGATTGAAACGCTGATGAGTTGTTAAATCTGCTACAAATTCGCTGTTGTTTTCGGATTGAATTCTGTGAACTTCATCAGACCTTGATATTTCTCTATCATCTTCCGGGAGTTCAGGAAAACTGCTGAAGGATGGAATGGGTATTTCACATGTCTTCTTGCTGAATTTAGATCAGGATATGTCCATTTGTATCTATTCATGCCTTTAATATGAACGAGAGAAAAATAGCAGTCATTCTACTGGTTTCGTGATTCCCTACAAACCATTATTACACTAAACTTAGGCACTTCCTCTTTCCACGAAAATGTTTAATACATGTTTTACATCCAAGATTTATCCTCGTCTCCCAAATGAACGCCAAAATGATAAGCACAGGCCCGCGCCTAGCACTTTTGACGCCCTTGTGCACATTTAAAATAACGCCTAGGGTTGCCACCTTTTTGAAAAATGAAAAAAGGACTATGATGCCGATAGGGGATCCGGTATACAAAAGGGTCTCAATTTCTACTGAACTTCTAAAAAAAAAGTCGAGGACTGTTTACATAATAAGTCCTCGACCTTCTACCGTGCATCTAAAAAAAAAAGGTTCTAAGCTTGTATATGTTTGTACAAGCCAAGTCCCTTTGAGTAAAACAGGATATATGCCGTAAAAAAGGACATTTTAAGCTTTAAAAAGTCACAAGGGCATTTTGCTAGAAAAAAGGACAGGTGTGAGTACAGATACCGATTAAGTTAGGTATTATTATCCACTATTGAAAAATAATTTTAAAAAGTATTTTCATAAATTTACTTTCATTTTTATATTTTACAAGTACAAGCAGTGTTGCCAGAATATATTTTTGTAATGTACCAGATTTATCTAAAAAAATGTACCAGATTTCATAAAAATGTACTAGATTCTATAAAATTACCAGATTTGTCTAATTATGAAGTTTGGTCGTTAAAGAGCAAAAAAAGGTTTATAGAGAACACGAACACAACAATTTTAAACAATATTTTATCTCTCGACAAATTTCTGACACTATTTTATCTCTGGAGCAGTTTTTGAATAAGATTTTAATACCTTTTGATACTGTTTTATCTCTCGAACAGTTTTTCATTTTTTTTATCTCTTGAGCTATTTTTAAAAAATATTTTATCTCTCGATAAATGTCCAACAGTATTCTATCTCTCGAGCAATTTTTAACAATTTTTTTTATCCCTTGAGCAATATTTCTACAATTTTTAACACTATTTAATCACTCGAGCAATTTTTAAAAGCCTTTTTTCACCTTTCAAGCTATTTTGGAACAATATTTGATGTCTCGTGCAATTTTTGAGCAAAATTTTAACAATTTATAATATTTTATCTCTCGAGCAATTTTTAAAAAAGATTTAACACCTTTTGATAATATTTTATCTCTTAAACAGTTTCTAAACAATTTTAAACAAATTTTTAACAGTATTCTATCTCTCGAGCAATTTTTAACAACTTTTTTATCCCTCGAGAAATATTTGTACAAAATTTTTTGTACAATTTTTAACACTATTTAATCACTCGAGCAATTTTTAACAGCTTTTTTACCTTTCAAGCTATTTTTGAACAATATTTGATCTCTCGTGCAATTATTGAGCAAAATTTTAATAATTTCTAACACTATTTTATCTTTCGAGCAATTTTTATTAACATTATTTTATCTTTCTAAAACAATTTTTAAACAATGTCTTATCTCTCGAGAAATATTTAACAGTATTTTTTAATTCTCGAGTAATTTTTGAATAAGATTTTAATAACCTATGATACTATTTTATCTCTCGAACACTTTTTGAACCTTTTTTTATCTCTTGAGCTATATTTAAACAATATTTTATTTCTCGATAAATTTATAACATTATTCTATCTCTCGAGCAATTTTTAACAACTTTTTTATCTCTTTAGCAAACTGCACAATATTTTAACTCTCGACAAATTTATTAAAATATTTTACCTCTCGATAAATTTTTAACAATGTTTTATATCTCGAGCAATGTTTGTACAATATTTTATCTCTCGAGCATTTTCTAAAAGTATTTTATTGTTCGAGGAATTTTTAAGCAATGTTTTATCTCTCGAGTAATTTCTAATATTAGGTATCTCTTGAGTCAATTTTGAACATTATTTTATTTCTCAACAAATTTTTCAATAGTATTTTATCTCTCGAGTAATTTTTGAACAAGATTTTAACATTTTGTAATACTATTTTACCTCGAGCAATTTTTGAACACGATTTTAACAATTTATAATACTATTTAATCTCTCGAAAAATTATTAAATTTTTTTAACTCTCATTAAATTTCTAACAGTATTTTTATTCCTAGAGCAATTTTTGAACAATATTTTACCCCTTAAGCAATTTCTAATACTATTTTATACTTCGGCCAATTTTTAACACCCTTTTTTACCTCTCGAGCCATTTTTGAACAATATTTGATATCTTGTGCAATTTTTAAACAATGTTTTATCTCTCGAGAAGTGTCTACCATTTTATCTCTGAAGTAATTTTTAAGAACTATTTTAATTTCTCTTGCAATTTTTGACCAATATATTTTACACTTCAAATGGAAGCATACGCTGAAAAAAGTACTAGATTTTGTTTCGAGTGTACTAGAGTACCAGATTATCAGAGAATGTACTAGATCTAGTACAATTGTACCAGCTCTGGCAACGCTGAGTACAAGCCATACAATTTTTTTTGTAGACCCCGCAAATCGTTGATATTTAAGCCTTTTTTTCTCTAACGCTTACGAAAGAAATTTTGTCAAGCCTTCACCCGACACACATAGGACAAAATAATAAAAAATGTTCTTCTATACTAATTCCCGTGCTCTTTAAATCAGAGGTTCCCAAACTCTTTTGTTTCATAGACCACTTTCAAAATTTTGCTGGATCCGGTGGACATCACTACCAATTTCTAAATCTCGAAAAAAAAAAAAGTGAAGATTAGATCTATTTATGGAAACTTGCGTTGTGGCTGAGTTTTAACGACGAATTAACAGTTTTCGAAAAAAAAAAAGTTAGAATTGATTGCTTGATAGAGTTAATTATTTGATAATAAAGTCGACTAAACAAATTTTCAATTAAATTTTAATTGATTATGCTGTGAGTATAATAATAATAATAATAATAATAATAATAATAATAATAATACTAATAATACTCTCCCTAATTCACCCCCTTACGAGTGAATTTCAACCCCTGAACGACTTGTGTAGGGGAAGGGATGTCAAAAAAGCAAAGTTGGCCAAACGAAAAAGTGACTCCATCCAACTTTCCTTTTTTGAAATCCACAGTGACTCACAGCACAAGAACCAATCAATTCTCACAAATTTTATTTGGAAAACGTCCCATTCGGAGTGGTAAAAAGAAATATAGTATATTTCCTGGGGTTGTAGGTATTTATTTAAATTTAAATATATAAATTATTGCACTATTAATTATTATTGTTATAACAGTCGTAATATAATTAAAATTAAACACTTATAACGTACTTAATGTAATTTCTACAATGGTTATTACAAAAATAATATAATTTTAATGAGAGGGATGTACTTGATGGATTGACAGCAAATTATCAATATTTGGCTTGAGTTTTGTAATATTCAATCTGCTCCTTTTTTTTGTTAATAAGTTTGTAACGAAACTTTTTTCGACGAGATATGACGAGGGAAACGCTATCAGAAGCTTTTGCACAATTCCCCACAGTCCAGGATATTTTACGGGTATTTCTGCCTGCAGCCAAAATTTTTGATACCCTCTTTTAAATGTCACTTTCAGCTCCTCATTAGTGCAAAGCTCGAGTAGCTCCTCTTGTAATATCACATTCTCCACTTCCGTTTCATAAAATGGATTTATGGTAGCATTTCCATCGACAGAATATCTTCAAATCTGAATTTAAAATCATCATGCAGGGCAATCAAATGTTAAACGTATGTCTGAATATCTTCATCAAGGCATTCTACCTGCGACAAGTTTGAAAACTGTGAAAATTCGCGCCGACCAATATTTTCCTTCATAAATTTCAATTTACCAAGAAAAGCTGAAATTACACTCTTTGTTTTTATTAAATTGAGGCTGTCCCCTTGTAATTGTAAGTTGAGGTCATGAAATTTTTTGAACAAATCTGTCAAATACGCAATGTCTGCTTTAAAATTGATCAAGTTTTTAAATCAGGATCTTTACTTTCCAAAAACTCTAAAACTGAGTCACAAAAATAAAATCTTGACAAACATGCACCTTTCGACAACCCGTACTTCGGTAAGTAACAATCGTTGGAAGTCTTCATCATTTTCATCGCACAATTGTGCAAATAAACGCGTATTCAATACATTGTTTCTTATTTTGTTAACTGCATTAATCACAAATTGAAGCGATTGGTGCAATCTATCACTCAAATTTTTCGCTACTAGATGTTGTCGGTGGATAACACATAGTGAATCGCAATTACCTCTGGTATAATTCTTTTAAGATGGCTTATAAACCCACGATATCGTCCGACCATGGCAGGAGCTCCATCTGTTGCCACCGAAATAACGTTTGTGAATGGAATCGATTTTTCTTTAAAAAAATCACTCAAAACATTAAATATTGATTCACCTTTAGTGTCCGTCTTCAAAGTTCTCCAATGGTGGGTTGTTTTTTTCACATTTTGGTACTTTGGGTACTTTGTCATAGTGCGTGGCAACAAGTGAAAAGCGTGGTGGTCACACCTAAAGCAACCCTAGAAAAAGGCATTAAGAAAAAAATCGAAAAATCGTTCCGATTCACCTTGTTTGACGATATTTAATATATAAATCTTAAAAGTTAAATTTAGTTAACTTCAAAAGTTTTATTTCTATACATAGTATTTAAAATAACGGATTCATATCATTTTAGAATTATTTTGGAGATGCTTGGAACGTCTTTGATTTTATAATAGTCTTGGGAAGTTTTGTCGATATAGTATACCAAGATGTTAACGTAAGTTTTTTTTTTAATAATTATAAATAAAATTAATTCAGAAATTTTGCAGCCTGGTTTAAAGTTCCAACTGTCTGGTAATTTTTTTCGTCTTTTTCGTGTCATGAGACTTATCAAGTTGTTGAATAGAGGAGAAGGTATTAGAACTTTGTTATGGACATTCCTAAAATCATTTCAAGCTTTACCATACGTAGCACTCTTGATTGTAATGCTGTTCTTCATCTATGCTGTAATTGGAATGCAGGCAAGTAAACATTAATGTAAGAAGTCATTTAGGATTACAATGTACCAAAAAATCCGTAATACAATTAAAAAAACATTGTATAAATAAATGGTGTTCATAAATTTTTGTCCTATGCAAAGAATTTTTCCAAGGCGTACTTTGGAAACATTTTTTGTGGATCAGTACTTCCTACTTATCAAAAAAATCCGAACAAGAAATAGTAAATATATTTTTCTAAAACTTGGCACATAATATATTCCTACATATCTGTTTATCAATTGATTAAAGTTTAAAGTAAATTCGAATAAAAAGAAATTGGTGTTCATTTGTATTACGTACAATAACGTTTTCAGTGTAAAATAATCATTTTTTACTTTATATTTATACCTAGATGTTTGGAAAAATCGAAAGCAATGATCTGGGCTCGTCATCGTCGATAACCAGAAACAATAACTTTGGAACCTTTTTCCAAGCGGTTTTGGTTTTATTTCGATCTGCCACAGGTTTGTATACTTTTATTTTGATTTTGGATGCGATACTAGTCTAATTTTTAATCGTAGGAGAATCTTGGCAAGAAATAATGATGGATTGTGCCGATACTCCAGCTGCCAAATGTCACAGTAACGTTAAAAAAGTCGCTAACAATTGTGGTTCGGTTGTAGCTTATCCATTCTTCATATCATTTTATGTACTGTGCTCATTTTTGGTGAGTTTCTAGATTAATTGTATTGTAGGTAATGTTACTTATTCCTTTTCAGATTATTAACCTCTTTGTAGCTGTTATTATGGATAATTTCGATTACCTAACGAGAGATTGGTCAATTTTAGGACCGCACCATTTAGACGAGTTCATTAGGTTATGGAGCGAATACGATCCTGACGCAAAAGGCCGGATAAAACATTTGGACGTCGTTACTCTCCTTCGAAAAATTTCACCTCCTTTAGGTTTCGGTAAATTGTGTCCTCATCGTGTAGCTTGTAAACGTCTGGTTTCGATGAATATGCCTCTAAACAGTGATGGAACTGTCCTCTTCAATGCCACTTTATTTGCTGTAGTTCGAACATCTTTGAGAATTAAAACTGACGGTCCAAACATTGATGATTGCAATGCAGAGCTGCGAGCTGTAATTAAAAAGATTTGGAAAAGAACTAGTCCGAAATTGTTAGATCAAGTGGTACCTCCACCAGGAGTCGACGATGAAGTCACCGTTGGTAAATTTTACGCCACGTTCCTTATACAGGATTATTTTAGACGTTTTAAAAAGCGGAAAGAACAAGAAATGAAAGAAGGTGATAAAGAAATCCATAACACTGTTACTCTTCAAGCCGGATTACGTACTCTGCACGAAGCTGGTCCAGAATTAAAGCGTGCCATTTCTGGAAATTTAGATGAACTTGTTGATGACAATCCAGAACCTATGCATCGGGTAAGTTTTACGAAGATTGATCTCTATATTCCTCCCCTGACAAGTAGATGTGAAACGCGTTATGCAAATTTTTTCTTTTATATACCTACTGAAACAGTAAATGTCGCCATTTTTTTGATATTTGTTGTGAATCGACCTTTATTGTTCAATTGGTATAGATGTTATTGATTTATGTGACACTGTCAATTTAGTTGAATAAAACCTTATATATTCGGGTTAAACCTCAATTCTACTACAATTAAGGTATACCAAACTTCTGACATTTCTTCGTTATCTTAAGAGCTACAGTAAAAACTAATTAATATAAATCATAATCACGATGAATGAGTGAGTGAGTGAGTTGAAAAGTAGTTGAACCTTCAATAATGGCATAATAAAACGCAGGCTACAGTGTTGCCACGCTACAAACGGATTAGAGTGGTAAAATAAAAAAGTTTTTCTTGTATCTCTTAAGGTAACTGACTCTGTGAATTGCAAATTAAAGATTCCTAATTGAAATTTTTGAAACGAAATCTAGACATCTCATTTCTAAAGGATTCGTCTCGCTTGTAGTTAGAAGCGGAATATAGGGATCAACTTCCGTACAAAGCAAAAGGAAGCAAATTTATAATAAACATGAAGACAACGGATATAAGAATACATTTTTTTTACAGAGAAATCATTCCCTCTTTGGTAGCGTATGGTCATCGATGAAACGCGGTCATACGTTCAATCGGGCAAAATCCTTGAAATTAAACTCGACCCAAATAAAAATAACTCCGGCTTCCAGTGTCGATTATCTTCCATACAATTCGATTAAAAATGCTGTTACCGAAGGAATGAATCACATAACATCGTTGACCAAAAACAGAGTCAGCGTTACTTCTTTAAATAATCAAGAATATTATAAAGACGAAGAAATACCGCTGAGGTCTCTTAACAATTTGCATAATGGAGATGATAAGAATACGTATACAGTAATCGAGTAAGTTATTGTTAATGTGCTATAAATAATACTTCATGGGAAATTATTTAAATATTTTTTTTTTGTTTAAAGCAATAATTCTATTGATTATTTATTTTTATTTTTGTTTTCTATTTGTAATATTTGTAAATTAAGACAGAAAAGTCTTTTCATTATCTCAGAAGCAGAATGAAGATACAGATAAGTGCAGAATATCTACTTATACTCGTATATACCAGCTTTTGATCGCTTACATTACATTTTACGTTAATGATGATAAAGATCTGCGTAGTTTAATTTATTGATACATATTGGCTGTTGTCCAGTTGTAGCTTTTTTTAAATATAATAGTAATAAATTATTTTGTATCAATGAAGTAGGTATTGCGAATTTTGCGTATGTTTAAAGAGCTTGCTTTTTGTAGTTAATGCAATGCTATCTATTATATGAAGCTCTGATAAAAATGGTTTCGTCACTCACATTTTCCACACCAAAAAGGCTAATTACATTACCTATCTACATTCTTCTTGCTTTTAATTTCATTTTTCTCCAATACTATCTACAGTTAAAAACTATTTTTAATAATGAAGTATTTTTTATTTCTATGACGAAGGAAACATTAATTCGATTAAATATACGGTATGTAATTAAATTACACATACATAGTGAAACAGGATAATGTTACTTTGATAAAATAACTATAATTGATTGATTAAATTTCAAAACTTATAGTTTAGAAAGTAGATAGAACATCTAAAAAACATAGAATGGTTAACAACATCGAAAATGAAAAAGAGAATGTCTAGGAGTGACTAGAATAAAAAGAGTTTGAAACAGGAGAGCTACGGCAAAAGAAATGTATAATTTTTACCAGTAGTCAATAGCTAGCTTAAACGGTGTGCAGTAGAAGAGCTCGATTACTATCCGAAGAGTATATTGCCTAACAAAATGTCTAATTTCCCGCAGCCAGGAGGAGCATATTTGACAACGTTGATCTAAAATCGCTTACGGTAGGGCTACCTGATAACCAGTGCTTTCTTTAGCAGTGGCATGTGTACATTTATAAAATATTTTAAATCTGAAATACTCGTAAATGAAAAGTATTAGTCAGAATTTCCACTATTGTTTGTCAAATTTTTAATAAACTGTAAATTAATAAAACAACTGAAAATTTTACTTAGTAATAAATATATTTGTGATTATCTATTTCAATTTTCAATATCCGACAATTCTGAATCCCACTCGTCAGATGATTCCGTATTTACATTAAATATCAAGGAATCTGTATATCCATCCATTAAGTGTTCTTTATGAATATACGCATCCTCATATTTCGAGAAATGATCAACCACGTTTGCCCATTCCTCGGGAGTTACATTCTGAAATTTATTTCTTGCTAATGTTTTAACATCATTTAATTTAATTGTTGTGTTGGCCCACCCAGTTTTTTACTTGAGCCCATATTTACTCTATGAGATTTAATTCGGGATGGTATGAAGGCAAACGCCGAACGTCGTGTCCACTTTTTTTGTAGAAGGCTATCTAAAAGAAATGTTGGTGGTGGTCTGTGAACTTTGATGAGTCTGTAAAGTTCCGATTTTCTGATTTTAGCATTATGCGGAATGCTACGTTGAACGAGCCAGCTAATCAAATCTGCCTTTTTAGTCTGGCCTGTAATCGATTTTTCAAATTTCACGTTGTGATAACTGGCATTATCGATTACAAGTACAGCCCTATGAGGAAGATTTGGTATTAACTGCCTTCTAGTCCATTGTGAAAAATTGTCCCAATTCATTTCGTCATGGTAATCTCCAGTTTTTTCCCTGAAAAAAAGTAAAAAGAATTAGGATAATCATATTCTTTACTTATAATTAGATGCTTGATATTGAGACTTACAAAAATAACTCTCTATTTACAATTAAAATATTATTTTATAAACCTAAAACTATAATAATTGTAATCCCATTATGAATAATCTGTTTTAATGAGCTTTAGGATTATACTTCCATGAAAAATATTATTAGTGAAAACCGTCTTATAATAATTTCCTATAGGCAGGATTAAGTACAGGTAAAGAGCTATTAAGTAAAATGCCGTTATCATAAATAAACCAATTCATGATTCAATTTTATATATAATAAGGGTTTAATTAAAATAATGATTATAATTTTAAAAATAGGTTAATACCTGAAATAAATATTAACAGTCCGTCTGGCACAAAACCACCCTTACTCGCGGCATGCAATATTATTAATCTTATACCTTTGCTCATTGGAGTTTTAAAAGTGTTTTTGTCATCACTCCATACTTTTGAATGTGTATGAGTACTGTGTAAATAGGTCTCATCACAATAGGCCTGTCCTCTTGTCGATAATGCATTTAAGGCCTTTAAATAATTCTTCCTCTTGTTTCTGATGACGTAGGATTCCAAAAGGACGGATTTATTGTCTTCACTTTTCTTCCATCTGCAAAAATAAAAATTTCGTGTTAACATTATAGTAATTTTATATGCACAAATATTGACTGGGAAATTAATTAATTTGGAAAAGTTTAATTCCGATTCTTCTTTACAGTACGGTTATTTATGCAAGTAATACTTAAAACCCATGTTTATTAATATTTTTCTGAGTGATGAGATGCCTCCTTGGTAGTCAAAACCACAATCCGCCATTTTTTGTAATATACCTACAATAAAATCCAATAAAACACATCGTCATTAATATTGAAAAAGTCACTTACATTTTAGAGTTGGGGTAGCTTTTTCTCAATGATATGAAAATCATGAATACTGCAGGCCTCATGGATTCAACAACTGGACTTACTTTCTCCTTACCTACTTAAGAAAAATGTGAAAATGAAGTACTAACTCCGCTTTCTACTTTACGCGCCATCGTCTGTATTCTACAATAACTGTTCAACGATATTCCTGTAGCAGCTAGAAATCTCTGTATTTGTTCAATGGTATTTTAACACCATTTTCAGCCTCGTCTTTCATGAAGTTAATCAGGCGTGAAATTACTTCTTTGGTCTGTGCGTGAAGAACTTGGCCCTTTTGTCCTAATAAATGTTTTTGATTCATGTCGTTCAACAAGCTAATATAAGTAAGAAATTTGGTTTTGAATAAAAGGTATAGAATAGTAGTTTATGTACCAAGGACGAAAAGTTGAGTTTTTAGGACGACTACTAGGAGTCCTAAAACAAATGTTCTTCCGTGGTTCATACATTATTTTTTATTCGAATGTGCTTAAGAAATTATTTCATTAAAGAAGAACAGTTCGAAATTAGAACCCTTCGATATTTAACCTTGTTTTATTGGCCTAGGTCTGCTAACTGTTTTTCCGTAGCATATTTGAAATATATAGAAAAGCCATGACTAAAACGAATAATATCCAACTTGTGTCACTTTAGTTCTAAAGATGTGAAGCATTTCACACGTGTTCATACATTTTATCTACGACCACACTTAAATGAATTATAATTAAACTTTTTTCTTGAACATATAAATATCAGTAATATGTAAACGATTCATTGATGTGCATACCCCTGGTTCACTAAAAGTACCTCTATTTTAATATGCACAAAAAAATACCACGATTTTTCGACCTTTACATGGGGTCGTATGTTCCTTTTTCAATAATTATTCTAAATAAAATGTGATTTTACCTACCAGAATAAGTGTAAAAATACCTACAAATTTTTAAGAATGGTCGTTTATAAAACTTACTTTTTTACTCTTTAAATGATTTATTTCGTCGAAAAACTAAGAAATAAACGTTTCTTTGGGTCAAATTGAAACACTGAACACAAGAAAATAACAATGAAAGGAAATGCAATAAGTAAAGAGCTTACTATAGAGAAAGTAAAAGTTGAAAAGTCTTTTGGTAGGTAGAGAGGGGGTAAACGTCAAACCACGTCGGGCGGCTCCGAGAATTTCACAGTAATGTTTACCTGCCAGTGTCGTTTCATAGAATAAGTAATTTTAAATTGTTATCGGCGGAACCGGACAATCGCATGTATTTATGGATTATAAATAATTATTAAACATGTATTATAATAGTCAAATTATAATTTTACAAAATTTCAACAGCTATTCACAATTTATTAAACTATTTACTCGAAATTGTTATTAACATCTATAAAATAATTTTGTACGCCAATGTATCGCGTCCACTTCGGTGAGATCCGCTGACAACCTGTCAATGTATGTGTATAAAGTGGGAGAACTGGCAAAAGCATTTCCAACTTTTACTTCTGTTCTACGCTACTGAATGCAACTGTGCAGTTTTATAAATAAGACACTGGGAGGTCTGTGACCACGCCTACTGCCTATAAATTGAATATGGTTTCTGCGCATTGTAATGTACTCTACGGATAATAATCAAGCTCTACCTGGAAGGGAAAACTACTGCAAAAGAAATGGATAATTTTTACCAAGCAATGGAGGTAAAGGAACTGTGAACTTACATGGTCCAATACAAAGTAGTCGTGGACAAATAGTTTTATTATGTATGTGTACTTCAATTGTATTCTGTATAATCATAATAATAAACATAGGTAGGTAGGGATATTTCTGAGATAATGAGACTTTTTGTCGATTATTCGACAAAATCAAAAACAGTAAATACGTGCATTATAATGTTTCAGTAAATCTGGCTTCCTGCACCCTAACTACAAGGGTAAGCGAAAGCTGGTGTGATTTGTGCCTGTCGTTTTGGTTTTCTTATAATTTGTCTGAATATATTTTTTTAACCGTTAATTTTTATTTAATTGCTAACTGGTTTGGTAATGTGTTTGCTAGTCTGCAGGGTGACAAGACAGCGGAGTTGATGCCACCAACCCCACCGCCGCGCCGCGTCCGTTTGGGACTGGGGGGCGGTTGCATGTCAGCCACAGCCACACCTACATCCACCCCCACACCCTCTACAGCGCCTGTGCCTACAGTGCCCGTGGCTGCGCAACAAGCACCGAGCTTTAATCGCATTGCAAGCGGGCTGAAACTTGCGCAAGCGCAAGCTATGGCAGTCGCAGGCTTTTTGCCTGAGCCAGAGCCTTCGCTTGGTTTTGGTGATTCGTCCCTTCCTCTCGGTAGACTTCACCCGTCAGTCTCTGACTCTGAAGGATATAGCCGGCATGCTCATTGTGCTGTCCTGAATTACAGGGCTTCCTTCCACGGCAGAGGTTAGCCCCTTATCCTTAAATTTTATAAAATTCCTACTTTTACATGTATACATTCTTTTTTACTCTTTCTCAGTCACTTTACATAACGAATGCTTCTTCACTCTTGTCTCAAATGTATTGGCCCTAATTGTTTGAATGTTTAAACTACCATGACTAAACGATCTAATTTAAACTTTTATCGACTAAACAACAGTACTCCTGATTGGAAAACGACATTCAATCAAGATACACCTGGAGCTAGACAGTATTTTTCGGCGCATGTTAAGTTGATTATAAGGGTATGCAGTCCCTTCTTTTATATTTTCAAATGTATACAACATTTTTTTGTCGGTTATATTTTAGATAATTTCGGCCAACACATTTGATTCACACCATCATTAACAAAGTGTTTCAAAAATATACTAACATTGAGTTTACAGATTTGAGAATGTGTATAATAACAACTAAATTGACTCGTAGTTATAGTTCTGGTGACACAGAGCACCAAGGAAACAATATCTACATTCTTAACAAAATTCTACTTACTTTACTCTTACCTTTGCTATTTTCCTATTTTTCTGCTTTGCATTTTATCTATACATCATTATCAGCGAAATTTCATTTCTCTCGTCATAACTGTTTTTTTCATTTAATACAAACAGTACTTAAGACTTTTACAGTTGTTGTCAAAGGCTCATGGCAAATATGGTTCTTTTCAGTGCTTTTGGTGTTTTCAAGGATTTCTATGATTGGTATTGAAATCTAACAAACAAAATTATTTAATAAAATTTCATATTTACAGACATGTCACTGACAATAACTTTTAACCATCATAAACTGTCACGAACAAACGCAAGTGGCAATTGTTCATTGGATGGTGATATAAGACTAAAAAGGTAGACCTGTGAAAGTGCCCAAAATCACTACAAAGGACCATACTTCACTAATTACCTATCATGCGTTCAACAAAATAATTGTTCAAGTAATGCATGAAAATAAATCCACATGTCTTTAACAATTTAACTGACTGATTCTGTCAGAGTTTCATAGCATATTATTTAGTTTGTACGAAATTAGTAACTTTCGTATGTGATCGTAGGAAAGTTACCTGAATATCTGAATAACGAATGATTTTAAAAAACCGGCAACCGTGCCGTATCGTTAGAAGATGATAGAGACGTGTATTTGCATTTAGAAATATTGGAGCGGTGGGCCTCTCAACAGCTGTACGCTGTAAAGGCGTTTTATCAAAAGAGGTTATCTCCAAATTATGTGATTTCTCGAAATGGGGACATCACCTGGCTTTCCCATTAACCAGACCTTACAACGTGTGTTTTTTCTTGTGGGGTTATTTGAAGAGTAAAGTGTTTCAATATAACCCACCACAAACAATAATTCAAGCCTTGAAAGAACGGATCTGACATGAAGTGAATAATTTCAGATCACGATTGGAAGAATATGTGCGAGTTGTTTTCAAAAAATAAAATCATTAATATTTTTTTATGTTCTTCAACAAAATAATAAATTATTTGTAAAACTTGATTTTCTTCTTTTTTACAATTAGTCCGCCCCACCCTATATTATATCATGAGCTTAATGAAACACATGTGGATGTATTTTCATTCATCAGTAAAACCAGAAATGTTGAACGCTCTACTCTACACTATCTTAATCTTCGTTTAGCTGCCACAAGTCTTTGACTTCATCGCCCTTTGTTTATAATACTAACTATAAGAAAAATTTATTTGTTTCATATCAAAAATTCGAGTGAATGTAATAGCGATATATTAAGCGTGTTATTTCCAGATACTACACATTTAAAATAATTCTATACTGAGTGACAACGCACCTTATATTTAAGTTGAACTGAATATTCATTGTAATTTAGGATTTTTAAATTATAGATCCCGAACACCTCAAATGTTATAAAAAAATTTCCGGTCCAACTAGTGTGGAAATTACCACAAGCATAGAGATTTATGTGATTTAACGACATATATAAAATGAAAGTATTAGAAAAAATCGTAAGTAGGTTATTGTTATTGCAACCATTATTATAAAACTAGTTAATGAGGTCTAAGCTACAAACATAATTGATTTCAGTTTTAATGGCAAAACCAGGGACATTATGTTTTAATGATTCCACATCGATTAATGCTACGCTATTAGATAGAACGGAACATTTTTTTTGAATAACAAATTATTAGTAATTGTTTTATTTATTTTTAAATATTTGTGTAAGTACTCTCAATATTCTAAAACTGACTGGAAAAAGTGTTTAAAGAAATACAATAGTATAACTTGATAACTTTTTATGGTGAATCGTAGCTAAAAAACAATTCATAGGAAACATTTTTAATCTAAAATACACTTCCCCAATAAATTAACGTACCATCAAAAAATAACAAAAAGCTTAAAGTAAATATTTGTTACAACCACTTGTCTGATTTGGACGATTTTTTTTTAAATGACAGGTTTCTTCCACAACGTCGGTGTGCTAACTGTGTTTGCATAATACCCCTCTTTTTTATTAATACAGGGTGTAGCGTGATTTTTTCATAAAAGTTGGAACACCCTGTACAGTGTAACAGTTACATTATCAAGTTAGAATTGATATCACAATTTAGCCTTATCTTTTCTTAGCAATTTCTTTTTTTATTTACTCCATTATCTTTGTCATTATACGAGAAGCACTATTTTATAACATGATTTTATTAAAAATTAATATCAAATTTTAACAATGAAAACACGAAACAAAATGTAACGAAATAAATAGACGAAAGTGTCAATAGCGAGTATTTCCGTTTCTGCTACGAATAACTTCTTGACAACGGTGGCCCATACTTAAAATAAGACACCTTATATCATTTTAGTCCAATTCTTCCCATATATCTTCCAGAGAGTTCAGATTACGTTCCTCTTGTAATCTCCTCCCAAGAGTATCCCAGAGATTTTCTATCGGATTTAAATCCGGGCTCCGAGCTGGCCATGCCATGGTAGCGATACCGACTTCCTCTAGATAATTTCTGACAACTCGAGCAACATGAGGCCTGGCATTATATATATAGCTGAAGCCGCCAAGATCATTATGCGCAGTTCATTTAGTTTTTCGAGGTTATGATCACTTGGAGCTTAATACATTATAGTCGAAGTCGTGGATTTTGAGACGTTGCCAAATATAAGTGCCGTAAAAATAATGTACTGAAATTATATTCAGGAGGAAATAAATGGAAATAAACCTCTTACCGAATTTTATAAAGTAGGTAGGCAAATACTTAGATTAAAGAAAGCAGAGATGTAACATACACTAGTGTTTAACCTACTCTAATATTGTCCATTTCTAAATATTGGTTAGCTGATTGGGGGAGTTGGGAGCAAACCAGAACTCTGTGCCAGGAACGGACCTAGGTTAATAGAATCATAATGAATACGGCTCGACCGCGTTGTAACGTTGGCCGGGCCGTATAAACTGGCTGATATTATTCGTTTCCTGTTTGATCTAATGCCAGTTCTCTGTAGTTTTCACTCGGACTGGTACAAAGCGTATTGGAAAACGTTCAGTGGCCGACACTGTATATACAATGACATTGGTAAAGTACCTACAAGTATATTGTAAAAAAATGTTTCTATTAATTTTTTTCGTTATCACGAAGTATAGAATTAAAATTGACGATATGTCTTATAATTTATATACAGGGTGTCCCCTAAAATAATGCTTCCTACTCACTTTGAGCAAAAGGTTAAATACTCCTTCTCACTTCTTCAACGATTATTTTTTACCCTCACTGGCCTATTTTTAAACTGTAAACTAGGATAAATTTACGTTAGGTACGGATACGGTTGTACAAACATTCTGTGGGCGTCTTTTTTATTCACTATGCATTAGTTTAAGTGTTTTTTAGTCACACTTCCAATAGGTATTATTTGCGATAAACGGGACAAGTACATAATCAATTACTATAAAAAATTTTTTGTGTATTTTTTGTAATAAATGATCTCAACTAGCCATACCTTCAAGGAACGCGTTCATTTCGGTGACACCCTTGTATATTTATTGTTTATACACTATACAGGGTCCCACAAGAGTGGGTCGATATTTCATAGCTGGCGTTCCATAATTGTTACACATTAAAAAAAATATATATATAAAATTTGTAATTTTTTTCTACAAAATTTTAAATGAAACACTGTATAAGTAGATCTAAATACCGAAAAAAAAAAATTATTTTAAACAATATTTTGAGATACGTAAGTCAAATTATTTATCAAAATTAAAAATAGCTTGACCTCTTTTGATATTCTTTTTGTTTTCTAAAATGTAAAATTCAAAGATATGTAATTGTACCTTCGATACCGATTAAAATTAAAATAGAAGTAAAAAATAAAATATTAATGATCCATAATTTTAAATGGTAGTTGAAAATATTCGAGGTTTTGATAAATCAAGTAGGTACCTACTCCTGGACTTTTAAACTAGTCATCAATTGATTTTATTTGACGTTTATCCCACAATAAAGCTGATATTTTCTTCATAATTTTGTAGGGTATTTATAAATGTTGGGGATTAAATTCTTCATCTATTAATAAAATAAAACTAGGGTGTTTCATTGGAATGTACCGAATTCCTCACCTGCGGTCAAAATCGACCCTTCCTGACAGCGGGGGGCCAGACTGAAAGGTGGTAAATTCCTCAGAGGTCATCGTATGGGGTATATAAGATTAAATGATGAATTTTAAATATAATGGTTTAGTAGTAAAATAATAATAATAATAATAATAATAAATTATAAAATGTTTTGTATGTAATTATTTACATTTTTGTTTGTTAGTTGTAATTTTTACATGTTGTTTTTTTGTGTCATCGGCATCAACTGCTAAGGTTATCAGCCTCGTGTACTGTGTAGGATTTGTTATTGTTTCCCAGCGCCACTTTAGGAACACGATTGTAAATTAGAACCAAACAATGAATGGTCGAGTGGGGAAACCTACCTATTCATTAGAATTAATATTTAACATAGTTGATTATTAATATAACCACAAAACATTGTTATTAATTTTAAATACTAAAGAACATTACCATTTCCATCTATAGTAAGCTACGTAGTTAGAAGAACATTAAAATATTAATAAACACTAAATATTCTGTGGCAAATGGAGTTATTCCGATGCCAACATTAACCCAAAAAAAATGTTATTTTATCACAATCTGGTTATGTAGACATAAAGTCGAAGCAAAATATATTATTTTTTCTAAATGAGAAAAAGTTATTTCAAAAAGATGTTTTGCATTCTGTACAATAACTCAACACTTTCTAAGTCATTTTCTAAAGAAATAATGGGATAATAATTGGCAGGTACTCGTGACGCAACTGATCTGTCCGCAATTTTATAAGTACTTAATCTCTTCTCTTGCTTATAAGGGTCTATTTACAGATACTGGTAAAACTTAGTTTGAGCGCTGTGAGGAACTCAGCTGTACCGGTTTCATTTAAAATTTTCTAGAAAAAACCACTTGAGATTATGAATATTGAAAAATATTGTTCGATCACCCTGTATACATGAAATGGTTACGTAACACATTTTACAACCTTTTACAAAATTATGGATAAATATTAATTCATACTTATTTCATTATTTCTCAGTAGTATAGGACTAGGGTGACAAACAGGTCTCTTAATACTTTAAAATAGTCAAGTGGTCGATCACACTTTTTACAAGTTGAATATATTTTCACATGATAGGTCTATATCCTTATTATACCCAAAAAAAAATTTAAGGTATAACTATTATGGACCGCCCGACTGTTGCTGAACCCTGTGTATTCAATTCGTCTAAATTGTACTAGTTTTATGACTAAGACTAGCAGGTACTCAATGAAATATTTTATATTAAATCATTGCATTATTATATTTCAATTTCATTATGCCTAAACGTGCTTGATATGCTTTGGCTTGTCTTCCTTTTGGTGTATAAATTAAATATGGCTGTAAATGTACTTGTAATCATGGAAATACACGATTCCAATATTGCTAACATGGTTCACTAGGATTTCTGGTAAGTTATTCATTCAAAAAAAAATCCCATATTTATATACATACTCATTTTTTTATGTATTTGGGCTATACCGATTCTGTTAATATTTTCATTTATTTAGATAATTAATTCATTTAGGGTTAATGAGTTGAGATAAAAATGAGTTAAAAAATTAAACAGTTAAAGGTCTAACAAAATCGGTAAAGCTGATTTATTTTGAACTCTGACAAAACAGGCACACAGATGTATCTATTCAAAAAAGAATTGCTCACTTTTATTTTTCAACACAATTTCTCTCAACATAATCATTTTTGTAATTTATTCCAGCCATTTATAAACATCGCATAAAAATACATCAAAAATAAAATAGTCCATGTAATGTAGTCGAGTCCTACAGTACAAAACCTTGCAAAAAATTGGGAAACATTTTTCAGTATAATGTTTTTGAGTGTGCTAAACACGAATCTGAATTTTGCCACCTCAAATTTTTATAAATCAAAATAGTTATAATCAAAAAAACAGTTACAGAGGTATTTTTGTTTTGTTTTTTCTGTTCACATGACTTTCCAGTCAGATATATAATGTAGGATCTCATCAATACCACTGAAAAAATTGAAGTGCATCTCTCGTAAAATTCAAATAGACCTATCCTGTTATTGATAATCTCTATTACTCATGCGCAAATCCTACTTCCTGTTAAAACCATCAAAATTTGTTGTTATTGTTTCCCATCATGAGTTCCAATTACACATTCGCAAATGTCATTTTGTTTTTACGTTTGAGTACCTATTTGTATTTAATTTTATTATTTGTATGGGAGCCAGTGACACTTTTAGGTGTGTTACTTGCGGAAGGCAAAATTATAAATATTTCGTTCATTCTTATCTGGGAGAACATGGAAGTACTTTGCTGCAGTCTCTGCAGCAATGGAGCCCTCTACGACGACGACAAAAAATGTACTGTCACCTTTTTGAAATTAGGTTCACAGCGTAAATACACCATAATATAATAAGAAAGATGGCAGCAATTTTTTTTCTATTAGCAGTTTCTACCGCGACTTTTTGAAGACGTCGTCATCGAGCGCTCCACTGCTGTTGCATCTGCAGCAAAGTACTTCCATCTTCTACAGGGTAAATTAACGATAACTTTATAATTTAGCAAACGTAAAGAGAGGATAAGAGAGAAATAGAAAATAAGTTGTTTGGAAAATTACTACATTCAAAAGTCCCGCGTTTTTTTCGCGCATGAGTAATGCGAAACTGTCAAATAACGGGAAAGGTCGATTAAATTAAAAAGACCTTCGATCATTGTATTGGTTTGATTTGAGAACCAGCTTTACACAGATTGGACAGAGTCAGTCCAGGCAAATTGGTTTTATTTTAAATTTATTTAGAGATTTATATGAACGAGGAAATAAAAAATGTTCGAGATTGTTTTTTCTTTGTTTATACGAGAAAAATTGCTCTACTAATTACTTATTTGTGATGTCATTCTCTACAATTTTTCATATACATGATTCCTCTAAAATGGAGTGTATTGAAGAAATTACAGTAAGAGTAAAATTATAATTTTCTCTTCGTCGACAAGGAAGATATGAAAAAAATGTTGAATAAAATGTTTGGGGAAAATTAATACCTTTATTTCATTTTCTAAACACTTTTTGATTAGATGGGCTGCAACTTTACTGGAAAGTCATGTGTCGGGACACATCAGATACATAAGGTTGGGGATTAAAATTTTAAAAAGCAATAAATAAACGGATTAGTGGATTAGCATACAACTTGGTATGTATATTTAGTGTACATCTTCTTAATCATAAAACAATGATGCACAATAAGGGTTGAATAAAAAAAGATTTCATAATAAAGAAAATTTATTTATTATGTAATTTATATAATTATATATTATAATTCATAAAAATGTAGGTATATCTGGATTGATTATATTAAAGACAAAATACTGAATCAGCCCTGACATTATTCCTGTTGATTCTTATATAAAATGATCTCATAAAATGACCCTTGTTTTTCCCCATCACCCACCGATTTCGGAGGATCCCCTCTATCTATTTTTATCAATTTTCCATAATTTTATGACCATAGATTTAATTTGGAGGGGTAAACATATTTTAGCTGTAAATAATAATAAATACAGAGGAAAATAATAAATGTAAATAATAATAATCATCTATTTTTATTAATTTTCCATAATTATATAACCATAAATTTGATTTGGAGGGGTGAAAAGATTTTAGATGTAAATAATAATAAATAAAGAAGAAAATATTAATTGTAAAAAGTAAAATAATAATAAATGCAAGGAATAATAAGTACCTTCATGTGGTGTAGTACTCTGCCAACATGCTCGCATTCTACTTCCTCCGAACTGTTGGTAGATATTTTTTATTAATGTTGCTATATATTGTTGCTATATATTTTTATTATTTGAGCTGTTTGAGAGCTGTTTGGAAGCTGAAATATGTAGAAAATAAGTGAAAAAATTGCGAAAAAAAAAACAGAAAATCGATAATTTTTAATGATTCAATTCAAGGAGGCAAATCCCCCAAACCTACCTCCTTGCTGCAAATTTTAATGCTTTAGAACTATTCATCTCTCTAGCCCCTCAAAAGAAATGTAAATACTAAAATAAAAATATGTGGGTGATAAGGGAAAGTGAGGGTCATATTCGGATTCAGGAGGTCATTTCACATAAGAATCAGCAGGAATAGTGTCGGGTCCCAAAAAAAAAATTGCAATCCAATGTTATTATGCCTATATATTCGTCCAGTGTGAATTGCCATTACTGGAGTTGACTCAACAAAAATTAAACTCTGTTTTAATTCTCTGTTCGCGATAAAACTAATTCCGTTCGTTATTGGTTCTGAACTAGAATCCTTAGATATAATAGAGGTTGCGTTCGTGATAAAAATTTAGAATTGATAATGAATCGAGCATGCGCTCAAATTTTGAATTAGCAGTTTAGATTCAGTTTGGGAATCTTTCCGCAAACGAATCTTATATAAGTATTTTAAAGGGTAACTGTCAAAAATCATTTATGGCTGTAATATTTTAATCCAAAACTGATAAACTTAGGACGGCTATACAATAGCGTAAGATTAAAAATGCATTTTTGAGAAATCCAATTGAAAAATGAAAGTGAATTAAGATTGATTCATGATAAAGTAAATCGATGTTTTTGGAGATTAAAGTAAAAGGGTTTTGGGCGATTGCAGGTGGAGCCAGAGAGGGAAGCGGTGATGCGGTCAATGGACATGTGGGAACAGAGCGACTAAGCCATTCACTGCCAGGCAGTCCGGCAGACCGCAGAACTACCTCTTTCGAAGTGGTCGGTTCTGCGGAAAGTCTGGTAGGCCGTATCCTAGCCGAACAAGGCTTGGGTAAGTACTGTGATCCGGACTTCGTACGCTACACCTCAAAAGAGATGCAAGAAGCATTGGACATGACTCAGGAGGAAATGGATCGTGCGGCTCACCAGATCCTTCAGCAAGAGAAACTTATACATCATCCTTTGCACCAGCCGCAACCGCACTCATAGCAACTCCCAACTCATATACTTTGAGTGTCCAAATACCTCCGCCACACTACCAAGTGCCTAAATTAATTTCTTCTGGTCCAAGGAAGACTTTATATATTAATAAGGTGTAGTTTTTTAACCCGGATTATTTTATTCATGGAAGGATTGTTTCTCCAATGGCAACAAAATACTACATGTACAGGGTGTGAACTATGAAATGAACTGTCATTATAATTTACCATTTTCTAATATCAAATGTGTCAAAATATGAATAACAATAAATATTACTTTTCATTTATTTTTTTTCTTTCTATAACTCTTTTTAATAAACCAGCTTTTACTTTATTGATCCAAAAACATGAGTTTTTAAAGTAGGCCTTGAAAAAAGTCAGGTATGTCGAAGCATTCAATTCTTCTTAAGTGTCAATTCGGATTCAATTTAGAACCGTGCGTAGTTATCACGGACATGACTCGTATCTCTATCCTTGTCAATCATGGCCTACTTTAGAAGCATCTGTGGATCATTCTTTAGATCTTTACTGAACAAAAAAACACAATCACAATATGACAGGTGCTTTTAACGAGGAAAAGGTGAAATAGACGAAGAGGTAGTTCACAGAAGATTTAAGACTCACGAGTACGTATTATAGGACTGCAAGTAAGAACCAAAGATAGGAAAAAATGGAAATTAGTAGTAAAGCAAATCAAAACCATGGGGAGCTAAGGCATGTAGTGTAGATAGAGAAATGTAAGGCAAAATTACATAAATTTTGTTTAGATCCTCATTGTAATTTGTTCAAAAACATGACAAAATAAATGAAATATAAAAATAATTCTTTTGCTTCAAAATATTAGAAAACTGGAGTATCTTTTTAAACAAATAAACAATTTAAATCATATTTGGGTTTAGATTTATTTTTTGAATTGTTGCTTCCAATTTTTTAAAATGCTTAACCGCACAGCTTCTTTGTTGAAAAGTCGAGCTCGTACTGATGACGTTGAGCGGAAATTCGTAGTGGTATAGGTGGATTTCTTGATATAAAATCACGAAATAATCAACTGCTAGCCATTTTGTTTCCTTAACAACAGACATTCCATTCTGTATATTAGTACCTTTTTCACAACTTGAAAAATACTAATAACTAATCACCTGCCTTAATATCTTACGCTGATATTACACGTGTATAAAAAACTTGTGATTAGTGATTAGCACTACTTTACCTTGTTATGTTATGTTGGGAATAGGGTGTTAATACACTGCGACCTAAAAGATCTTTTGTGCTCCGTTCTGTCGCTAATGCCTATAACGACCCTTCCAATCCTATTTTCTCAAAGAAGTGTAGGATTTGAAGTGGTTTCAAGATAAGTAAACCTCCCTCTTCTATTTGATATCCTCCTAGATATAGTGCCCTTGGATTCTGGAGTGCTACACATTCAGTTAGAATGTGAATGGAGGTTTCGTCCTCCTCCTCACAGAATCTGCACTCACTATCCTCTACTACTCTCAGTTTACTAAGGTGTCCTTTTAGTCGGAAATGCCCGGTAAGGATCCCTGTTACAATACGTAGCCTATTATTGCTCAGGCAGATGCAGGCTTCCGATCTTTTTTGGTTATATTCATCCAGAAGTATCTTAGCCTGTCTCAGCCCCAAGAGATTGTTCCAATTATCGGTTCTTCTACTGTCCAATTCTTTTTTAATCTCTCCTAATATTATGTTACTGCTGATATCGCCTAACGGCCCAGGTCCTACAAAGGGTGTTTGAGCCCCTTTCCTTGCAAGACTATCTGCAATCTCGTTACCCTGTACCCCGTTATGTCCCGGGACCCAAGTGAGAGTAACTCTATTTTTCTCGCCTGGCTCATTCAATTGTTCTAGGCATCTCCAGAGCATTTTTGAGCTGATTACGTAAGAGCTCAACGCTTTGATGGCTGCTTGACTATCAGACATGATGATAATCTCTTGTATATGATAGTTTCTCTCGATGTTAAACTGGATACACTTCTCGATGGCGTGAATTTCCGCCTGGAAGATGCTTGGGTATTTTCCCAAGCTTTCGGAGTGCTTGGTTCTCAGCCCATACACTCCTATTCCAGTTCCTTCTATGGTTTTTGAACCGTCCGTATACCACTGAATAGCATGTCTTTCGGTTGCAAGCGCGATGGATTCTTGGCTCCATTCTTTCTTGCAGCTTGCAGCCCAGCTCTGTGGTTTTGAAGATTATCACAAAACTGTACTTCTTTAGCATTTCATCCTGGGTATCTTTAGTCCTAAAGTAAGTGGGCCTTCGTCTTATTACTCCTTTTCTGATAATTCTATATCGTGTCCTTTTTGCCACATTCTTTATCATCAAATGTAGAGGGGTGAGGTTTACGATCACCTCCATTGCGGCCGTAGGGCAGGTTCTCATTGCGCCAGTAATGCAAACACAAGCTAGTCATTGTACTTTTGAGATATTAGCTCTCGTAGTAGCTAAACTAGTTTCTGTTACTCCTGGCTATAGCCCTGTAAGTGATGATTGGTCTCACTATTGCAGTATACATCCATCGCAGTATGTTTGGGTTACATCCCATCGATTACCTGCAATGTTTCTGAATACCATTAGGGCTTTTGTGGCCTTATTAACTACTTCTTTCCAGAGAAGTTTGTTGTCCAGGGTTAGGCCTAGATATTTGACTTCATTTTTCCATTCTATATCTATCCCGTCTAATTTAATGGTTTTGAGATTAAGTTATCTTTTCCTTGAAAAGGCTACTAGTGTTGTTTTTGTAGGGTTTATACTAAGTCCCACTTCACGGCACCATCTTCTGGTATATTCTAGTCCTCGGACTATATCACACAAGATATTTTTAAACTTGCAAATATGACTATGTCGTCGGCATAACCTTGACAGAGTATGTCAGTCAGTCAATCTGCATAGAAGTTCGTCTACGGTTAGGCTCCACATTAGTGGGGATAGAACTCCTCCTTGTGGACATCCTCTGGTTGTGCAGATGGAGATGGTGTCCTGCCCTATCTGTGTCTCTGCAGTTCTCGTAGATAACAGCTGAGCCATCCATTTGGATGTGATGTTATCTACTCCTCTGTATGCAAGTGCTCTTTTGACATATTCGTGTGGCGTGTTATCAAAAGCTCCTTCTATGTCTAGAAAGGTACACTCGATCGTTTCTTTACCTTACAATGGTTGTAACATCACTGGTATATGGTACCTATACAAGAAACTGAGTTTCAAGCTTTATAAAACTAGTCACAGCGTTGCCAAATTCACTTGAATTCACTCTGAAACGGGATTGTGGGTCATTTTGAATACTGTGTCGTTTTGTCTTACATTCCTCTATAGGGCGATTTATTGGGAAATGCGCATGTTTTAGGGGTAGGTTAAGGACAACGAGGTGATTCTAATGTGTCTCTAATTCTTTATAACCAATGCACAGGGTGATTTATCAATTTTGCTAATTTCTTTAATTATTCGTAACTTACTAACCACCCTGTATATTTTTTCTTATTCATTAATATATTATGTATCCAGCATAATGCCGAATAGCGTATATATATAAAAATAGAAATCCAGGTCAGTACCATAACAAATTTTATTCATTTCCAAACATAATTTATATCAGAATTTTGAAAATCAGTTTGCATAATTGAAAAGAGCAAAAAAATTAAATTACACTAACCGTCTGGTATTTCCGCATACAATTTTACATGAATCACCATTTATACTAAAAGTTCCATTTCAGTTTATTAGATATGGTATATAAATAGATAAAGTAAGAAAAATTAATAATTATTGCAAAGACACTTTAAAATTAATTTGTAGATAATGTAAAAAAAATATTTTAAAACTATTAAGATACACTTAAAAAAACAATGTTAATGTAAATAATTTTAATGAGACTGAGTAAGTACGATTAATTTAATGTAATAAATATTCCACATTGTGTTTTAAATTTGCAAGCAATTGCTAAACAGAATCGGATTAGATATTTAAAATAAAATTGCCTAACCGCGAATTTAACTTAAAAACGTTTTTTACGACAAAAAATTAGTTTTAATAAAAAAATTATAGGGAGAATATGATTATTATATTTTTATTATTATCAAGCTTCAGATGTAATACAATATGTTTGATCTTTCTGTTGTAAAAGCGTTAGAATTCAAGAGAACAATATACAGATTAGGCTTGAAATGTTCTTAGTGCAAAACTATGAAATAAAGAGTAACAGAAAGAAGACTATTCAAATGAAGCGAGAATAAGAGAGAGAAAAAGCAGGAGAAAGGCGTTGGCAATCCCACTATTCTTCGCAACGCCGACCAATCTCAGCCGTTGACTCAAATAAGCAAACGATACAAATTCAGGCCTAGACCAGACCGAGTCTATAGCGCGAAAAGGTAAGACAATAGATTATGATTCATGTAGTCATATTTCTTTTATCAATCAAAAAACTTGTTCTAATTTTATTTTACTTTCTTATACTTTTTATTGTCTTTATTGCTTCAAATTATAATAAAATATTTCTAAATGGGTTTCCTAAAAGATTTGCTCATAAATTTGGCGACACCATTTTCTTTGATAATTTTTATTAATACTAAAACAATTGAATTTATCTTCATCATAAATTTTGTTAATATTAAAGTAATGTTATGTGCTTTGGCGAATGGACTCTGTTCCCGCAGTCAAAAAATTATAAAAAAAAATAATAATTTAGTTCATTGTCGTATGAAACAAAATAATATGTAATCTTACAGTACTTCTGGGCCCGCACCCTGACGTTCAACAGGGTAAAATTTTGACATGGTAGTATTAGATGATGGCAATCCCACAAGAATAACACCCCCAAACCAATTCAAATCTGCAGTTGATATATCTATTAAATCATCTTTTATCGCTAATAAAGTTACATGGGAAGTTTTGAAAGACACAATGGGTTCCGACCACTTTCCTATTTTAATAGAATTACAAACAAAATATATCAGTCACACATTGAAACTCGATTTCATTTATTAAATACAAGAACTGTCTCCAACAATGACAAAATATCTCTTTTCTTTGATATTATTTCGGAATCAGCGAATAACTCAATGCCCATTAAAAAACCATTTCAACCAAAAAATTTTAACCCTTATTGGTGGGATGACGATTGTAATATTTTAGTAGCTAAACATAAGGACGCTTTAAAAAACTATAAATCTCAAGCAAATTTAGAAAATTACTTAGCATATAAAAACATGGCAGCTCACACGACAAGAACTTAAACAAAAACAAAAAAGTAGTTTGATACAATATTTGGCAAAATTAAACAAAAGCACCCCTCTTACTGAAATTTTGAGTAAAGTTAAGGAGGTCCTTTCGCCACACCTCTCGCCTCAAATGTTAAAAAAAAAGTTATTAGATTATGACTAAAATTAATTTGTTTCTAATAGTTGAAGTCCTTATTTATCTAATACTGAACTTTTAACTATACCTTACCTTGCAAATTTTTGAGAATTTTTTTTTTAAAAATTTGAGTATTTGTACAGTGCCTCACGAGAAAGTAAGTCCTCAACAACAATTCTCGAATTATACTATTATTTATTGGTTAGATGGAGTAAAAAAAAAAACTAAAAATAAGGTTTTTGAAATATTTAGATTTTGTTTTATACAATAAAATATATATAGTAAACCGTGGAACTTATTGAGAAATTAATATTAAAAAATCACAAAAAATTTTCAAGTAACCTAGTTGAAATTTTTTTTTTATTTTTTAATAATAATTTCTCAATAAATTCCACGGTAATCTATATATTTTATTGTAAAAAACAAAACCTAAATATTTTAAAAACCTTATTTTTAGTTTTTTTCTACTCCATCTAATCAATAAATAATAGTAAAATTAATTATAATTCGAAATTTGTTGTTGAAGTCTTACTTTCTCATAAGACACTGTACAAACACACACATTTTAAAAAAAAACATTCTCAAAAATTTGCACGGTAAGGTATAGTTAAAAGTTCATTATTAGATAAAAAATAATTTTAGTCATAATCTAATATTTTTTATTTAACATTGGTGGCGAAAGAACAAACATTTTCATGCCAAAAAAACAAACTGCACCTCCCTTTGTTCCTACCCCGCCTTTTCCGTGCTCTACCAGCCCAAAAATTAATTTCAATTCAAAATCTAATTGTTTGGCTAATCCTTTTTCTATTAATGAATTAGACTTAGCTCTTAAAAATTCTAGAAGTACAGCACCAGGCATTGACAGCCTTACGTACAAAATGTTATATAATATACCACTTACGGGTAAATTATTCTTATTAGATATTTATAATATTTGGTGGACAAATCAAGACTATTCAGATAAAATAAAGGAAAGCATAATTTGTCTAATATTGAAACCTGGTAAAAAACCTGATTCATGCTCTTCTTTTAGGCCAATATCACTCATGTCCTGTTTGACTAAGACCTTTGAAAGGATGATAAAATTTAGATTGGAATATTTTGTAGAAAGTAATTCATTGGTACCTAGTTCTCAATTTGGTTTTCGCCGAGGCTAAAGCACAATCGATGTAGTCACACAACTAATATCGGATATTCAATTAAGTTTTGCAAAAAATGAATATTTACTTAGTTTATTTATTGACCTTAAGGGGGCCTATGATGTGGTGGATATTGATATTTTATTTTCAAAAATGAACAAAATGGGAATCAATCAAAAAGTATGTGCTAATATTTTAGAACTTTTTAAAAATAGAACAATTTATATCCGCAATCACAATAATGTATTACGTGGTCCTAGAACTGTAAACAATGGCCTGCGTCAGGGGTCAATACTTAGTCCATTACTTTTTAACTTATATACTACAGACTTGCATGGCTTTTTGGACAAAAAATATTAAAATCATTCAATACGCTGATGACATTTGCTTTTATGTCTCCCATAGTTCTTACGAGCGTTGCGTAATTGATCTAAAGTATGTGGTATATTGCATTACAAGAACGGACTTGTGGCAAGGTGCATTGTCCTTATGAAACAGAATTTTCTTTTTTGCCAAACCAGGGCGTTTTTCGCTTATATTCTACTCAAGCTGGTCCAGTAAGTCGCTGTAGTACTTGGAATTTATTGTTCTTCCCTTTTCGAGATAATCTATTAGGAATATTCCTTTAGCATCCCAAAAGACCGTTGCCATGACCTTTCCAGCAGACGGTACTGCCTTTGCCTTCTTTGGAACTGGTTCGTCCTTTGCCGTCCACTGTTTGGACTGTTGTTTAGTTTCAGAGGTATAATGGTAAACCCATCTTTCATCAACCGTAATAAATCTACAGAAAAAGTCCCCTGGATCATGTCTAAACAGTGCCAAATTCTCCTCTGAAATGGTTAGCCGCGTTAGCTTCTAATCTGACGTGAGCAAACGCGGCACCCATCGGGCGGATAGCTTTCTCATACCTAAAACTTCACACAAAATATAGTGAACTCGCTCTTTTGATATGTCCATAGCCTCAGCTACCCCCTTCCAATTTTAATCTGCGATCTTTTAGAATTAGTTTGTGAACGGTTTGCACCATTTCTTCAGAACTTGCCGTTTCTGGCCTGCCAGAACGCGGAGCATCATCAGTGCTAGTACGATCACGTTTAAAGTCCGCTACTCAGGTTTTAACTGTAGTAAATGAAGGAGCAGATTCCCCAGCTTTTATTTCCGTCGGCGATAATCCTTTGATATGGAAATATTTTATCACCGCTCTTATCTCGTTTTTTCCATCTTTTAAAAGTGGCGCACTTTATAAGCTTTTAAAATATCCAGGACAGAAACTACTTGACGCACTCACTTTAAACTTCGAACGTATACTGACGACAAGCAAGGCTACACAGACACGTTGGAACAGGAAAGCAAGTCGGGCCTACTGTAGGTTAGGCCGCAAACTTTTCATCCCATCCTCTTATTAGCTTCAATAATTTCTAGATTGAAATTAAATTATGGTCGGTTTCCAGCAGCCCACCTCTATAAAATCGGTGTAATTAGTTCCCCTTACTGTTCATGTAATAGTGAAAAGATTGCAGATTTGAATCATTTATTTTTTGATTGTAAAAATAATAAACAGTTAACAGAAATTTTTTTTAAACATCTTATTAATATAACAGTTTCCATTTGCTATTGAATATTACCTGTCTTCTAGCCTCAAACCAAAAATACACAAGTTTGACTTTTTCCGGAGATTGATTTCCTTGAAAGCTGCTTTTCCTAGTACCGATAAAACTTTCCTAAAATCCTGATAGCGGTCTCTATTGAAATACCTATACGTCTTTCCAAATTTACCAAAAACTTCCAAGTAAATTAGTTGAGGGTGAGCGACCTATCTATACTTAAAATAAAATTGTAAATAGTATTTTTTTTCTTTCATTTATTACACCACATTTATTACTGATGAGGGTTAATTTATCATAGGTCTCACCTTTTTCCTTTTGTTCAATAAAATAAAGGCGTGGTACCATTATCTTTTTGTTGTTGTTGTCGAGGGTGGTTCATAATTTGACGTTGGGCGCATTTTCGCTCTAAACCTCGCCAGTATCCGGCTGTGTACCCGCACCCTGAGTATTTTGACAATGAAAGGGTGGAAATTAATTTACAAGGTCTAATGCTATTCCCCTACATTTATAGATAATGTGCTTACACTATACAACTCAGTGTCGTTCTTGTTGCCTAATTTTTGTGGATTGTTCTAGAAATAAAAAAAGTTGAGAATTAAATTAAATGCTAGTTTGCATCTAATATAGCAAAATCCGTCCCTGGTCGGAGTCATAGAAGATTTTTATCATAAAGCATTCGTTTATTGTAAGCAAAAGCAAGAAATGTGGGCCGTCGGGCCGACCCGTCCTCTGTCCGCGGCCGCTGCTGCTGGTCGGGTCGCCTTCGCCTAGAGTAGAGTGAAAATCCTATCGATAATATTATGTATGCACTCTGTTTTGTGTTATGTGTTGTTGGTTGTTGACGATCACGATACGCATTCGGAATTATAAAGAAGATAATATTCACATCACAACACATATCATATAAGTTAATAAGTACCCTACAGTCAACAACCGAAGGCATTACGCACATTTAACTTGACTGGTGTCTGGTGTCATCTTTAACGTTTTAACCTGTCATTCTTTGGTATCACTTGTTGGTTTATTTGCTTGTTGCTGGTATGCTTAAATTCTATAAACGTGCATTTATTTCAAATTGAAATATTTTTAAGTGTGTAGATTATATACATACATTCAACAGATGTGACAGTTGGAAAAAAAGGTACGTATTTAATTATATTATAATTATTTATACAGTATTGAATAATACTGGTTTATTATTTACATTTGTTTTATGATGGTGTAAGTTTATTATTGGTTTTTACGTTGGCAAATTCATGCTAATTATCATAGACACACCTATTCTACAAACTTTTTATTCGTGTCTAATTCGGTATATATTATCTCTAAAAAATATAATTAACAATTACTCATTACAATATTTATTACTTAAAACGAGTAGTATTGTTTAACTTAGTGCTATAGGTATACTATGTAGGTACGTTCAGTTTTGATAATGCCTATACAGTAGACCTACTTCCTGGTTTTTCCTTATAAATATGTATTATTTACCTACATCACACCTAAAAATATTTGTAGATGAATGATTGTTTTCCACACAAAACATACCTACACCTACATTTCAAACGTATAGGTAATAAAATATTATTTTAAAAACTCCGAAACTCATTACTTTAGTTTTTGAATTTAATGAAGGTTTTTTTTATCAAAAACAAAATAAAATGCATAAATTAAAAATGCCTGAATTAACATTTGATTTGGATTTATAAAAATAATAAATAAAAATAAATATTCTTAAAATTAACTTGAATGTTTTATATTATTACCAAAAAGATAATTTATTTTTTTTGGTCCTTACTTTCTCTGTACAATTACTTTTTTTATACGTTTTGTATTAGGTCAAACTAAAATAATTTTAGATTCTTTTACGGTCAAAAAAATAATGAAAGAGCTTACGCAAATCATAACAAACTTTCTACTACTTATTCATTTGAACCCTTTCGGCTTTCAAGGGCGCATACAATGCTATTCGTTTTAAAGGATCGATCAGCTGATACAACAGGTTAATTTTTAAACCGTGCGTGCTTGTATATGAACCATTATTTATTTCATAATTTTTTTTAAAACATTCTTTCACGTAATAAAAATCGATATTTTTACCTACTCTTAGAATAATATTATGTTCTTCATTAAATAATGTGTTAAAATAAAGCAATTTAACCCACTGTCCTTTCTAATTGATATACATTTCGACGGTGTTTTGATAAAAGGGCGTAAGCGACAAAATTAGTCAAACTGAGATAATTATGTGAAATTTAACCTGACAGTATTCCACATCGATATCACAAAAATAATTAACTGCCAAAAATTCCGATCGCAATAGTAGTTTACCTAACAAGTGCGGAAAGTGATACTTTTCCGCACACGATTTCAGATGGCCAGCAATCGCGTGTGGAAAAGTCACTTTATGCACTTGTTAGATACCCTATTTTTTCTACTAGCGTGCGGAAAAAACCCAAAAGTTAACATAAAGAAACATTTATTATTAAATACATATCAACAAATTAATTATTCTTAATATTAATATTGAACGTGCAATTTGTAGCATTCTGCAAATTAATTGCAGAGCCTAAAATGTTTTCGGTTTTCCACTGCTTTGTCAGCATTAATTGTTGCAACCGTGGCAGTGGGAACTTGGCTGGAAGAGGTCATTTTGGAAGGCTCTACTGGTGACAGCTGCTGACTAGTGGAATATTTTATTCGATAGGCCTTTTTGGAAACTTGGTGAGCTTTCTACATAACCTTCTGCGACGCTAGAAGATTTCCAACTTCCAAGGCGTTTAATATTTGTTATTCCTTCTCCGGAATCTGCAGCATTGTGGCGGCGGAACGTCGGAAACTGTGGCCCGTACATAATTCAGGAGTTAGAAGCTTCAGATAACTTGCAATCTCTGATGGAATTTTTCCGAAGGTGTTTATTCCGATACATTGTACAGTGCAAGTTCCTTTCTTATATTTCACGAAAAATCGCTTATGTGGGGTTTCAGGCTCTCAATTTTTCATTTTCAGCTTCCTCAGAAATCGCAAAGCTTCTGAAAGAGTGTTTTTTTTGTGTCTGGGATATTTATCAATAAAATATTTCCTTTGTCATCAATATGATCTAAAGACATCTTTGTTAATTTTTCTCGCCTACATGCGTCCGCCGAACCAGTAATCGTAACGACTTTTATATGAAGATAAATTTTGTCAGGCGCTTCATTTATAAACTTAAAAATTTCTTCTTTTGAGAAAATGTTTGCCTTTTTTTGTCTAAAATCCAATGTTTTGTTTTTTTATATATGCCGTGACCTCGAAAAACTTGCTTAAATCGACGTCTTTTTTGAGTTTAATTACACTTTTTAACATTGAGTACCTGGACCAAAGAGTGTTTGGCTTGCATGTTTTGGAAATTTCAGCAAAATAAGCCAAAAAAACGTCTTCTTTAAAAGTTTTAATTCCCTTATTCTGGCACCAGTTTTCAAACAAAATATATTCCTTTTCATACCTATAACGGGATTTTGACGGTAGTAGATCCAAGTTTGCAGTTCTAGCTGCTTCCAAAACTGACTCTGGAAAATCTTCGTCTGAAGAATCCATGAAAAATTATCTTCTAGAAAAAGATGCGACGGTAAAATCGGTTTTGACAAGGTAGTGTTTTGACTGACAGTTTTATTTTTTCTTTGTTGCTACGGTGATTCAAAGTGACAAATAAAAAATGTCAGATGTTTATTATTATTTGACATTCATTTGATGCGGCTTATACCAGGGCCATTAAAAAATTATTGAAACATACGTTTCTTTTTATTAAAAATTAATTAATTAATAAATTTCTTAATTTTTTAGTCATTTTGTAAACTACAACCGTACAAATATATATTTTAAATATTCAAATGTCAGTATACTCCCCAAAAACTTAACAAATTTACTAGTGCGGAAAAGTGACCCTTTCAACACTAAAATGAGTGCGGAAAAGTGAACTTTTCCGCACGCTAATAGAAAAAATATTTAGGTTTTAAATATTGTAAGCGACAAACTTTTTATACATCTAGTTTCGAGGTTAGTAACCGCCACACCGTCCATAAAGTCTTGTTCAGAATAGGAGCGGCGAGCGTCGCGATGCGTCGTCGGTAAAACAACCGCATACGTTCAGAGTGAGAGCGACCAGCGATGCGATATCTGAAATATCAATCGCGTCGCTGAATCGCATCGCGACTCGCGACGCCCGCCGCTCCTACTCTGAACAAGGCTTAAGAGGTGTTTTATTCTGGCAAAAATGTTAATGCAAGATATTTTGGTTTTAAAGTATATAATTGCATTTATAGAATCTAAATTTTACTAATATTTCTTTAATAATATCGCAGAAACGTGCAATGTCGCTTACGTCCTTTCGATAAATTGAAATTGAAAGGCGTAAGTGCCATTCTGCCATGTTATTTAAATTGGCTAAATATTTATATTTATTAAAATAATACATGAACGTTGTTCTATTTAACAAAAATGAATTTAAAATTTCGTTTCAAAATGTCGGTTAACCTTTTTTCTAAGATGTGTCTCATGGGCGACAACTTGTTAATTTATTTTTTGTTTGAGTATTTGATAATTTTAAGATATATTATTTTCTTCTTTTTAAATTTGTAATTGGCTTTTAAATCAGTGGTATAAGCGATATATAAATAACTAGGTAGTGAAACAAGGAAAGCGTAAGTACATTATTGATAATAAGATATTTTTTAAAAGGCGTAAGCGACAAATTTAATGTATTATAGCTTATTTTTAATAATTTTTACAAAAAAATCGCTTAAACAAGAATAAAACATGTTTTTTATATCTAGTGCATTAATAGGTTCAAGCCGCTTACGCCCTTTTGCCCCTTTTGTCAAAACATCGTCTGGTCATATCTCGGGAACCATTTATTTGAACTATTTCGGATTTTTTTTACAAAATATTGTATTTTTCATCAAAAATACATTATTTTAAACCTAACTTTCAGGAAAACTAAACATTAATTTGTGTGATATTTCATTATTTTCCTATGTTAGTTGTGCGGATTGTAACGGAAACAAAACGTGTAAATATGATTCCACGTGGTTTGGATACCAAAATTCGAAGTCATTTTATAGACTTATCAATGCCAGGAAGTACATTTTTCCCAAAAGCTATGTTTAAATTAACCTCTGCATACACGGTAGATTTTTATGGGCGAACGCCAACCATCAAATTGTCGATTCCAATAGGCAGTGGGCCTAAAATCGTTAAGGGTTCAAATAATGTATAAGCGTCAGAAAATTCTGTTATTTGGTTATTTTTCCAAACCATCAACATTGGGTATACCTCAGATCTACCTACCAAATATATATTCTAAAAAATTAGACATTGCTTTTATTTCACATCCTATTTTTAAGTGCCGATTTAGTTGGTGTTCAAGCCAAAATCTTATTGTATTGTATTGTATTGTTAAAAAAATATATTACAAGAAAATACTTAGTGGTATTATTCAAAAGAACTAACTGTTACTACTGTTCTCAAAATTCTCCGATTAGTAAGAAATGCAAATGACTTGAGTGATATCATTGACTTTAATAATGTTTCGCTGACCTCTATACATTAAATAGTAACTTTTTGCGTTGTAACAATTTTTTTATAGTAATTTTTTTATTTTTAACTATATGATGTAGATAGATTGCCCTTTAATATAATATTCTGTTACTAATGAGATTTACAATTCTATATTTTTGTAAATAAACAAAAAACTAAAAATAATATACATATTATACTGAAAACATTTATTATCCTCCCTCGCTAAAAAGTACCTTACTTAGATGGTCTTATTACGTTACCTGACATGCATGTGTGTATTTTTATCTAAGCCAAATATTGTTATCATATTTATAAGGGGCTGGCTTATTTGCGGATAAATATAATTCATCAACTTTATATTATATTTATGTGCCTACATAAAATTCATATATTCACATCAACCGTAACATAAGGTATACATATTATTTTCCACACTTTAGAGTGTAAAAATATGAAATTTTTATAGTTAGGGAGCTATTGGCATTTTTTTAAATGATCGGCTCATCGTGCAAAAGCTGTTAACTTTTATTTACGAAATACGACTTTACACTTTCAGTATTTGGCAACGTTATTTTTAAGCAATAATAAAAAATATATATATTTCATATGCATTCAAATATCCCGCTAATCACTTCTCAGTTCTTTTCCCGTCATATTGCCAATTAAAACCGTGGTTTCTCAAAAATTGTTTATGCAATATCAGTAGCTGAAATGAATGTAGATCATCTAATTTAATGAAAATAATAGAGACTCGCTTTAAGTTTAATTATAAGTTTTTATTTGTTTAGATTATTTTTCTAGTAAGAGTTCATTTATAGGTATCTAAGAATGTTAAATTCTAATTCTAAATAATTGATGGATTCTCCAAATCATTGTTTTCCAGCTTCCTTATTTTAGAATCCTTTTAGGAACCGTTCGTCTCTTTTTAATTTGTATTGCTAATGTTAATTATATCTCAAATTTTTCTGCCACCCAAATGTATATTTTTTAGAAGAAAATATAACTTTAATTTTATACGGCCTAGCACTAGGACAATACAGGCTAGTCTTCGGCCACCACATTTTGGGCGCATCCCAACTCGTGCTCACTAATCCTTTAAAAGGTAAAAGAGTAAAATTCTCTATAATCCATATACCTAACTCTAGATTAATTGAAAAATATACCTGCCCTAATTAACATCCAATCTTATCTAGAAACTGTTAAAAGATTTAATATTAAATTCTAAGGAACAAGCATTATTGAAAAATTCCTTGTACTTACTAGAATTACGGATTTTTTTTTCTTTCGGATCTGATATTTATGAATGAGTTAATTTTATTTTGTAAGTGGTAAGAGCAGCTCAATAAACATGTCGATTCGCGAAGTAACAAGTCAACGTTGAAAAATATTATTAATTATAGAACAGTACAAATGTAATTAAACCAGCAAAAAGTTAGCATTTGGAGAAATTAAGTGGGTATGTGTGAATAGAAAGTGTAAAACCTTTCTTCGAACAATCGGTGATTCTGGTGGTCGTGTAATAACCGAAAAAGTGTTAACACATAATCATCCAGCAATAGAAGAAAATATTATTCAAAGACATATAGTGAGTGCATCTGCTAGAGGAAAGGCTTCTGATGATATTTGTGAAAAACCCAGCAAAGTTATTCGAAAATGTTTTGAATCCAATTTAAATGAACTTAAAATAAACGATTTAAATTGTATCAAAAAATCAATTTACTATGAAAAACGCAAAAAGTTTCCAAAATTTTCATCGAGTGCCGAAGAGGTATTTGAAATTTTAAATAATACAAATACAAAATGAGAATTTTGTGCTTATAAATGATTTGGAAATAAATCTAATTGTATTTTGTACTGAAACTAATTTGAAGTTTCTCTGTGAGTGCAAAACACTTTACACGGATGGGACGTTTGCATATTGCACAAAATATTTTCTCCAACTGTTTACTATTCATGGCCTACGTAATGGACATTTTATACCACTTGTTTTTTGTTTATTGCGAGATAAAAAAGAAGACACCTACATAAAATTATTTCACAAATTGGTATATGTAAGGATAATAATTTGAAGCTAATACCAGATAGAGGTTTTTGAACGAGCACGAGTTGGTCAGTGATTCCCGAGGCCAGGTAATAACGGGCACGAGTTGGGAAACGCCATTTTTATACGTAATAAAATAGTTTTTTGGATGACCCAGTATAATTGGAAATAATTATAAAAATGTTCCATCAAAAAATCAATACTATATACCTACCGTTATAGCATAAGAGACCGAGGGAATAGTCTTGACTCATCACCCTGTATAATATAAGACTTAGATTCATATTTATAAACCTCGGTTATTACTCCTCTAGAGTTTCCGGCCATTCCAGTGATGCATCGAAATTTACAGATAGATAGTAGCAAATCCGTTAATGTAAAGTACATTTACGATTAGTTATTGCCATCTTTAATTTCACGCGATATGACCGAACTTTGATTTTCATTCAAGGACGAACTTACCTGAGTCAGACTCACATGAATTCGGTTTATAAATATGGACTTAATACCTGCCTTTGATTACGAAGTATTAACATCTTAAATAAAAAATATCACGAGCGCCCTAACTATTATAGTCAACAAGCAGCTCTAAGATTGAATTTTATAGCAGGCAAACTAATTAATTTCGTAAATAATGGTACACATACATTATCGCCAGGACTGACGTCATTTTTAAACATTATTTATTCATTTTCACTCTCTCCAATTAAGACGGAATCTATTTTTCTACAATGTATTCAAAATTCATCGAAAACATCTGTTATTTTTTTTTACAGACTCAATAATATGGATTCGAAAGCATTTCTCTTGCTAAATTCAAAAAATGAGCAGTATTAATCAGTATCAAGATCTACTAAATTACTTGGAGGAATCTCAGGTAAAAATAATACATAGTTTTGTAAATACCTAGTTTGTAAGCAAATAAAACTGGAAGAAATTAAATATTTTATATTTAACAATTCAACTAAATTTGATACAGCACAAAAAACTAATTATTGAGCTAATAAATATCTACATATACTTAATTTAAAACTAATCCTGTAATAAATTAAGTAATCTTAAAAATTAATGCTTATTTCTGAATCTCTTTCCTCTCGCGGCGAAAAATGGTGCGTCGCTTTGCAAAAAATCTCTCGTTTGCGAGCTTAACAAACCACCAGTTTCCTTTTTGCCTCTGGATACAAAAAACGGTTCCTCTTGAAATTCGGGATCCTCTCTGACTCTGACGACTATCCAAGATGGCTCTTCCACAAATAATGGTTCGTTTTTGAAGATAGGGTCTTTTTTGCCTCTGTTCGCCCAAAATGGTCCAGCCATATCATCTAGAGCAAACCTTTTCGAAATGTATTTATCGTTGGCTGTACCGCAAATAACATTTTCAGCAACGGTTCTGAACGATTGCGATTGTGAATCATGGGTTTGACAGAACAGCAGTGTCCTTTTTCGAGGATCCTGCGCCTGAAGATTAAAAGTATGCATACAAATATCATAATTAACAAGCAAATAAATTATTACTAATTTAATGAGTGCGGCAAAATATATCCAGATATGAAATATTGTTATAATTTTCTTATTTACTTGACAGCTGTCAAAAGTGAAGTTTTTATAGAAGTATAAAGATACAGAATGTTGTAATGTTAAATTGCATTCCCAAAACTTTTCTTCGATGATTTCAACTCGGCGCGCTTCTAGGTCGAGCGTATGTATCCTGATAAATGATATCCACAAGGAGAAACGATTCGAAAAAGTGATGTAAAGCATAATTGAAGACCTCGTTCTGGTCGTTCAAACGAAAATATTGAACTTGTTGAGGATAATGTTAAAGCCGAAACAAAAACTTTCACAAGGGGGGTTGTCCACAAATAGGGTTGTCTAAGCGAACTTTAAAAATAATTTTGAACTTAGACTTACATAGGTGTCCATACAAAATCCAAACTGTGTTCAAACTAAGACCAAATCATATTCAGAGACGTTTGCAATACATACAAATCGTTTCAAACTTAGTGGAAGCAGGAAATTTGATAATGAGCGACCAAGCAAATTTTTAACAAGTAAAATTATCGTTTTTGGGGAACAAAAACCCTCGTCTTATTCAAGGGAACGTGCATTTTGATCAAAAAGTCGTTGTTTGGTGCATATTATGCTCCGAACAAATCATTGGACCCTTTTTTTTAAGAATGCCATGTGCAATGCGCAGATTTTCTGCAACCACAGTTGGAAGAACTTGGCAAAGAAACCTTCTGGTTCCAGCAGGATGGTACTAAATCATGCAAAACGGTCGAGAGACATTTTCCCTAACCGGTTGCTCTCAAACAATGGGGATATTGAGTGACCGCCTCATTCCACTAATTTGACGGCACCAGATTTTTTCTTGTGAGGATATTTGAAAAGTAAAGTCTATATTAGTCACACACAGACCTTTAGAAGATTTAAAGGAAAATATTTATGAAGAAATTGCGCAAATTCCAGCTGAAATATTGCGCAAAGTTATAATACACGCTCAAAGTAAAGTTGGTTATTGTCTGGCTTGTTGTCGCAGACATTTAGATATTTTGTCGCACTCTATACATTAATTCACTCTCCTGAGCTATTTACAACTCTGTCAGATTTACATTTTTGACAGTTTGACACATTGACAAGTATGCATTCCAAACCAAGTGACCTTTGGTTTGGTTAAATGGTTTCCTGATTACACATGACACACAATCCTCGTGTTATACGAGTTAATTTGGAAACATAGTTTTTTAATAGTGACTTGTTTTTGTGGGTGAGTTCAAATGTGACCAATGTGAAAATCGATACTTTTGTGTTATATTTATCCATTTGCATGTCTTTAAAAATAAGACTTGTATGATTTCGGTAGTTTTTACACTTATAATAAAAGATCCAAAGTTATGTACATTAGCCTGTTTCGCTCAAAACAGCTAATGCATAGATATAATATCTTTCTGACATTGGCCATTCTTGTTGGACTTGCAGATTGCAATTATGCATGTAAATACTTTACTAAAACATATCAATCACAAATCAATCGATTGGAATGTATTTTCTTCTCATTGCACACCTTTTACTTCTAGTAATCTAATTCAAATGTCTTCTCGAAAAAACGAGCCTTTTGTTTTTTGATAAAAGGATAAAACTATCATTACAATCACACACTGAACTGTCCAAATCCACCCACAAAGCACAAAGTTTGGTATTCAGCGCTATATGTTCAAAATATTTTCTTGATTGAGACTTGGTCAAAGTATCATTCTGTTGATTAATTACAATCCTCTTACAAGAATAACATTCACATCAGTCATGCCTACTTATGATAACCGGGATTACTTTTTCGAAATACATCAATTTCAGAAATAATGTAATTGCAGATGGTACAAAAAGCTTTCTTTCCAATGAACATGCGCAATGAAATCTTTAAATAATTCAAAGCAAAATGAAAAATAACACCAATTGCTGATAATTAAATACACTATATTACAAATGAACCTTTTAGGAGTTTTAAAAGAACTGATGTAGAATTAACAGTGCCAAAAAAGTGTCAATAATGGGAGTCTTTACTTGACAGGTTGAAAGGTTAAAGTATGGTACCAAAATAAAAGATAATTGTAAAATTGTTCATGGAATTACTCCAGAACAATACATTGTTACAAAGATTGCTATAAACGTGAGATCCATTTGTTATTAGCTTAATTAAGTCCAACAAAATGTTGTTAACAGCTGCAGGATGAACATTCACTCCAATACATAATTATTGTCATTAAAGTTGAATTTTTGTAGAATCTTTTATTTAAAATTAATAATAATAGCACAAAATAATGAACTTAGTAAAATTGCCTACTTACGCGTATTGTAACCATTAATAGCAGTAGCCATTTTATTGGAGAGGGCATTTTATACAATAAAATAAAGGGACCTAACAGACGAATATTTTCACACTGTACCAGGGCGGATAAGGCAACTGCTTAAATACACTATGTCACGGTCTCCTGAGCAGAAAAATTGCAATAGCCAGAGGTCAACCTGGATTAGAATCGGGAATAAGGGAATTGAACTTGCTTTTCAGAATTATTTACACAATATTTATTATATATATAATACGTACACCAACTTCTTGCCCACAGCTTCAGGCTTTGACATCATAATTAACATTAAGTATTAAGCTGTAAGCTCATATTTTATCTATTATCTTAATGCTTTAAAAACTCACTTCAACAACGGTTAATTAGGAATATCTTATAACGATTAGGATATTTTGTGATTTAAACTATATTTCTAGGTCATAGATGATGAGTAAATTCGGAAGTCACGGAATTCTCTTAGAAATTGACGTAACTTAAGAAGAAACTATTTTTAGAACATTTAGATTTACAAAATTCTAGGGAAAAGAACCCTGCAAATCAAATTATCAGCAAAGTGTGTAAAAACAATAATTGAAAATAATTATGCAGTCTTTTATTCCAAACGGTGGTATATCGGCTATATATTGAAATTCAAGGATAATGGTTGCTTTAAAATTGTTAAAAGAAAAACTAATCGATTTAGTGACCCAAAGCAAACAACATAGAACTCGCCGAAAAAAAAAATATTGATTGGACCAATTCCATTCATTATAAATGAGCAAGACAAAAAAATATTGAATTCAAATTCAAAATTTAAAACTAGTTGTTTATTTTTTTAATGTTGTGTAACTAAATTTTGAACTACAGCGTTTCCTGAGATGATATCCTTGAACTTGGGATGACAACACCACTCTGCTATTGACATATTTTCAAATCTGACATCATCAAATGAAAGAAACTAATTAAAAAAAATTGTGTAAACGTTTGACTTTGGACCCATAGTGTTGTATATCTATGAACTCTTTGAGAAGTTATACAAATTTATAATAATATATATGGAGATAATATATTTATAAAAAAAAGGGTGGTGTGTGCTTAAGGCAACACGTCAGAAGTAAAAACTTATTTGGCATTGGTAATTCTACGTAATGGATATAATAAAAATCGGTAAAGTTTTTACCCAGAACTTCTTTCGATATAGAAATTGTAAAAATAGGGAACTCCAATAAGGAAAGTATTTTAAATTTTTAGGTACTAATTTTACAATTATTTATAAATGAAAACTATATTAACAGATTCAGTCCCGTAATTCTTTTGTTAGAACGAAATTCCTTCGATAGTCCCGGAAATCCTTCGGAATTTCTACGTACACAATTTTTCTAATATATTTACCAATCGATATTAAAGGTTTTTTCAAGGTAACATCTCTGCTATTTATTTAGCCTTCCTCAGAGCTATAAAATACTAGGTTTTAATAAATAATAATAAAATAATGTTTAATCACATAAAAAGGCAATGATATTTTATCACATCTAAATAAAGAAAAAATTATTTAGTCTAGACCGTTCTTTGTACCAAAATCGGTTCGATAGCTAATTTTGACGTAGTCGAATACTTAAAATTCTCTTTTTTCAATTTTAGTTGATGACCTCGCCATTGTAAATCCATATTAAGTGTAAATAAATACTTATTAGATTAGCATAATCAACAGTACTTGACGCGCCACTTTTTAAACCAAATATTTATTTGGATATTTAAAAAAATTATAGAGATTATATTTAGATTAGGAATGTATGAGGTGTATCGGTGGTTTTAAGAAATTCAATACACAAATAATTAACGACTTACCTGTAAGGATGATCGATCCGAATTATTCAAGCTGTTGTCCTACATGATTATTACACCCTGTACTATGCGTGACTCATACTGATCAGTACAAAAAACTACCAAGATAAAACAATTTCTATATAAACACCTGCGGTATGTGAGTGATTCGTTGCATTATTTGATTTATTAGATTGCAATGGGATAGGGAGAATAATTAACTTGAAATTGCGTGTACATCTGCTCTAGCAGAAAAATAGGATCTTAAATTGCTAAACACGTATAGCAATAGCACTGAGCATGGATAGAATTCGTTTTAGATATAAGGACGAATTAGTAAGTATTGCTCTGCCATACAAATAGTGGAATGAGGATCTTCAACTATCTCCAACTGATGTTACATTGGTTTTTGCTTCTACGTCCATTTTCTGAACCAGTCGCATATATTCAGTTCATAACCCAGTAAATCACCAAATTAATTCCCTTCCAGAATGAAATTGAAGGAGCATTCGAAACGCCTTATAAAAATGAGAATATTAACGCAAACGAAAATAGAGAAGAGGAAAGCAAAGAAAACGATGATGATGTTAATTTTTTAATTAAGTTAAACGAAAAAATAGAATCAGATTTAATAGAATTACTATCTAAAAGTACATTTAGAACGAATACGCCAGAATACAATCGAACTATATCTAATGGAATCGACGATACCAACGTTCATTTACAATATTATTTTCCAAAGAACCATGCAAATTCAACAGCGACACCAATTAATTCGAATAAAATTGAAGAATCTCCGGTATATTTGCCACCAAACCATTCGCAACAGGTAAAAATTAAATTCGAATTACATTATGTTTACTGATATAAATTCGTTTATTTTAAGAATTTTCAAAGAAATGTGATCGATGCAGCTACCCAAACATCACCTCCTTCCTTATCGCCAAGCTCTACAAACCTAACTTGGGCTTCCAGTTCATCCTCATCTCCGTGCCTTTCATCTCCATCAAATTCTGACAACGATTGCTTAGAAGAACACTTCGACGAGACTTTATCAGCGGTTCCTTACGTATCCGAAAAGAAAACAGTATTAGGTTCCAAATTTTCTTCCACTCCAATTTTGAAAACCAACCACAATAAGGTAAGTTTTTCACTTTCATGACTCTCGTTTCTATTTCATATTTTTTATGAAGGTGTAAATATCTCTCTACACTGAAAATACTGTTTACACGACAACAAACCTACATTTTCAGACTAGTGCGAATTTTATCACTTTAGAATTGTATGCTATTGTATAGAATTTCCAATCAATAAATGGCGAAGAAAAATAATCCAAAAAAAATGTAGCCTTATTATTTAATGAAAACTAAAAAAATATTCCAAATGCAGTAAAACCAAATAGGCATTCCAAACAAAATGGTTGCCTATGGGCATTGATATGTGGGCCTGGTCGATTTGACATGGTCAATGATTTAGATAGTTATATAGATTGATCATTTATGTTTTTAAAAATAAACATACTAGTCTATTCAGTATCATGCAGTTGCTAGCTAGCAAGTGGCTTAGACCAAGGTCAGTCGTTATGTTACCACTTTGAAAAAATCAGAATTCTCTAAAGTAAAATCTGTAACAACTAGTGGTTATAAAAGTGGATTTCAAGTGACTTAGAAGCAATCAAATATTCTTGGTGGTTAAGCATTACAACTAGTTGCTGAGAAAGAAATATAGACCTTTGGATAATAAATAAATATTTTAAAATTAATAGGAGGTATGTCTATTTATAAGATAATCGGAACTTATCATATTTTTGCTAATGATTTGTTTTAGGAATAAAGTAAGAAATAGGAAATAAGAAACATCTATGCATTTTGTGCAAAGTTTACAAAATGGAATTAATTTTTTTAATTAATCTCGTGATTTTTTTTCATAATACAGAAAACTAAGCTATTACTCATTAAGACAAAATTAAAAAATATAATATACGTAAAGTCCTTAATTATTTTAATAGTAAAGAAAATGCTTTTAAATTAATGGATTAATTCTGCAGAATATACAAAAATATACCTATAAAAACATAAGGAATAATTTTACACTTTAAATCATCCAATTAAATAATACATAAAAAATAAAAATATAAATTAATATGATCAGAAATACGTAAAAATTAATTATATAAAAAATGTATTACACAATATATAGGTATCATTTTTTTAATGATCTTTACCAATTCAATGTAAATATAATTTAATAATATAATATGTTATTTCGTTTATAATTTTCATGTTGGAATCGCATACCTATCTAAATATTTTATGAATTTAAAATGTATTTTATAAAAATCATCAGTTAGCAAATACACACCAAATGAGTGGTGAATTTTCCTATTTACGTAATGGCGTTCTTCATTTGCTGCTGGAGGAACTATAGCCATGTGAGTACAGTCAATAACTCCTGTAACTCTAGGAAATTAAAATTTAAGGAAAACCTTAAAACAAATGATACAAAAAAATTTAATGAGTAAATCAAAAATAAGTTACATTTTCACGAAGAACTTCACAGTTTCGTATTGTTGCTGGATTCATAATAATTTCGTTGCGACTCAATTTTTGAACCTGCGAGTATATTAGGCAAGGGCGGCTACAGGGAGGGGGCCATAGGGGTCATGCCCCCCCGAGGTCTCCCCCCCGAAAATTCGTCTTGGAGCCACCCTTGGGTCAAATAGGGTGTTTGTCAACCTCAAAGCTAATTTTCCGACTATTTAATATAAATCAAATATCTCCGCTCCTAAAAAGGGAATGGCTAAAGGCAATGCCCCTCCTCCCGGAAATTCGTCTTGGAGCCGCCCTTGGTATTAGGATATACAAGGTGGAACTCCGAAAACATGTTTTCATCGTATTGATGCAAAAAATGAAAACGCTCGGACTGGTCGATTTTAGTTTGGACAGGGACACATTTTTTTGATTGCATTATCGACACTTCAACCCTCGAGCAGTGGTAATTAAATAGGGAAAGTACTAAAGGTGAAGAAATCACGGAAAAAAGGTAATTTGATAGATAATTCGGTAATAAAACTATTCATTGCGTTTTTAGCGCCCTCTAGCTTGATACAAACTGTTTCGTATTTTATTTGAAAGAGAATTTTATCACTAATTCAATGCACCACATGAGATTAATCTAAATATATCCATATTGCAACAAAATAAAGTTAGCAAACAACGACTAAATAATAAGAAGAATAAGTCACAAAATATTGATTTATCGAAAAAACTTCATAGAAGATTTTTTTCTTAGAATACTTCAATCTATCAATATCTGCAGTTTTTTGAGTTCATTAATTTCTACCTTCAAAAAAGCGCACATCGGCACTATATAACTTTTCTTCCTTGATCCATTCCTAAATTTCACGTAAATCGGGGCCAAACACCGTCAAACACTATAAGACCCGTGGCGGCTTGTTACAAAAAAATTGGGGGTTCACAATGACAGTACACAGATCTCAGTACAGATTTAGGTAAAAAACTTTCAGTTTTTATAATATACCTTTCTGAGATCTAAATTCTGTCATTGTGAACCCCCAATATTTTGGCCACCACTGTATAAGACTGACGGGCTTCGGCTATTTCTGCAGATCTGTATACTTATCATGTTCTCAGTCCCAGTTACCTACAAAATATTTGATTAGCGATTATACGCCTCAAAAAAAAACAAGGCAAATGAATCTATATTTTGGCTATCCAATTCTTTCAAATGTACCTATATCTGTCTGAAATTAAATTAACCAAGTGTGAATATGTAGTAATTAATCGTGCGTAAGGGAAGTAAAGGTATATAGAGCCTTTGAACTTTATAACTAGGCGTTATCCAGCAGAGTGGCCATGCATGAACGATTTTGTAATTTCAGGTGAACAAGCAGAGCCGATCACAGTCCGATCGACACCTAACTGGTGAGTAGATCTTCGCAAACACTCTAATTATGTCAATACGTGTTAAAGAATACAAATTCTTTCGCAGTCTAAGCGTTAAAGTTAATGATAATTGGCCGGTTCGTAAAGCTGAACAGCTATGGCGGCAAATGCGAACCCACAAAATTGCAGGTTCGTTGTTTTGTTTTTTCTCAAATCCCTTCATCCTTAAAAATCCATATTTTCACATATCATACTCCGTATATTTCTTTTTTTAGAAATTGAAGCTGCAGAGGCTTGTAAATGGCTTCGTGCAACTGGATTTCCACAATACGCTCAATTGTATGAAGGTAATCATTTTTTTTTTAATAGATAAGTGGGCATTCGCTTTTAAAGAGCCAATAAATTATTTTTAATTAAAATTGTAATTACAATTTGTGAAGTTATCGTAAAAATGCAGTAATAACTCACAACTTCCGTGATTATTTTGAATCTAACACGATTTATAACCAGAAATGTTGCTGTTATCGTTGCACTAAAATCTTAAATACTGATTTAGAAAAACTGGCGAATTGTTGAAATAAGTGATTGTTTATTGATTATTTTTAATTTTAATAGTCCAAGAAACGAAGTAAAAAAATAGCATGGTTAATCACCGAACTTAGGATTTACGATCCATTATACATACCGGTGATTGTCAGTAAAAATAAGCTCGAAATGGCAGGAATTACAGTAAATGTTCTCTGTTGGTTCCAAAGTTATTTGTCACATAGGAATGAATGATGTGGAATAGGTGTTCCCCAAGTATCCATATTGGGTCCTACTTTGTTTCTGGTTTATATAATTTCAATTTCAAAATTAAATGTTAAAGACTCTTTGAAACTTTATGCTGACGACACTGTGCTCCTGTACCTTGACGAGGCATACTTAATAAATAAAAACATCAGACGTGTCCTAGAGATGCTCTCAGAATGGTTGCAGAGTCATAAACTGACTCTTAACTTATGTGTATTTCAAAACAAAAACCTGGTGCGTTAATTGACCAAATCCTGATAAATAACATTGGTACATTGAAATAAACTAAGGTAACTGTTTAAAAATCGCCCTCTAATCAATAAATATAATTTTGTTACGTCAATAAAGTCTTCCGATTAAAAGATAATCTATCCAGAAGCAGTAATAAACTGGGAATCTCGAAAACAACAAACAGTAGTCTGTTAAAGAACTAAAGCTAAAAATTATAGTTTAGGACAAGGCCGGCTCCAGGGAGGGGGCCCATGTGCTAAAAAGGGATTGGCTAGGCCCCCGCCGAAAATTCGACCTGGAGCCGCCCTTGGTTTAAGAGTGCTGTAAAAATGTTTATTAATAAACTTACAGGAATCAATTACCATTTATAATAATAATCAGTGACTCATAATATTGCTAATAATCAGGTGTACCAAACATATTGATGTTAGAGAAGCTGTTTACAGTGGTCAAATCATTATTAAATATAAAGCGACAAATGAGTTGGTAACAGATTTATTAGTCTAAGCAGTGGGTAAAGAATAAAGGTACCATTTCGGTAGGCGCGTAAGGAGACAAGAGACCACCGAGGCGACCCTATGGACGACAGATGCATAAATGTTACGCTCCGTACATTTCGGAAGCTTAGAGAAGTGTCGCGCGACACTTGCAAATAACCATTTGAGGGAACGATCAGCGTTGCCAGACCTACTGTTTTTACGTAGATCCACTGTTTTTGTCTCTAGCAAATTTTGTTCTTAATTTATTAAGTTTGCCTCATTCTTCAGCAAATGGTTAAAGAATATTTTCTCTAGTAAATTTTCTGCAGTAAAAGCAGCGTAATAAACATCCACTTCTCTAAGTTGGCTCCATAAAAAAAAAAACATCAAGATAATCATTGTTTTTATTTAAAATGAAACAAATAATTAATAGGGCATCATAAAAAGAACATGCATATGCCAAACACTACGATTTAGAATTACCTACCTGATTTAGACTGATCTAAAAGAAGTAGGTACCTATTATTTTTCATTGTTTTTTTTTGTTTCCGTACGTTAAGTATATATTAAAAATGTTATTATTTGTTTTTATTCTTTGTTTACCTTCTAATTTGGGTAGAAAAAAAGTTTATTTTTCGTTTCTTATATACTTGTTTTTTTATTTACTACACTGCAAATTTTAATTATTTCCCCCTGTATTAAAATCTACTGTTCAGATCTACGGTTTTTTACCCTGTAATAAATTGGCAATCAAAATAATTTTAGGTCCAATTAAAAAAAATAATTATATTTTTCCAGAAGTAGTTGTCGCTTGCAAGAGTAACTTAAGGATATTTTTGTTGATGATACTCTGTCCTGGGAATCTCATTTGAATTATTTACAAAAAAGATTGCTACCCCTGTGGGAATACTCAGGAGGTTAAGCTACACCATTCCAAAAAATCATTAATACCTGTGTGTTATTCATTAATACACAGTCATCGTAGTTACCTTTAGGTGTTAGGGTCAGAAAGTTACAAATACATAAAAAACATTTATTTATTAAATTTTTGATATAGTACAGTTTCGTTGTATAGAAATTTTGAATTTACGTCAATCGAATAGATTTATAAACATCAAAGATGTGTCTTTTCGAAATATTCGTTCAGTGATCAGTTTTTCTTTATTATATGTGTTAACTTATAGTGTGGATATAAATTTTCAAACACGATTTTGATACACCATGACCAGGTTTAAAAATAATAATACCTATAGAATAGTTTTTTTACAGTTGTTTTTGGTGGATACAATAAATTAGTTTGAAAAAAAAAAGGTATATTATATTCATAACAAAACTATTAGAATATGAGTTGAACTTCATCTAATTTGTGTAAACCAAAAATTATTGTTTATTATTAGTTATCAAAAGAAGTTGATCCAAATATACAGCGTGTACCAATGGAAACTTGATTCTCCAGAAACTCGGAAACAAAAGAATTTTCCAAAATTAAAAAAAACATGTCAACTTTTATTGGCAATGAGTGGGATGATCTTGCCTTCCCCAGATGGATCTATTGTGGTTCATGTCTAACTTATGGTTCACCGTACAAGCCACACCTTTTGATGAAGGCCATGGTTGAATTGAATGAGACTTGTTTAAAGTAGGTAGGCTCCAGTCAGGTGAATCCGAAGACCTGAAACCTAGTTCCAAAGCGGAGCAGGTACATAAAATATACTCTGCAGATTCGTCTTCCACGCTGCAGTTACAAAGACGCCAATACCCTGTCATCAGTCCCGTAAAAATGAGTAGATCTTTCCTACTCTATTCCCGGATCTGAGCAGAAGTGTTCGTGGAAGGGTTGGTAATAAACGCCTTCGAATGAGTTAGCCCTGGGGTATATCTCCAGTTCGTCAATGTTGCACCCTCCGTCCATTTTAAGATAATTCCTTTGACAGTGCTTTTTGCAATGCTCAGGAATGGTTTTCGTCCTATGAACTCAGATTCGGTTCCTCTTATAGCGAGCGCGTCGGCTTTTTCATTGCACTTCACACAGCTGTGTTTCGAAACCAAGATCAAAGTAACTTTGTTCCGGGCATCGAAACACTCAAGGATGCTGTATGACTTTTCTATGTGCTGTCGAGGAACAGACATCTGCTCCCTCTCGCACCATCTGTTGACCGTATTTAGGGCTTGTTGAAGGATGTTGGATTGGAAATCCACCCCCTGCCGAGAGAGATCATCCAGCAAGAATTGTCATATAAAATTCATACCCTGTAATTCCGGTTGCAATATCTTATTCTTTTTAAATAGTAAGTATGGTCAAGTAACACATTATTTGAAAGGTTTTTCTTTTCTATATATATATACAACCCACACACCACTCCACCTGCAGATCTTGCAGAGCTGCGACAAACAATATGTTTGTTAATTTTAAGAAATTGAAGTTTTTTTGGTATTGATATTCACAAATAAATAATTTAATACAAATAATCTTATATAGGGTTGTACAGAGAAAAACATCTTTCAAATGACCCTACTTGCTATTTAAAAAATAGGGAGTTGTTGCCGGGCTCCAGAGGGTTGGATTTCTGGATATGAATATTTATCACAATAAAAGTTGACGTGTTTTTTTAAATATTGAGAACTCCTTTGTTCCTGAGTTTCTAAGGGGTCAAGATATCGTTGGTATAGATTTGTCAAGTTATTACTTGATAGAGTTATATTTAACAAAATTTATATTCTTGTTATTTTTTGTTTTAATTTTTATGAAGATGTTAAATAAGTGTAAAGATAATTCAATTACTTAAATTCTTATTTTCCTCACTTACGCCAGAAGACATTGCTTTTTTGGTATATTCAACAACGAATACCATATGATAAGCTGGGTTTATGCAAATTTGATAGATTTCACCTCCCATTTAAATTATTGTATGCTTTTTTTAATACTACTTGTACCCGCTTATGTCCGTTAAGATTCCTAATACCATCCGGATGGTATTTCTCTTTATAAGAAGATTGAGCAAACCTGCTCCAGTCGTACTAGATCTCTTTTATTCCAGTGATATTCCTCTAATTCAAATATGGATGACTGGAATTTAGTTTATAAAGGGTTGCTCGCCCCTTCTATATATAGCTTCTTCATTTCTCGCAATGTTGCTCTATGTCCAAGTACGCAGACAACGTGTGTAAAATTGTCTGTGCAAATCATAATTTACTAGTTGAAGTATCTTCTTAAAAGATGCTGAATATCTCCGTCTGGGGTTCCATGGCGTGCAGGAGGTGAAATCGTCATGGGAGCACGCCACAGACATCAGCTCTGTTTTCGACCCCTCTGAATACCTATTTTATGAGTAATGCTAAATTTGTTTTTTGGCTCTAGCAAAGCGAATTTCCTCTTAATGAAATACCAACTTTTCACCACATTTACGACTTTTAGATAATCAATTTCCAATTGAGATACCTACAGTAGCTCAAGACCACCCCTTACTAGAATCGGATATTCTACACTCTTTGTTTAGAAGATTACAAATATTAAATAGTTGCGCTCATTTACATCAACAAAAAATCGTGAATACAGAAGATGAATCTGAGGATGAATGTTGCGCCTTGTCAGACAACTGGACATACCAAATCGATATCAAACGGTGGTCTCGAAATTCCAACAAAGCACCCTTCCGTAAGTAGAATCTCTTGATTTTTTCTTAATTTAATAAAGCAAATATTTGCAGATAACTGTTACGACGATGTATCGAATGATACCGAAACGGCAGCCTCGAATAAAAATTTAGAAACTATTATTAATAAAAGAGTGGAATTAAAGAAAACTGGAAGTATTAGAGACTCGGCTCGGAGAGAAGGAATAACAGCCGTTAATGAAAAAAACAATAGTTTAGGTCATGTCCCGCAAATAAACCGGTTAAAATTGTCCGAATTCAGGCATTCATCCGATTCCGAAGGAACACCAAGAACTTCAAGGCGTAGCAGGACACAATCTCTCGATAAAACGGATAGCTGGTCAACTACAAATATAAAAATCAATAGGTAGGTCTACGTTTAAAATATACTTCAACTTTTCCAACATCAATAATTGCTTATCCCACACATGAACAACCTATTTTGTAGAGGGTCGAAAAGAAAACTAAAACTGATAATCTTCAACAAAGAATTTACAATTCTATGGGTTATTTTCATGACCTGAAGAGTAATTTTAAGTATATTGGCCAGTTTATCTTCAGTCTTCCATGCACTGTTTCTTTCTTCCAATAGTGGTTGAAGTAGTGTGGTGATAGTATGCGACTCTAATCTTTGGTGATGCTTTTGGCATCTTTGCTGTTGCAACTTGTAACATGGAGGTATTGATGTATAATCTGGTTACCAGGGAGTCTACTATTACTCGAAAAATCTTGGATCTGCGCCCTTTGTAAAATAGCTATGGCACATCCCCACAATTCTATGCCATATGTTCAAATTGGAATAATTACTGCTTTACATATTAATATTTTATTTTCTATTAGCATTTTTGATTTTCTGCCTAGCAGCCAATATAAATCTTTAATTTTCAGTTCTATTTGTTTTCGTTTTTTATTCATGTGATCTTTCCAAATGAGTTTTGTATCTACATGGATTCCTAGATATTTTACAGACAAGGTCTGTGGAATTTAAATGTTGTTAATGTGGACAAGAGGGCATTTTTCTGTTTTTAACGTGATTGTTATGTGTTATGATTTGCTTTCGCTTTCCTGGAGATTTGAGGACGTCACTATAGGATTTTCATGGATTGCCAGAATAACAGTGTCATCTACAAACATGCCTGTTGTGGTATAATCAGAAATTGGAAGGTCTGACGTGTATATTAAATACAATAGTGACCCTAAGACGCTGCCTTGTGAGATTCTAGATTTAATTGGTCGAAACTGTGAAGTTTTATCGTAAATAACTTTATAACTTCTCATAGTCACATAGTGCTACACAATTGTATCTGAGAAACTTGGTATTGGTACAGAAAAATCCAAATAAGCATCAAAGATTTATTTTGAACACAAAACAATATAATTCAAGTAGTTTCATTTGTACAGTCCTACGGGTTTTTAGGTTAACCTATTGTTGTCCAAAATGTGTCAGTCTCTTGAAATCCAAAAGAGGTTTCATTTATACACGCCTCGTACTGTACTTTTTGATACCCCTAGGTTTGTACCTGGACCATCTTTTTGGAATTCATCAACATTTTCGTTGCCATCGATCCTCTGATGACTAGGCACCTAAATTAGTTGTACATTTCGTTATCAGGCATATAAATAAATATTTATCATATTGTGTATATTTTTATTCAGGTTATTATGGCAAAACGCAACCGAAAATGAGTCGGTATTCTTGGAGAATGAAACAGAAGTTCCATTGAATATTGAAGGGCCTTCACTGTACCAATTATGTGCATCGCAATTACAAGTTTTAAGAAAACTGGCACTCCTAAAATTAACAGCACATATGGAAAAATATTGTCCCGCTCATAGAACTGGCTGGAATTGGGATCTACCGAGGCTGTTGAGGAAAATCAAGTCACCAATTTATAAAGGTATCAAAAACGTTTGACTTTCTTGGAACTGTTGTATGAAGTTTTTTTTTTAGATAGAAATGTTTTTGGCGTACCGCTAACAGTGATATTTCAAAGAAGTGGGAAAATTTTACCCAGGCATATAGAGGAAGCCATGCAGTGGCTTCATGAAAACGCTTCTGATCAAGTTGGTATATTCCGAAAATCTGGAGTTAAATCTAGGATACACATTTTACGTAATAGAATTGAGTCCAATTCTGTAGTTGATTATAGCGAGCAACAATGTTACGATGTGGCAGATATGTTGAAGCAATATTTTCGTGAATTACCAGAAACTCTTTTGACAGCCAAACTTTCTGAAACCTTTGTATTCATATTTCAATGTAAGTACAAATTAATTGTGACGGTTTCATTTTTTTTATTAGTTTTATTGTCCTAAAGTCTCAATGAATTCTTAATTTTTTAGATATTCCGCCTTTCTTACGTCTAGAATCTGTTATATGTGCGATAATTTTGATGCCAGAAGAACATTCTCAAGTACTGCAAGCCTTATTACATTTTCTATTGATCGTAGCAAGCAGATCAGACGTAAATCAAATGAACGAGCACAATTTGGCAATGTGTTTGGCGCCGACGTTGTTTCACTCCTCTTCTATTTACAAACAAAATTTCGGAGGCTCACCTCACCCTAAGGAATTAGCAGAAAATAAGGCAGCACAAGAATGTTTGCTCTATTTCCTCAAACACTTCCACACCTTATTCAAGGTATTAAGTAGATCCTTTCAAAAATGTTCCTTGAGACGGGTTCATTTTAGTTTTTACGTTGATTTTACCATGACTGTTTTTTAGATTCCGAAAGACTTCATAAATCAGTGCAATTCTAGCGAAATCAAAGAAATAAAGCCAAAACTGTTGACGGACATTGGTGACGGCGTGGGTGGTTGGAAGGAATACTTAAAAGAATGTCATAAAAATTTGTTAAAGGAAGTCAAGGAAAAATCTCGCGGTTGGATGCCAATAACTGCACCTGTACCCTGTCCCAATTCGAAAATAACAATATTTTATAAGAAAGTTGCGGATGGAATGCCACTGAGATTGTGGAAAGTGACTGCAGACATTGAAGCTCCGCCAGCAGAAGTTGCGCATAGAATATTAAGAGAACGGCACATTTGGGACTATGACCTCATATCTGCCAAAATAATTGCTCAGTTAGATCAACAAACCGAAATATTCCAGTATATTAGAAAAAAGATTATACCAATACCGAATGAAGAATATTGTGTCATAAGGACATGGAGATCTGATTTACCAAAAGATTCTTGTACAATAGTAGAAACCTCAGTAGAATATCCGGGGACAATCCAGGTTCCAGGTTCAACCAGAGGCATCGTTTTAGCCTCCCGATATCTCATAGAACCATGCGGATCTGGAAAATCTAGGCTTATCCATTTCTCTAGGGTTGATACAATGTTAGTAAATAAACATTAAACTGTGATGTTTTTCTAACAAAAACTCCTTTATTTTTAGGGGAAGAAGTCCAGAGTGGTACCAAAAAAATTACGGACATTTAAGTGCAGTTTTTATAAGGAATTTGCAAAATTCCTTTTACCAAAATACAAATGGTCCAGAGAGCCAGGTATAAATACCAAAGAATTTTTTGTTTTACATCACATGACAAAGTCACAATTTATACTTTTGTAATAGTTCAAATCGATTTATATGTATATGTATATATACAGAAATATATTATATTTTTATAGTTCATGAATAAATATGTACTTATTGTTCTTTTTTAGTAACCACGGTACTTTTTATGACCTAAATGTTTCGAAGGGAGCCAGTAGCGCATCCAAAATCTGGGAGGGGTAGTGGTAATATTTAAGACTTTATTTATGATAAAACATTTTAGTACCTATAAAAAGTTAAGGGGAGCACAAGTGAAATAAAATTTCTTGTCGGTTCTCTCATTTTTAATTTAAAATTTATATTACTGGCATTAGGCGGACGAGTGCCTAATGTGTCATGTTAGACAGTGATCCAACAATAAGAAACTTGTTGTGTTACAGGAAAAATTAGGTTAAACGCTTCACTTATTGTTAAAAAAAATTCATCACCTTATGAAAATAAAAGATCCCTTAGGTGACAAATACTAATGGAATGGGCGTATACAGGTAAGAGCAGTGGCAGTAAGCAAAATTTTGGGGGTTCACAGTGACAGAATATATAGGTATCAGTACAGATGTATGAAAAAAACTTTCAGTGATTTAGAAAGTTTATGATATACCTTTCTAAAACACTGACAGTTTTTTACCTATATATGTACCGGGATCTATATTTTGCTACTGTGAACTCCTAAAATGTTGGTCACGAGCCGCCCCTGGGTAAGAGCAGCTGCCTTCTTCTGGATTTTTCAATATATAGTTCAAAAAAATCTTATTAGGCAAAACACAAGAAATTTCGTAGAATATTTTTGACTCTGTGTAGTAGAGAAAATTTGTAAAATAATAATTCAAACAGAATTATTGAATATCCAACAAGTTCCGAGTTCATAGTGAATTCCATACGATCAAAGACGAACCAACCAGACCGGAGAAAAAGGAATCTCAATCTTAAATAATATGGGGGGGGGGACACTTTCAATGATTTTTTAACACTATAATTATAATAAATCAACCAATGACAATCCTATTTTATTCCAACACAACTCAATGAAAACAAACTGTATATGAAAACACTGGATGGTGCAATGTTGAATTCTTCTTATAATAATGTGCAATTTGACCCGACGACCCCCCTTCCTATTTAAAATTCATGGAAAGTGCCCTCTTGAAAATAAAATTGATGTGTCTTTCCGATTTATCATATTATTTAATGGAAGGAAGATATCAAGGGTGGGAAGTTTTCAAATCGTCACCCTGTGTATTGTTTATGTGTTTCACTTTAAAGTTGTTCTGTTTTACACCTTTGGACATTGAAAATGGACATTTGTAATGTTTTTTTTATAAAATTGTTTTCTTTTATTTCTAATTCGAACAATAATGCCAATATATCAATTAAAACATCTTAATAGATTCTCTTTAGAATTATATTCTTATTAAATCAAAATAAGTTGAGTAAAAAGAATAAAAAATAAATTATAGTAATACAATAATAATTAAGACTAATTATTTAAAGTCGAATAAAAAAATATGTCATCTATTTGATAAAGATATACCATTACAAAAAAGTTCATTTTATTTAAATTGTTGCACTCACTTCTTTGTTTTTTTTTCTTCAAAGCCTGCTCTTTATTGTATAAAAAAGTAATATACTTAAATAATATTGCCCTGTCCTCCTCCAGGACAAATTCCTGCGTACGCCCGTGACTAATTGTATCTGTATCTATCAAAAATAAATCATTTAATAAATAAGGACCATTTACCATTTTAATACGTTCATCAATAACCATTTTAAAGCATACATTAGTTTATAATTTCCTGAGATCAAATACTTAATATGAAAAAATATTTTAGATTCTTATCAAAATAATTGATACAAGGCATGACTTCTAAATTTCAAAGTACCAAACAAATAATTGATGGAAATATTGTGTGTAAAAACACCTCGAAAAACACTTTATATAAACATTATTAGTTCCACTCGCAATTTAAAGTAGCTGCAAGAGGCCTGAGGTATATACAATGAGAACATAATACCTTAACGACACCACATTAAATCTAACAATTACTCTAAAATTATGAGACTTTGAATAAGAAGTATAGTTACAATTTGGTATCAGAATACTTTTTTGAAAACTTCCCTTTCCATGTTACTTGAGTTATTTATACCAAAGAAGAGGATCATTATCTAGAAATATATTATACTTTGTAAGGTTTATGATATTTAAGATGTATATTTTGAATTGGTTACAACTTTAGTAAGCAGCAATTTATAGGGATTACCTCAAATGCGCACCGACATTAGTTTACATCTTGTTACTTAACACAGGTCTATGAGTAGTGCCTTTGAATGCGGATGAAAATACTTTTTGATAAAATAACTTTGCTACTCACCTCTGCAGGCTTGTATCTGTGATTTAAAAGAAGGTTGTTCTCAGCCTCAACTCACAACTAATATTATGGGAACACTACATTATAAAAAGTAACTGAATATTAACTACAGTTCTCGTTTACTTATGTATATCTGTCTGTCACAAATATGTATATATTATTAAACGAAATATAAATATAATTACCATACACTAAACGCGACCGAATACCGTATATTTATTTTAGTAAATTATTGTAAATTCAAAACGATATTTTTTAAATTAGTGGCCTTTGCCTCGGTAGCGCAAATGGCTACCCAAGCTAACCGATACGCCCTCTGGGAGTACATTTTATAATAATATGTGCAAGTAGGCTGTGTTGCCGTTGTTATTAAAATTGTAACGCATCTATTACTATTTTATTAAAGTGAAATTCAAAAATATAATTCCGAATCTCATGATTTCAGTGACAAAGGGGTCTATTCTGTAACAATTCCTTTATATTTTAACGGCCGTTAAAATTTTGGCGGTCTTTAAAAATATTTTCGTATTCGCTAATTTACTTCTGTCCTTATTTAAACGGATTTCTTTAAAACAGTCCTCCAATGTATTTTAAAGGAATCCGTTTAAATAATGACAGAAGTAATTTAGTAAATACGAAAATATTTTAACGGCCGTTAAAATATAAAGGAATTGTTACAGAATAGACCCCATAGGTATCTAACTGCGGTAAAAGCAATAATAATTACTTTACAATTTACACAGCGCAGGAAAATTTATTTGAATCGCGACTAGATAAGCATCTGCTTAGGGAACGGAATATTGTTATCCACAGAAAAATTAAAAAATCATCAGAACTTGGGTTGTAAAAAATTAATCCTAGGGTAATAAGCAGGAAGCGCCCAGTATAAAGTTGACGACTCTGCATTTCTTGTTTTATCCTTCCACCATGCTCCTTATTACGTGCCAAACTATATACCATAGATAAATTAATATTAATTTATCTATGCTATATACCGTATAAGTAAATGTCGACTTAAAGAGAAAAGACGAGATGAATGATTTTATTTCACATTTTTTGGAAAACACCCTTTATGGCTGAAATAATATTCGATATAGGTAAACGTAGGTAATATATTTAATATAATATATATATCAGACAAACAATAATCAGATGTATTTCTATTTTGAGATCGTTTTGCTTCCATTTTATGCAATCATTTAATAAATTCTCTAATTAAACACAGACATATTTATATACAATACACATGTATTCTATATTTATGTAAATCCCGTAGCGGTTCCCCAAGATATTTTCGTATTACGTTGGCCTAATAGCTACTAAATCAGAATGGTAGCTGGTGTTGTGTCGAAGATCAACGCCTATATTTATAGAACCATCACTTAAATCTTGAATACGAGGACGTCTGGGTCTTTTATGATGAGTCGTAGGATGACATCGGCAGTCACAGTGCATTACACAAAGCGCCACTGATGTGGCTAAAGTTATTACAAACGGTACAGCAAAATAATGGACTATAATTGCAATTTGTTCATCTCTTTCATAGTGAGTTAAAACTACTGTACGATTCTCTTTGGAATGATAACAAGGAAACTCCGTACCTTCTACTCCATAAGTTTCAGTAAAATTCAAACATAATACAGTTGGAGGATACCCACATCCTTTTATATTTACTAATAAAACGGCATCATCTGTTTGATTATGTGGTTCATCCTAAAAAGTAATAATCAGCTAATAATAAATTTAAAGCGTTAAGCCAAACGCTGTAGACCTATTAATACGTACAACGTACAATTAATTACTTGCGATGTCAAAAGCATTTTTAGGGTTCCTGTCACCAAGCGTTATCCATTGGCATGCATTGCTGTAGGGGGCTTCTACCTTAGGGATAGATAAAAAGAGAATATATAATATAGATAAAATATAGCAAAAACACATTGATCAATTGAAATGCTGAATGTCAGACTTTCGGACAAGAAGACGAACGAGTGATTACAAATTTCATCCAGCAACTCGTCGCCAGTTGTACGTATTAATAGTTTTTTAAACAGAACAATTTAATACCTTAGTTTCGTTGTAGCTTACGTAAATGTGCGTACAATGGTAAGCATCGCTAGTACACCCCTCCCGGCAGGAGCTCCAAGAACAATTCGCTAATCCTGTAAGTTCTTCTATTCTCGTCGTTACACACGTTACAGGTTGAGTAACAAAATTTGATGCCAGCGTTGAAATTGCTGGGTCTACGTATAACGGTACCAAAAATAACAAAGATGATCCGGCTGACATTGCTAGTACTGCTAAAATGCTTGTTGAATAAAATATTGCTTGTTCTCTACATGACCTTCCGGCTGCAATTTTTGATTTTTTGGCGGCAGCTAATTCCTGTAAACAAATTTATTTTATTACACAGCTGTAGACTTCTTTTTAATTTAACTCTGCGTGACTTTCTTCCATTGATAGTTTATGGAAAAATCAAATAAATATTTATTACAGCTGTGCTTATGTGATCATAATGTATTGGAAGACAAGAATACAAATGGAGTGATTTAAATGTGGTGATTTGGGATCCATTGCTCAATTACTTAATTGTATATTTATTTTATTATTTATTGATACAAAATGCGTAAATACGATGACAATCAGACAAAAAAGATAAATTGTGCGAGACTTGAATTTGACAAAACAATAAAAAATCATCCCTATGACCCTATATATGTATACAATCAAATATAAATATACAAATACGAATGAAGGAACGCTTTTACAAGTCCAATATTAATTTTAGATTTTGTATACAGTAGATAAAAAACAAAAAATTTGTATATTTAGAAATCTTTTCGTATACTATAGCTACACTAACTACCCCTAAAAATATATATAATACAAATGTAGAAAATATTCTAAATTTGTATTATTGTAAAGGATTATATACTTACAATAATAAAAATAAAACATCAAAGACATTTTTTTGTTGTAATTTTTCTCGTAACCATTTTTTTTAAATCTTTATTTTGGCGTTGTACTGAGTAGGTACTCCAGTACAATTGCAGTTTGTGTGAAGTACTTGTACTCGCGTACTCTGTATACCTACTCGATAACTGTTTTGATGTATTCGGATCAGCTCTGACTATAGATACAAATTTCGATTTGCTTATAATTTTAGAAACAAGGAGAATCAGTACCTACATGTTTTTCAGCATTATCTACTTATGGAATATTTAATTTCCATGAAAAATCGTATAAGGACATACTTATTATTGATATTATATGCTAGTTTTAATTATCACATATTTAATTTACCTTAATTTTTTGTCTACGGAGCTCCTCTTGTTGATCTAGGAGCAGTTCCGAACTACTGCTCCTCATTTTAAAAACAAAACTATGGCATTTGAATTAATTCAAATAATTTTTTGGGTTTATCACAATATTATTGTCATAAAAAATCGAAGTAGAACTCAAGTGAAGGGCAACGCAAGCTCACAACATTTTATGATTTCCACCCGGCCTCTTCAATTTAATAGAAACGCGCTTGCGCTTATGTAATAGAATGATAGAAATCGGGTTGGCGAACCAAAGGGTTAATCCTTTATTACTCCCCATTGGTGTTCGTTTTAACGCTTGTTTACTCTCATAATCGATGGAATGATTACATGTATATTTAACCTCTCTAACGTAACCGCTAAGTACCTCATACAATTTTTTTAGCATTATTCTTTTGATTGTCGAATTTTTTTTTATTTTACTACCCCTTCGAAATCGGTGTCTGCATGACCGGAGAAAATAGAGGCCAACCGATTAAAAAGAAAAGAAGATTTTTTTAATTTGTTTCAGTGTTGCCGATTAGCGTATAATTTTATTAATTTACACTTTCATCAGTTGTCTCTGCTTTCATCGTGATTTACACATAAAATTAAAAATCTGATAAAAGACGGGTAATACAGACAACAACAAACAACAATTTATAGAATTTTAAACGACACTTAAGTATCTTTTTCCAAAATATTTAGAACGGTGGCAGATATAGCACTATTAAACAACTTTCGGTTTCAAAAAAATAATTTAAAAACGGTAGGGGGGAGCAACATAAAATACTTTCAACAACTGATGAGTATCTGTTTTTAAAAATACTTTGGTTCGGGAGAGGCACTAGCGGTTTACTCCACGGAGGATACCATAGATAAATTAATAATTTATTAATTTATCTATGGAGGATACCCTTTCGGATAATTCTTAGTGGAGAGATCTTTACGTTTTTAGGCTCAGGCATTGACCACAACGGGATCACAGAACAACGAGATGTGCTCTATGGCATTGGCAACACTGGTTTATTTGTAAACGTCAAATGTCATGTACACCTAACCCTAGTCCCTAACCAAAACGAGCCACCAAAAAAACCAAACAAAACAAAAATACAAACTCAAAAGTTTAGTAGGATAGAATGTTTATAACTAATTATTTTTTCACTTTAGTAAAAAGTTCCATTTTACGAAAAGGCTAATTTATAACTATTTTATCTTATAAGTTACCAACTAAACTGAAATTTTTAATATAGCGATCCAAATACTAACCTCAATTTTTTGGAAGAAATAGAAAAATGTCGAATTATATGAATGAAAGTGTATACACACACACTTTTACTCCTAAGGAGTATCAAGTTGAATTACTGGATTCCGCAAAGACAAAGAATACAATAATATGTTCTAGTACAAGTTCCTCAAAAGCCTTTATTGTTGTTAAATTACTTCAAGAATATTCCTGGCAAATGCGAGTGCCTTCTGGCAAAAAGGCTCTGTTCATTTTAGACCCACAGAATGTTCCAATAATGACGTCCCATGTTAAATATCTTACAGATTTAAGTTGTATCAGTATTGAACCAAATAATGATCATGATTATAAAGATATTGAAAATGATTTTAAGAAACACCAAGTGATAATCTCAACTGCAGAAATGTGCGTTGAAATGTTACACTATCATATATTAGAAGATTTTTCTATATTCAATTTAGTTGTTGTTGACGATTGTCTATATGGACAGAGACAGTCTTTAATCAAAGTTGTTATGAATAAATATAACAATCTGGCAGATATTAAAAGGCCACGTATTCTTGGTTTAACTACAGGTTTGCTTAGTTCTGAATTACAACCAGATAGGTTAGAAGCAGAATTAAGACGATTAGAAAAATTACTCGATTCACATGTAGACACTTCATCTGAAATAGTGACTTTAATTCGTTTATCCTGTAGGCCACATGAGACTATAATAGAATGTCCCAAATGGGAAGGGCACAGTTTACAGAATGATATTAGAAATGTAGTAAATAACACTATTGAGTTTCTTCTTGACCACAGATTTGATCCCAGTGAGATATATGATGATGAGTTATTAGAAGAATTCAAACAAGTTCCTGATCCTAGAGATGTCCCACTAGAGCTTCTAAAGCAGTTTCTAGAGATTCTTGAAGATCTAGGTCCTTGGGGTGCTGATAAAGCAGCCCTAAATATATTATCAAAAATTGAAAAGCTTAAAGTGAAGGTTCCATATGAAAGGCATTACTTACTTTTATGTATGACTTCAACAACTTTGGTAAATGTTAGAGCAGCCTGTGATTATGCTTTTGAAAGTTATGATGATGATATTGAAAGATTAAATGCATTTTCTTCTCCAAAAGTTTTAAAATTTGTACAAGTTTTGAAACAGTTCAAACCTCCCGGTGCTAAACCAGAATGTAATTCTGTTATTAAGGACCAGATTCCAGAAGAAGTAGTTGTAACAAAAAATAGAGGAAGAGGTAAAGGGTCCAGGAGGCCTCTGTATCAGAGACCACAAGTAGATGACAACTTATGTGCTCTGGTTTTTGTACATAATAGATATAAAGCTAAAGCTATATTTGCATTATTATGTGTAAGTATTCTTTTTAAACAATTTCAAAAGTTTTGTTGTAGTTTAGGCATTCTTTTAAGTCCAATTTTGTTCACTGTCTGTCTATAACAATTCTTCATGTTTTTATTATATCAATTTTAAATAAACTTAATTTATAATAGCTAGACAGATAATAATAATAAAAAAATTGGTTGGACAAGTTCCAGTTGTCTAAATGTAGTAAAAAATTAAATATGTGCATTGAATGTGGTATACCAAATTATCTTTCAAACGATTTTATATTTATTAAGTTGGCCAATGCATATCTTATTTAAAATGTCTCATAAAGACAGGTGTGTTCCAAAACTATTGAAAAGATAGGTATATTATATTATAAAGTCGGGAGTGAAAATTATGCTAAAAATTAAAGAAGTATGTGCAACCAGTCCTCTATTCCCAAACGATTTGATAGTATAATATGTGATCATTTTAGTTTCATGTGCAAATAAATTATTGTAAAAACAGGATTTCTGCAAAGGTAAATCTACAGTTACCTACTTATTTTTTAAAGCAACATTTTGACTATCTTGGAAAATAAATATGGAGTAGATAGTCTTTACTGATTTCTCCAAGGCGTTTGATAGAGTAGATCATAAGAGTTTGATTAAGAAAGTTTTGAGGATATTGGATGTCTTTTAAAATAATTTAAGTTTTCTTAAGGATCATCAAGTGGTGAAATTGGATCAACAACTTCTGAGATCATCAAAGTTTAATGAGGGTTTCCACGGGGATCTTATTTTGCACCTTTCTTATTCAATCTCTTTATATGATATTGGTAAGTGCTTCAAACATTGCGATTATCTCATGTTTGCAGCTGATCCTAAATTATTTAGATGTACTGAAACTGAAAAACAAAAAATGTTTTATATTATGTTTTTTAAAGGTAATAAAAAATATCACACCTTTTACAATCTGCAAAACAAAAGGCTAACATTAGTTAATATAAAATACCATGATCTCTCATTTATTTTCAAACTTCTAAATACTATAATTAGATGCCCTAAGCTGTTGGAATTGGTGAATATTGTGCCTTCTAGACTTTTTAGAAACAATGATTTATTATTTACTCCTATGCATGTTACTAACTATGATCTACATAATCCAATCAATAGAACCTTAAAATGGCCAATGAATGAATAATTTGGACATTTTTGGAATAAGTTTCAAGTTATATAAGATTTTAGTTAGGGTGTAAATAGATGTAATATATTTTTGTACTAGGAAACTGATTATATTTTTGTTATATGTATTTTTTGCAATTGCAATGGGATATTCCCGTAAATAAAAAAAAAGTATGATACTATCAGTATATATTATCTTTTAAAAAAATATTTTATTTAATTATTATGACATGCAAAATACATGTACAGTAATCATTTCAGATGTTATCTCAAAGTGATGATGATTTGTGGTGGATCTCAACATTATTTTCTGTAGAAAAAGTAGCAGATTCTGTAAGTGAACCAAGAGAAGCTGAAAATGAGCACAAAACTCAAGAAGAGGTTCTTAGAAAATTTAGGTGTCATGAGTGCAACATACTTGTATCCACTTCTATACTTGAACAAGGCTGTGATTTACCAAAATGCAATTTAGTCATTAGATTTGACCTACCGAAAACTTTTCATAGTTACATTCAAAGTAAAGCGAGAGCCAGAGCTGCCGATGCGCATTATATATTATTTGGAAACGAAAATGAAATCCAATCTTTTGTAGAGGACCTTGCAGAATATAATGAAGTAGAAAATACATTACTGAGAAGGTGTTATAGCTTAGAACCGGATAAGGAAGAAGAGTTGTTTGCAGACTTGTATACAGACTTTTGCATTCCTTATAAACCTCTAGATGAGGAAGGGGCTCCAAGTATTTCTTTATTCAACTCGATATCGTTATTAAATAAATATTGTGCCAAATTGCCAAGTGATACTTTTACTAGACTGACACCTATTTGGAAAGAAGAAAAAACTAGCACAGGAGAATTTATTTGCCATATCCGCCTGCCAATTAATTCACCTGTCAAACAAACTATTTCTAGTCCACCGATGCCAAATAGTTTATTGGCTAGAAGAGCTTCTGCTTTCATGGTGTGCCAACTTCTTCACAAAGCCTCTGAATTAGATGACTATCTACAACCAATTAATAAAGAAAATTTTAAGGCTACTGAAGAAGATTGGACGAATTTTGCTTTGGATGAACCCGAACCTGAAGATGAACATATAGAAATTCGTCCTGGTAGGTAATAAAATTATTTTCCACTTTCGTTTTTTAACTAAAAATGCTTTATTGTCTAAGGAAAAAATCTTATTGACAAAGATGTGGTAATAAATATAGACTGTCTCTTAAATATATAATCACAAAATACAAATGGATAAAAATACAACATAATAATATTAAAAGTAACAAAATTTCCGTAATTTCTTATTGTTCCTGTAATAATGGCGGCCTTTGAACTTTAGGCCTATATCTCTTATTCCTTCACTAGCCAAAATTATTGAAAAAGTTTGATTCATTACCTAGAAACACAAATTGCTTGAAACACAACAATTTGGGTTTCAAAAGAACAAGAACACTGATGTTATATTTTCTTGTCTTGAACTTGCTTATTCTAATATTAATTTTAACGAAGCTTTAGTGGCGATATTCGTTGATTTCACTAAGGTGTTCGATTGTGTCATACAGTATTGTTGCAAAATATTCTAGCTAATGGAATCAAAGTGCTGAGTTGGATTTCTGTGTTGGGTCCCATTTTGTTCATTCGACTTAACATTACAGGTGCTTTCACTTTATTTGCTGATAACACTGGGATTGTATGGCACAACAGTGACAAATGCTTTCTTTATAACACTATATCTTGTGACATGAAGAAAATCAAAGCATGTGATGCCAACTATTTGCGTGTATATATGGAAAAAACACTTAAATATTAAACTGACAAACTTACAATTTCTGGGCATTAATTTGAATTTAGGAACAAAAACTTTAATCTGAATGTTTTTGTGTTTGTCTATAAGTGTATATATTATATTGATTATTGAGCCATCAAAGTGGATCATCAAATTTTTTTGGCAGTGTTGTAACATAAGTGTTCACAGATAACCAGTTTTTGAAAAAAGCAATTCAATCTAAAAATTATAAATTTTCCATTTTCTTAGGTACCACCAAACGTAGACAATATTATTATAAAAGAATAGCAGATGCTTTATTGGATTGTCATCCTTTGCCTGGAATACCAACATACTTTTATGAAATCGTCATGACTTTAACCTGTCCATTACCAGAAGAACAAAATACCAGAGGTAGAAAAATTTACCCACCTGAAGAGTCAACTCAAGGTTTTGGAATATTAACTTGCAAAGAGATTCCAAAGGTAAGTAGAGCACTTGTTAATTTTTGAACTATATAGTCTTTTTTAAGTTGATCTTATTTTTACAACAGTATCATAAATGTTGCAGATAAGCGCCTTTCCAATTTTTACCAGATCCGGCGAAGTAAGTGTCGATTTACAGCTAATATCGAAAAATGTTATTTTAAATGAAGCACAGATTAAAAAAACAAGGGAATTTGTAAATTATACTTTCACCAGCGTGCTACGTCTGCAAAAATATTTAATGCTTTTCAACCCGGAAGCTTCTTTAAACAATTATTTGATCATTCCAACTATTAAAAGTAAGTATAGAGGTCTTATTTGTAACTCTGTTCCCGATAATCATCCCTACCTTGACCCCTATACCTGCTATTTTCATATTTATGTTATATACGTTAATATTTATGGCTGTATTGGTATAAATGGTTCGGGCTATGCTTTTCCGTAATTGCTGGTTTATAATTGACATGGTATCATCATTGGACATTTACCTCTGATAGTAATGTCGGGTTGAAATATAAAACTGTTTAATTATTTTAAAATATATTTTAATAAAAACATTATAATACTATAAAAATGAATAATAATATACTTAAAATTATGGAAATTTATAATCTTAAATATTTTACATTTTTACTGTTAACCTTTACATGATTGTCAGTTATCTGGCATTTTTTACAAAAACGGCAACAAGGTAACAACACTGTCTCGAACATTATAAATTATTAGCCAATAAGATTTTACTTATCATTTTGATGAGATTTTAAGAACTTTGAGACGCGCATTTCAAATTTGTTAGAATTTTTTGGAATTTAAAAAAAAATTAAATTATATGAAAATTTGAAAAGGGAAAAATTAAAAAAAATATATGTTTATGTTAGATTTGGTTCTATTAGTTTTTTTTTTTGGAATTTTATTAAACGCCCATTTGCCTTTAAAAAATTGATTATGTTTGAGTGTTGGCTTTTGCTTTTATTCGAAATTTAGATCGGATTTGGAAGTAAAATAATTGTTCTTAATGTCTTCTTAGAATAAAGATTGGATAATTGCCTTAAATTTTTAAGGGGTAGTATTGATAAATAAATGTTGTAAAAATATTTCGTTGCTTTTGTACCTCATAGCTTTTAAGAATACCATATGCTCTCAATCATTACCGGCTTCCATCGCTACTAATTTCCTCTCAATCTTTACCAATGTAATATCAAACAAAATGCGACTGACTTTCAACAAAGACTAGAATTTGTTATTCGCACAGATGCAACTTTCTAATATTCTTGAAACTTTTGTTTGAAAATGGATCTACGTTTGTTACAGACCTATACTTCTCATGTAGTTACCTAGATAACAATGTTCTGTCATCAGTCTCGTGAGAATGTATAGATCTGAGCAGAGACATTGGATTTAAACACCTTCACATGAGTTAGCCCTGGGAAATATCTCCAGTACATGAGTGTTCCACTCTGTTCATTTTGAGATAATTACCCACTTTGGCAGTGCTTTTTGCAATACCCATGGTTCTGGTCCTATGACTCTTTTATAGAGCGCATCGGCTTTTTCATTGCACTCCACACCAGTGTGTCCTGTAACTTTGTTCCGGACACTGAGGCGCTCGAAGATGTTTATACAGTTCCAAACCAGCTTTAAGTCAACTGGGTTGGAGCTCAGGGCTTTGACAGCTGCTTGGCTACCCGAAAATATCTTTAGTCTTCTTAACGGAGAGAAAATGAATCAATATAATTTCTTCTTGGAAGATCGTGGTTAGATTGCCCAGGTTTATTAATATATCAACCTTCCGCTCCTTCTCCTTTTTCAGTTTTGGAGCCGCCTGTGTACATGTTACTACAGTATCTGCCAGTTATTATAAAGAAGTTTTGCGTCAATTAATGAAGGATCACGTCTCCAGACCTGAACTAATTAGAGCGTTAGAATTTAATAATACAATTATTTTAGATTAGTAGGTAAAGTTTTGGTAATACTAATCCTAGTCTTTGCTGAAAGTTCTTAAAATCAGTATCTGCAAGCCATATGCATTTTTTTATAGGAAAACAATCTGTAGAAGTCCACTGGGAATTCGTAGATCTAATATTCGATAATCTATCGACAGCGCCAACACTCATTCCCGATGATCAACGTAGCGGCTATGTCTTTAACGAAGTTGACTATTGCGATGCAGTAGTCATGCCATGGTACCGTAATCAAGATCAACCTCAGTATTTTTACGTAGCCGAAATATGCACTAACTTAAATCCAACGTCTGCATTCCCTGGGTCCGAATACGCCACATTCGAGGAATATTATAAACGTAAATATGAAATTCAGATACAGAACTTAAACCAAAATTTACTGGATGTCGATCACACCTCTGCTAGGCTAAATTTTCTTACGCCTAGATACGTAAACAGGAAAGGCGTTGCTTTACCGACAAGCAGCGAAGAGACGAAAAAAGCTAAACGGGAGAATCTGGAACAAAAACAAATTTTAGTGCCTGAACTTTGTGCCATACATCCGTTCCCTGCATCACTTTGGAGGAAGGCGGTTGCTTTACCGTGCATTCTCTACAGGATTAATGCTTTATTATTGGCTGATCAAATAAGAAGAACTGTTGCGATCAGTTTAAACTTAGGCAGATCTGAATTGCCACACGGTAAGTTTATTTTCTTTTCCGTTTTTCTCTTTCTATGGCTTCATGATCATCACTATCAGCTGTACAGCCTCATACCTTTTTCAGATTTATTTATAACTCCACTTTATTATTTATTCATGGTGATTTAAATTATTCTGCAGTCTTCCTTTAATTTCCAGATTTTAAATGGCCATCTCTGAACTTTGGATGGAGCCTTTCTGACGTACTTAAAAAGTCTCGAGAAGAAGAAATGAAAAAGCAACAAGACAAATTACAAATAGAGGAAATTTTAGAAGAACCAACAAGTACATCTCTAGTTGTAGCCACGCTCACAAAAGACGAGAGCCTCAATGTAAATACAGTTTGTCTTCTAGAGAACAATATCGATGGTAACGACAGTGAAAATACGTCTGTAGACGGTGATCTATTGATAGAAGAAAAGCCAACTGCAGTGAAAGATGATAAATGGATTGAGATCGGCATGTGGTGCAATGAAATGGCCGAAACAACAAATACGGCAAATTCGAATTCTTTGGTGCGTTATGCATCGCCAACAAGTTGGATGCATTTGGACACAGCATATGATGATTTCTCTGACAGCGAAACTGATTCCTTTTATGACGACTCGGGCTCCGAATGGGGCGGATTGAGAATAGAATTTACTGGAGATCATCAAGCTGAAGCTTTGGATGATGATATTGACGAAGAAAAAGTTTTCCATCTGTACGACAATGCTAATGCATGGAAAATCGAAGAAGAGAGTGAACTTACCGACAGCCTCAAGAAGAAATTCCATCAAGCATGCCATAGAAACAGACGTCATATATTGTCTAGCGGTATACTAATAAAAGGAAATAACAATTTTGAAAAGAATTCTGCAAAAGAAATAGCTAAAGTGGTTGATACAATAAAAATAGACGACAACGTAAATTTTGATTCGTTATACATCGATTTACAAAATAATCACCTCACTGTCTGCAACGGTGATAAAGAATATGTTAACGAATATGATAAATCTGAAGAATTATCATTTAGTTTCGATAAGCAGCCAAATTTGGTTGAACATCCTGGTCCAAGTCCCAACGTACTTCTACAGGCTTTAACCATGTCAAACGCCAATGACGGAATCAATTTGGAGAGGCTAGAAACCATCGGCGATTCATTTTTAAAATACGCCATAACTAATTACCTCTATTCAAAATACGAGAATGTTCATGAAGGAAAATTGAGCCATTTGCGTTCGAAACAAGTCAGCAATTTGAACTTATATCGGTTGGGCAGGCGCAAAAATCTGGGCGAGTTTATGATAGCTACAAAATTTGATCCTCACGACAACTGGTTACCACCATGTTTTTACGTACCCAAACAACTAGAGGAAGCTCTTATCGATGCTCAATTTCCCGCTAATTGTTGGTCAGTCGCTGACATGGCTGCTACCAGGAACATGAGCTTGGATGATATTTGCGTTATGGTACGAGTACGAGGGGAACGCGGAGACAGCAGTAACGGCGGGGTTGCAACAGTAACAACAACTGCGATACCTTACAACTTAGTCACCCAGCATAGTATTCCAGATAAAAGCATTGCAGATTGCGTTGAGGCTGTCATAGGAGCGTACCTCATAGAATGCGGTCCAAGAGGGGCATTGCTTTTTATGGCTTGGTTAGGAATAAGAGTTTTACCCAAATTACCGGATGGTACGTATGGAGAAATCCAACTTCCTCGGTCGCCTCTTCTAAGACACGTACCCAATCCTGAAGGAGAACTAAATAGACTGCTAGATGGATACGAGACGTTTGAAAGAAATATTGGTTACAAATTTAGGGACCGTTCATATTTATTGCAATCCATGACGCATGCTTCGTATTTTCCAAATCAACTTACAGACTGTTATCAGCGTTTAGAGTTTTTAGGAGATGCTGTATTGGATTATCTAATCACTAGACACCTTTACGAAGATCCCAGAATGCATTCTCCAGGTGCTTTAACAGATTTGAGGTCAGCACTGGTGAACAACACGATATTCGCATCGTTGGCTGTCAGAAATAGTTTTCATAAATATTTTAGGCACTTATCGCCTGGCTTGAATGAGGTAAATATAATGTATATTCTTTTATACAATTTTTGTAATGGTTTTTGCGTCAATGAAACCTCAAAAAAATGTCTTTAAAATTTGTAACTTTCAGGTTGTAGAACGATTTATAAGGTTGCAAGAGGAGAGCGGATATTCTCTGGTCGAAGAACTGTATCTGGTCGTTGAAACGGAATGTGAAGAAGTCGAGGATGTAGAAGTTCCCAAAGCTCTGGGTGACGTGTTTGAATCTGTTGCCGGTGCGATATTCTTGGATTCCGGAATGTCTTTGGACGCCGTTTGGAAAGTCTATTACAGAATGATGAAAGCTGAAATAGAGCAGTTCAGTAACAAGGTGCCCAAATCGCCAATTCGAGAATTATTGGAACTAGAACCGGAAACTGCAAAATTCGGCAGGCCCGAGAAGTTGGCTGATGGTCGACGAGTTAGAGTTACAGTAGAAGTATTTGGAAAAGGTCTTTTTAAGGGTATAGGTCGCAATTATCGTATTGCCAAATGTACAGCAGCTAAATGTGCTCTGAAACATCTAAAGCGAAGGGGTTTATTAAAAAAATTAAACGATTGATATTAACTGTCTTTTAATTCCTTTCTAACTATACGCTCGTTCTTGCACAAACTGAACAATCAAATGTACTATCCGTTTTCTGTAAATAACCATCGAGATTATTTATTTGCTCTACGGGTCTTGGAGGCTTATGGATTACTCTAAATTATTTACAATTTTTTAATTTAATATCTATTCGTTGCAGAAACGTTAATTAAAATTTAGAAGCCTGATAAACAGATGCCTGTTATTCAGGCATATCACAATGTCAAGCTCCGTCAAAGTTCATCAGGCTCATAAATGTTAATGTACTTTTTTGCAACCGATATTGAGGCTTATAAAGTCACAAAAAATACTCGATCAAAATTTTAATGGATTTGCTTTTGTATCATTTTCTTTTGTTTTAGTTCCAAATATTTAAAATATTAGATTAGATTCCAATATTAATTCAAATTTGCCATCCTATATACTCATTTTGCAAACTCATGTAAAACGGGTAGTCATTTTTGTTTTTATTTTTTTATATAATTATAGTCAAGTAGAATAATTATAATGTATTTTATCCTATTTTAAATTGGATAAAAGGAACTGAAGTATTATACCAAAAGTATTTATTTTGCAATACATTCTACCTGTGATTCTTAAACTTCGTTAAGTTATAGTCAGTAGAATAATAGATTTTCTTAATTTTGTAAAGAATTATGAAATAAACAATATCTTTTACCCAGAAAATTGTATAAATGTACAAATGTTTTTTAATTTGATGTAGGTAGGATATCAGAAATAAAATGTTTACCGTGAGAACCCAAACATGAAAGAGCAAAAGAGAACGCAATAACAATATATGACCGCTCCTAATGACCTATGACTAGTTACTATTTATTTTGTTTTATTTTTATCAGTAGATACTACGACGAAAACTAATTCGATAGAATTATCGAATGTGATACAAGTGTGAGAATCGAAAAAGAATGTAAATTATTTTTTTTGCGAATAAGACAAATTTCAATAATCAACAAGTTAATGAATACTTTTTTTCTTACTAAATCGAAAACACACTGATCACAAACACATACATATCAACAAATCAAAACAGTGTATTTTCTATTTAGTTTAATAATCATAAAAATGTTAATCATTTTCGGAAAATAAAATTCAACATTCCAAGAGCTAAAATGATTAATTTTTTTTACTGTGCAGCTATGCTTCAAAACATTGTGGAGGAACAAAATCCAATCAAGTACCTAATAAAATTAAATGTATTTTTTGTCTACTATGGCAGCTATGCTTTTAATTCGTTCTTCCTTAGTTATGTGCACTTTTAACGTGTTCTCTTTTGCTATTTTAAATCCACATATACGGTCAATATTTGGTTACTGTTATTGTATTTGGTGGAGCTGGAACATTAGATATAACTTAAATTGTCTGTTTCTCACAAATGTCTGTATTGTATGTATATGACAATATCTCTCTTGGAATTTTTACAAATGTTATTTTCGTTAATTTGTTTCACTGAATAAATTATTTTTAATAGTTGATTCATTTTCTTTCATTTCAAGTTATAATCGGAGATCTGGAACAGAATAACTGCTTTTAACTTTGATATGGACAAATAATGTATTATATCTCTCATACAGTAGAAGAAAGATATCCGAAAATTAGTTAGTACATTCTCTATTTTAATATGAGCAATGGAACCAAATATTTGAGATATACCTTTATTTATTTGAAAAAGATCAACAAAAATGCCCGAGAAGGAATTTTAAGAATTTTATGGAACCAATTACCCGGACACTTAATTTCAACCCGTTAACAGCAAACCAAATACCTACCTCGAAAATTTATGATTCATTCTGACCCTTTATTTTTAGTCCGATTTTTGTGTAATTTTCAGGAAATATTAATAATAACAAAACTTAGGGTGGAGAAATCTTGAATTTTTTGTAAACCTTCGAAAAGTATTTATTTTGAAATGTTTTAAAAAGAATTTTAAAGAACATTACACGCCATTCCATATTAAATCTATGAAAATTTGTTGCTTTTTGTTTTAATAAAATCTACTAGCTTTTAAATGGCTGTTTCCAAAATGATCGGACGAATTTAAAAAAAAAATCCCAATAAGTCAAACACACATTCCTCAGGAAAATTAGAGGAATATTTGGGTACGACACTTTTCCGAGAAAAACTTGGCTTAAAAGAGGCGATGGAGCACAAAGACTTTGAAAGTCCGCGAAAATATACGCAATTTTCAGTAATTTATGAAAAATTTAAAATAAATTCGTTTTAAAAATTTCTCTATCGGATGGTGTCGGAAAATTTTAAATTTTCCTGCCGTAAAGTGGTTTTTCACTAAAACTTTGGTGGTTGGAACGTGAAATTTGATATTGAAATTAGTTAACTAATCTATTGAATTTGGCTACTTCTGAATCATTAAAATTTTCTCTTTCGAGTGATGTCGGAAGATTTTAAATTTTCCTTCGGGAAAGTGGTTTTCCACAGCTTGCTTTTATTCGTACATAAAGAAGTAGTCAAATTGCCCAACACAAACATTGCCCCATAACTTGACCCATGTCAGCCACCAATTTTGCACCAATCTATCGGAGTAGCTTATAGTCTTTCTGAGTGCTAGGATATGTAATCTCGTTTAGTAGTTACCTAATAGAATGAGTTTCAATCGAGTTTGTCCATATCAGATATTAAAGCAGTTTTTTCGGCTCCAGGTCTTAGACTTAATAGGCATTCCAAAGAAAAGAACTGTCAGTTGGAAGATCTAAAGGGTTGCGACATACGATGTATTCTATCTACAATACGTAAAATCAATAATAAATCAATTAAATATTTTATGACATAAAAATATTATTTAAAAAAATCGCTTATACATTTTTCATAAATTGGCAGGCTTGGCGACTACTATTTCGAATAAAAAGTGCGTCCAAGATGGAAGATTATGTCGCAACTCCCTTAAATATACAAACCGTTCTTACTAACAACTATTGTTTGACTGTCTGGAATGTCTAATTACTTTTTATCATATCAAAATAATTAGGAAAGTTTTACAATAAATGCTTTGTATTGTTTGTTTTCCACATTTTTCACAACTTGAGAGATGAGAGAAATTCTACAAGTGAATAATTTGTTGGCAATGTTCCTGTCCTTTTTTTTTTCGTTAATAATATACTTGAATTGTAAGCCATCCAAATAAAAAACAAGCACTAATGCAAGTGCATGGCTTAGATCTCTAATAATAAAGGTTTATTTATTAAAAAAGTGATTTATTATTGCTATTAATATAGTTTTTTTTTATTTTTCCGTTATGTGTCGAAATGTCGTAATGTAGTACAGTTGTAAAAATATGATTCTGACCCATTTCAAGAGAATTTTCTAAATTGATCGCACAGATTGTAAATGGCAGGGGAAATTTATCACGCAACAAATTTAAGACACGATTCAGTGAAATGTGCAGTCTAAACGAAACGCGAAACAACCCCTGCCGTGCCGGTGACCCGTCGGCTTTCCAGAAAATTTTCTCCTTTCAATAAGACGCAACATCGTCACTTTTATTCATAAAAATGTTGAACTTCGTACAAAGCTCGCACGTATACCCAATGATATGCATCACAATAACCTGTTACTGTTTTGCCAAAGAGATCAAAATGCAAGTCGACATCCCCAATCAGGGGAAAATTCGCGGCGTGGAAGTTTCGAAATTGCGGATACAAAAAATTATCGCATATTACGGCATTCCGTATGCCCAACCCCCTGTGAATAATTTAAGATTTGCTCCACCTGTTACTGATCCTTTGCCCTCTTGGGAGGGTATTAAAAACGATACGGATTACCTTCCATCCTGTCTACAAACCGAGGAAGATTATAAGGAATCCGAGAAGCCTTTTTTGCAGTTGATTTCCAAGTTGAATTTCACCCTGGCCGAGGATTGTTTATATCTAAATATTTTTGTCCCATATGGTACGTACTAAATTAAATTATTTTTATAAAATCCTAGATATAGTGTTGAAAATATTCATTGAAAGTTTTGAAAAAGTTGAAATTGAAATCTACCTTGTGCTGCCACAATGGTCTTAACTTTATTGAACCTTTCATAAAAAAGACGATTGTAGAGAGATTTGAGGCGTAGCGTGTTCCAAAGTCATTACCATTATGCAGATTTGAACACGCACGCGAAATCTAGTAGGCGTCACGGCACGGCATAAGGCATCATTTCATTGGAAGCACTTCATTTATTTTTCTATTGACAGACAGTATAGAAAAATTTGCAGTTAATTACCCTACAGACCTATCTACCTAGACAGCACAAATAAGTCCATTGACTGTCCATTCGATATACAATTTTGGATGTATGGACGTCCAACAATGTTTTTTTTTGGTCTTCCGATATCCAGTGGACGTCCAATGAAGTATACAAATGACACACTTTTGAGTATTAAGATGACGTCCCTTTCTGGATTATATTTGGACGTTGAATATTGGACATTCAAAAAATGTCCATTCCTAGATTATATCCCTACTTTTTTACACAATTGCAACTCATCGCACACTATTTTAGACTATTCATAATTTATTTATTATTTTCGCAACCAGTTATACACCATTTCTTTTTTTTTTTATTATTATTCAAAATCGCTTAACCTGAGCGGGATCGAACTCGTGACACGTCCGTTAACTTTCTATACTTTCAACCGCTGGACGATCTTGACCAACGAGCCACTTGAAAATTGTTTACTAGATATGGTTATAATAGGTCAAACTTCAGCTGATAGAATGAAATGCAATATATTCAATTTGTCAAGTTTTAATTATCAATAAATAATGACCTGAGATGGACGTCCGCTGGACGTCAAAATACTACTAAACTTAAAATTAAGTCCAAAAACAAACGTCCTCTGGGTAACGATATGCAGCTCCTAAATTAACGGGCGTACACTGGTCACTGGATGTCCGAATACGGATATGGACGTTCTGACATTCAAATGGTTCTAAAGTGGACATCCATTTGACTATATGTGCTGTCTGGGTATATGTATAAAATACCTCTTTCCAGGAATCACGTTAGTACGAGCCCAAGCAGTTATATGTTGGGACGATTATGATTTGTTCATAAATCTAATAGGTTTTTAAAATAAATTGGCATATACTTTTTAAATTAAAAACGTTTTCCAGCACCTTTTAATAGCTACCGATTATCAGAATTTTATTTTTGGTTCATTCTATAATTACGAATATTATTAAGTAGGCATAAAAAACAAAATACAGTAAGCATCTAACTCGTTACTGGAGTCTTGTTAAGAAAATCGCCGAGACACGTCGATTTTTGATTTCTACAATGTACATTTTTGTATGAATAGTTTACCCTTAACTTCATCCCATACTGGAGGGGGAGCAACCCTTTCGAAAAATTTAAATGGTATGGGGTGGTGAGTGATAACTCATTTGAAAGGGGGTTTTATTCTCTATTCAACCGTGCAAAAATTTTTCAAATTTGCTTACTTAATTCTCGACTAATTATTGTTTCAGAATAACGGAAATTAACGTAGCGCACTCATCCTTAGAATTAAAATTCGGCACTGCATGATATCGGTTTTGGTTCAGACGTGAAGTAAGACTTTTTGCCATTAAATAAGGTCACTGTCAGTTTAGTTGCTTTCCTATTTGTAATGTTTTGTTATTTTTAAACATTACTAAATCAACACGTAATAAAGCAAATTTCAAATTTTTTTGCACGGTTGATAGAGAATAAAACCCCCTTTCAAATGAGCTATCACTCACTACCCCATGTCATTTAAATTTTTCGAGAGGGTTGCTCCCCTCCAGTAAGGGATGAAATTAAGGGTAAACTATTCATACAAAAATGTACATTGTAGAAATCAGAAATCGACGTGTCTCAGCGATTTTCCTAACAAGACTCCAGTAACGAGTTAGTTAGGGGGGTAAGACTTATGATGCTCACTGTATGTTATTTATCTGTCAATTTAGGGTTGAGATTACAGAAGCTCTGCAAATCGTATCTACTTGCATCTTGTATCTGCTACACTATAAGTGTATGAGAAACATGATATTACAGAAACATGTTTTCACTTTTTGCGTCTAAAAATCATCTGTAACTTTGCGAGAGGTTGGAACGTCCTGCAAACTTGCAGAATGTCAATTTTTATCTTTATTTTTTTTTAAACCATTTACATTTTTGTTGCTATTAGGAATTTCAATGTCACTGGGAAGGGTTGGTACATCTAAGGGGTTGCGACATACAATGTATATTCTATCTACAATACGTGAGATCATCAAAAATGGAATAAATTTAAATATTTTATGTCGAAAACAAAAATATTTAAAACGCTTATACATTATTCATAATTGATGACTACTCTTATTTCGAATAAAAATAGCGTCTAAAATGGAGGGCTATGTCGCAACCCTTTTAAATATACAAGCCCTTCCCACTGGTAGCTATTGTTACGGAAATGATTACTTTGTGTTATCAGAATAATCCAATATAGAAATGTACCTCATAAAAATAGTTGAAAACTACAATTGTTGTTATTTTTCATATTCATTAAAAGAAAACAACGCTAGAATGTGGCAAGTTGAATTTAGACTCTTAATTTTTTTCGAAAATTAGATTAGTTTTCCCAGAAAAAAAATACAATAAAAATATCAAATATTCATTAGCTGTGTTGAGCAGTGTAGTAAAAGTTTAGAAGTTTCGGGAATCAAATTAAATTTGGAATATGATAATCAGGACATAGGTATCTGAATATGTATCAGGAAATAACAAATTTATTCAATTGATTTTTACATTTCCCGCCACAATCTTAATATATTCCCTGTATAAGAAAATGATAATGCTTTTGTGCGTGTTGGTGTAACCTGTTTTTTTCCACTTAGTAAAAGCACGTCACCTATTTTTACCACAAAAGAGCCATTCTTGTCAGATTAAAAAGATATTCGTAAATAAATCGTTCTTTTTATTTTTATAATTTTTTTTTACTATCTAGTTAGAACAAGTATATATACCTTTTTATCAGCATGAGAATCATACTTAGTTTTTAATTTTTTTTATTCATCATACTCCCAGTATTATGTATTTCATATTTACTTAGAAAGTTTTGATTCATTATAATTTTTATACATTGTCGCTTTTCAAGGTTTATTTTAATTTCCGTATTTCTAGGTTTACGTTTAAGTTTAATTTTTTTTATAGTAACCGATTTATGAAATGTTTTTAGGGGATGAACCGAAACAAGGGTATGCCACAATAATATGGTTTCATCCGGGCAACTTTACTACAGGCACTCCCTCAATGTGGAACCCACATACATTAGTTTACCGTCAAAGGATCATAATGGTAACCGTTAGCTGGAGACTCAACATTATGGGTTTTTTTACGACCATGGATGGAGAAGCGACTGGAAACTACGGACTTATGGATCAACAAGCAGCTATGCAATGGGTAAAAAGAAATATTAAGTTATTTGGAGGAAATCCCGATAATATTTGTTTGATGGGTTATGGAACTGGTGCTATAAGTGCAGGATTGCATCTAATAAATCCACAATCAAGAGGGCTATTTAATAAAGTTATAGCTATGAGTGGTAAGTGATTCACTCTTTACTTGTAACCATAAATAAATCGCTGATTGGCAAGAGCAACGACGTAATTAAAAATAGTCGAATTACATATTTCAAAATATAGTTACATAAAATTATTTAAAAAATCGATTGATATTCTTGAGAATATGAATTATAAAAAAGCAACTTGTGTCATTGTTGTCTAAATTTAAAATAATTGGGCATGTCACAAAAACAAATAAAATATACAATATTATTTTATATAAAAAATAGATTAAATTATGCTTTTAAAACAAAAAACGAAGTAAAGTCTTCGAAATATGTCAATGTTCTTAAAAAAATAGCCCGAATTATTGTGGTATATCGCTAAAAACAGTCTGTGGTTTTATAAATCGAGCTACAGTGTAGCTGAAATGAGCCTTTATTCGTGATACACATTAGACGCTATCTCTATTTAACGAACATTGGCCAGAATTCGGCATTCTATTATTGTTCACGATAAAATATAAGTGATATCTGTTCGTTATGTATACCTACTCTAATTTTGAAAAATTTTGAATTGCATCGGTATTCTCGCAAACCATTGAAATGTACACATTTTAAGTAGGTGAACAAAAGATTAGACAAATGAGGCGGTTTCAAGTTTTTAACAACTTTGTTTATTTTTTAAGGTGATTTTCTGTCTCCGTTGTCGGTAAAGAAAGCCGAAGAAGATAAGGACCTACTAGATCGACTGGCCAGCAGTTTTGGTTGTAACAGAAAACCTTCTTCGGAGTTAATACAGTGCTTAAGGCATGTTGACGGTGAAATACTGGTACAACAAACGTCGAACATAAATTGGAGGCCGCTTCTCGATGCAAAATTATCAAATGGTAGTACGCCGGCTTTTTTAACAGATCTTCCGATGACTTCTTTCGAGGCGGGAGACTACGATAAAGTGCCGTTACTAACAGGGTATACTCGAATGGAACATATTTTGGAATTTGACAGTATTAAAAATGTTAATAGCACTTCCAGCGAAACTCTTCAGAGTTTGTTACAGGATTTAATTAGCAGCGACATACCAGCGATTAATAACAGTGAGAGCACATGTGATTATAATTACGATAATATTATTGATGCTGTGATGTTTTTCTACAGTCCGGCACGTCCTACAAAGGATATCGAATCTTTTCGGGATCTTTTGATAAATTTCGTGACAGAAAGGAATGTAGCTGCTTCCGTTTTTCTTTTAGCTTCGTTCCTGAGTAGAGACCAACCTACTTTTATGTATCGATTTGACATGAAGCCGAGCACGGCAGCTGCTGTCGCGCATTTGCCCGAATGGGTCACTGTACCTCACTTGTTTGATTTACTTTACGTATGGGGTGTGCCCTATTGGTCAACGAGCCCGGATTGGGATATAAGGGACAAGAGAATTTCTGACACGATCATGTCCTTTTGGACTCATTTTGCGAAATCTTCGAATCCCACGGAGAACAGTATTTATCCTGTAATTTGGGAAAAATTTACTGAAGATAATCCCGGGATTCTGATCATCGATGGGAATTTTAACATGAGCAATTCCAAAAATTTGAATTATAAATCTTTCGAGTTCTGGAATAAGTATTATCCAAAGGTGAAGGCTGTGGCTACGCAGTGCTGTGAGTCTAAAGACCATGCTGTTGTTTTCCAGTCTAACCTTTTTTTAAGTACGTTTCTTGTCATTTTATTTTCTATCATTAACTTAGGATAGAATAGATATTAAAAACGTAGTTAAAGAATCGATATAATGTCGCAATTTTATCTAACTTTTTTAAATTAAATATTGGACCAAATTAATATGTTTACAACTTAAAATTATTTGATTAGGTATTCATTCAATTTCTTTGTAAATCCAGGTTGGCTATGGAAATTTAACTGTGTATCATACACTTTATTAGTGTAATGTAATTTGTGTTCCACTGACAGTAGTGACAGTTGACTTTTAACAAAAACAACCATTCTGTCATTGAATTTGACATGTACGGTTTTAGTTTTTGTTAAATTTTGTTTGAAGGTAAAGTTGTTTAAAGGTATTTAACCAAATTATTATTATTATTATTATTATTATTATTATTATTATTATTATTATTATTATTATTATTATTATTATTATTATTATTATTATTATTATTATTATTATTATTATTATTATTATTATTAATTATTATTATTATTATTATTATTATTATTTAATAAATGCCCCCAAGTAACGCATTTACGATTATAACAATCTGATCATTGCCCCTTTCCGACACAGCGTACACTGTAGTGTTTATTTTGTATTTTATACCAAGCTCTTCACATTTCTTTTTAATTTGGACTTTTCAGCGAAGTTTAGCATTAAGTGTCATATTCAGATATTTTGCGGTATTGGCAGTGCCGTTTATTCTAATCGGAATATATATTTTTTTATTGTTGAAATTGATATAACGACAGATTTGCCTTCATTCAATTTAATTCATTTTTCATCCACGTGTATTAATCTTGTCTATAGATTTTGCAATTTTTTATTAGCATATTCGTGATTTTTTTCAAACAGCAGTATCATTTGCATATATTGTGATAGTATTAGACTCAAGAGTAGGAATATCTCTGGTATACAATAAGTAGAGTAATGGACCTAGTACACTACCTTGAGGTAATTCTGCCTTGACTTCTTCCTGTTCAACTCTGTAATACTTTCTGATAAATAGGATTTTAATAGGTTTTGATACCTAGTTAGCCAACGTTTTTATAAATGAAGAAATTGAATACCCTTCACGATTTTTGTTTCATGAAAACACTGTAAATCTGGCTTATTTAACAAACTTTGTTTCATCAACGATTTAGAGATAGCACTATATTTCAATAAAAAAATGGCCACCATGTATGTTATTACAATTTATAGGTTAAATTAAAACGCAATAAAATAACGGCACAAATTAAATGATCATTATTTAAATTTTATGGCAAGTACACTTTTCCATTATTTTATTTCAGTTAGTCAGTAAGACAATAAATGGTCAGGGAAAATAATAAATGGTCAGTATAATATTAAATGGTCGGTGAAAATAATAAATAGTCAGTATAATAATACGCGTTTTATTTGTACATCGGTCTCCTTTTGACAGAGTAGGTGAGCTGTGTCCAGGCCGTTGGTGTTTATGCCGGTCGGCGTAGCCAGGTATGGATTAAAATTTGCTTCGTCTTCTTGTTGTCACGGCATTAATATTATTTGTTAATGTATGTGAAATTTGCTTCTATGGTTTATAAAATACTACTGCTAGTAAATGAAAACAAACAAGACGCATTCACACAACACCTCCCAGCACCTCAATTACAAATCATTAGTGTTGTCCTCGATACGCGAGTGTATTTTGGGGCAATTGATTTTTGAAATATATCCTGGCAGGCAGACTTAATTGTTTTAAACAAAAATATAAAATCTTCAGTTTCTTCTTTGTTTCAAACCGATAGCCCAAAAACATGAAACACTCGATCTAAAAACATAATACTACTTATTTAATTCACATTTTCAAAATGATTACCAATTAATGCATACTGGCCATTTATTTATTCTTACTGACCATTTGTAGAATTATTACCGGCTAATTCATACTGACATTTCATTAATTTTTACTGACCATTATAATTACAAAAGTGAACATAGAAATACAGGCGAAATAATGATTTTGCTACTACAAAATTCAATGTTTACTCATCATATTTTAAAAAGTACTGAGTTTTTTACAATATCTTACTGACTGCTTGTAATATTATACTATACATAATGAATTAAATACTGTTCAGTTAATTACAACCCATAAAATAATACTTATCGCATACTTTCTTCATTAATATTACGTACTTAGTCACAGTAATCACTGTCAAAATCCCAGCGCTGAAAAGTAAACTGTTTAGTAACAGTAATCACTGTCAAAAATCCAGCACCAAAAACCGTCTAAACTTAAATTAACACTCGTTTGTTTTTTTCTCGATTGGTCCGTAATTCAAACAGCGAGCTTTCATTGGTCCCCCTTCCTTAAAACTAATTCCCCTATTGTTACACCATGCCAATCGAGGGGAGGTATTATGAGAAAAAGTCAGTTCGCGAATTTTTGAAATACGTGAGTAGGTGTTGTCTTTGTAATTTTGGTAGTTTTGATAGTTTAAAATCGTTTTACGTTTTCGTTAATTTAACAAGCCTGTGTCGATAGTTGTATTGTGTTATCAAAATGTACATTTGTGTGCTGAATTTAGTTACATTTAAATACCCAATTGTGATAGTGTACACGATCATAATGGAATATAGCAGAAAAATTCTAGTCAGTTTCTACCCCTCTATACCATGAAAATTTGGATCTTTTCAACATATGTAAGTCTAATTTAATTAATTATTTCAGATAGGTATAACTTGCTCGATAATTTCATGGGGTCAATGCAAGAACTGAACGTCCATTTTATTTAGGTACTTTTTCAGGGACCTAGGTAAAAAAAACGTTCCTATGCTTTGTTTACAAAATTAATCAACTTTTGAGTGTATTCATTTAAATATTATCGACATAGCATAAACACAGTTTTGGTGTCATCGTCGGATAATATCCTGAAACAACACCGGTATTTATTTCAGTTTTGAACCACTATAAATAAAATCGAAGGACTATTTAATTAAACTAATACGATCAATGAAAGTATTTGCTACAAACTATATATAATTTTTTTACAAACAGTTCAAACTTGAACAAAAAACGTTTTTAAATCAATCTAAATCTATATAAATCCTAGGGAACGAAGCACGAAGTGGCTAACGAAATGTCTCGAGAAGCTCCGATTCGGAGCTAAACACAAGCAATCGATGGCGCGAACGTTTGAAAAAGCACAGGACCGTCTTAGATAATTTGCAACCGAACACTTTTTTTTGCTTTATTACACTACTGTACCTAATGTTACTAATTAGAGAAATAAGTTTGGTTTTTGGATAGGACGATGTAAAATATATCAGAGAACATGGTCATTAGTAACAAAGGTACTTTTGGTAAAAATATGGACATGTCCACTTCTCTCATTGAACCCTTTGATTTACATTAAATTCAAATAAAGAAAGTTTCTCGGGCCAGATACAAAAATATACAGGGTGGGCCACCGGTAACGCCTCGCTCTGTAGAGCCAAAACTAATTGCTTTTTTTAATCTGTTTTTCACAACGAGATGTACCTATATCAGAATAGGCAACAATTTAAAAATAATTATACAGGGGTTTTCAGGAAAGTAATACAAAAGTATCAAAAATGGTTTTTTAATATTTGGATTGCTGTAGCTTTTCCCATTATATCAATATAAAAATAGTAGGGGGCAGGTGAGTTAAGTGTAGACGGGGGTAAATTTAGATCCCCATATCTTTGAAAAAATTTACTTTTTAAAGAAAGTTTCTCGGGTCGGATAAAAAAATATACAGGGTGGGCCACCGGTAACGCCTCGCTCTATAGAACCAAAACTAACTGGTTTTTTTAAATGTTTTCACAGCGAGATGTATCTATATCAGAAAAGCCGATAATTTAAAAATAATTTCAATTATACAGGGATTTTTAGGTAAGAAATACATAAGTATCGGTTTTTTTAATATTTGGATTGCTGTAGCTTTTTTTATTTTACCAATACAAAAATATTAGGGGCAGGTGAGGTAAGTGTAGACGGGGGTAAATGTAGACCCACTAATCTTTGAAAAAATATACTTTTTCTAATTTTAATTCCAGAATGTACTATTTGTAAGCGTCCACTAATGTAATTTAATGTTCTACGCTACGCTTACCAAGTGTTTTGTATTGTTAATTAGAATAATTTATTTTGTTTTAAGTAGCTTAACTTACTAAAATACCAATTTTTTATTAGGTAGGTACCTATTTTTGTTAAAATTTAAGTTTGCATACATACAATACCCTTAAAAGTTCTGTATCTTTTAAATGCAAAAAAAATAATTTTGAATTTACCTGCATATTAGTCATGATTCATAATTTGTCTCCACTTAACCCAGTTATATTAATTTTCTAGTATGAGCAATAATTAAAAAAAAATTCTTATATTTCCAGGAGGTTGGTTTAGGTTAACCATTTATATACAAAAAGTAACCCTAGGTGTTAGGTACCTAGTACTCAACAATACAAATTCTAAATACTTTTTGATAGCACTGTAGCAATTTTAAACATTTTACTCATGGGGCAAGTGTAGATTTACATTTACCACACCTTGGAATTTCACAGGTTATTTCCCACGTTATAACCCGTTTTATATGAAAATCGTATTGATTTCAATGACCTGTATACTGTAAAAGAAACAATTGAAAACTACTTTTAGTAAATGGTTTGTCATATTGCTGAATTTCCCCTTAAATTACCTTTCCAATGATGTGTCATACTTGGTCTCGTACTTGGTACTTTCCGGAAGGGAGTGGCATGACGTATGACAGTTGAAGATCTAGGAAATTAAATAAACTTTGTTATTTGAAAACAATACGTCAATTTTTATTTTAATCAAGGTATTCAATGACAAAAATTTTGCCATTCCTGTAATTCTCTCCAAAGTGACAGCCATTCCTTTAATTTTTTTAATTTTAACAGTGTCAACATTACTATACAGAGTGATGCTCGGTGTTTAACTTTCATAGCCTCCCTGGATTCAAAAAGAAACAGAATACTAATAGTATTACGCCCAGCTTTGATTTTGTAAACGAGGTGTTATTGGACAAAAAATTTACCATAAAGTTGCGACATTATTTTAAACTGTCAATTACACTTTGGTCGAGTACTTACTGCTACAAATATTGTATATCTTCCTCGAATTGCCTTCCTTTTACAATAACAGTACTTGTATAATGCTATTTGAATATATCTTTAAAACGAAAAGGCTTTTATTTATGTTTGCGGCTTTCCAAAAAAAGGTAAGTTCAATACGTAGGTACTAAAAACTTAAAAATTTCCGAGATCTTCGCAGTTGAGTAAAATATTTACTTTAGTGAAGCAAACAATTATATTGAAATATATTTCACCGTTCATTTTAGGTATCCATTTAATACTACCTATATAAAAAAATGCAGCTGAGTAAATTCTTGACTACTGTACAGCAAACGATTACGAACACAT